AAGGCTATTTGATTGGGCCAACCCTCCATGTTTGAAAGCTTGACAACAACCCCAAAAGGGGAGCCCTCAAACGAAGACGATGCCGAGAGTTGGTCGGGTTCCCTGATCCAGCATGTGTATCATTGTCCAGGAGCATTGAATGAGATGTCTGGAATGTCTCGGTATTGAAAACAAAGGCCAGTTGAGCGTGCACTCTAAACTGACATCTAGATTGCGTGAGCGACGACGTATTTTAGGCTTTCAGCGTGAGAAAGATTTCTCATCAGACTTAGATGCTCACTGATGCGCCCGTGTTTGCTCAGGCAGAGAATGCAACTCCTGCAGATGTGCCGAGGCTCACACGCACGACGCATTGTGGCCTTGTGAATCCGTTTGCCGGTCACCTTGTCAGTCAAGGCACCAGTGTGCCTGCCTGTGGGCCTGTCGCCCGTGCAGGCACACGCAAGATGCCAAGGGCCATGATGTTGTCTTGTACCAGGGGCGACACCGGCCTGTTTGACAGTCTGAATCTGCTTGGCAATCTCTTGCCCACGAAACATTGAGGTCCCTCAAGAAGGCACGTTCTTCCAGCAGGGGCTGTTTGGTGGGTTCCACGTTAGTTGGTAGGATGTACGTGTTCGAAATCACAGCCAGCTAATGTTCTTGGTCTGAGGGCTGCTCTGCATATCTGCTGCACAAGGTATGCCGCGGCAGCTGAGGGTCTCTGCACAGGGCGGTAGACATGGAAATGCAACGATTACCACAAGGGAAAAATACTAATATCATTAAGTACACTAGTCCCGCTATTTCTCCAAAAGCATAATTGAATGTGATAGTGGCCTGTAGGTATTATGTGTATGATCATATGTAGTTCATGGTTTGTACTTTTGAGTAATACATAGTTGATGTTCGACGTATTGCATATTGAAATGCTGTATGCATTCAGATATTGATGGTGCATTGATATTATTGTGAATTGGTAGAACACAACATGCGTTTGTTGTCAACACATTGAGGAAATGTTGAATAATGCCATTATTGGATATTGTGTGAATTAAGAGATGATATCTATTTGGGTGTGTGTTCATCTTGGTTTGCTTGGAATATGGAATGTGTGTTGCACTACAGTGAGGTGATGCTTGACTGTTGTCCGCATTTTGAGTAGCTGTTGTGTGGATAGAACATCAAATCAGAGTGAGCAATTTCGTATTTTCAATCTATGAAGTATCGTGTGGTGGAAATGTAGTCTACTGCGGTGTTTATCACTCAAAGAAATGCTCCAAGAAGATGAATATGATGCAATCATGAAAGTGAGCAACGAGAAGAAGGGCGATCGATATGAAGAAGGGAGCAGCAGCGGGTGAGGGAGGGGAACGGCAAGGAACATTGGAAAAAGGAGAAAGGTGTTTAGAGATTTGTTGTACCAAATTCTGCAATTTGGTGATCCCCCTGGCCCCTTCCTTTGTGTTTACTTCTTGTTGTACGTGAGCCAGTTCAGATTGGTTGGATTCAGACGATGGCTTGATCGAGTGCTTTTCTTTGAGCTTAATGGTCAGCTCTCCAACCGTTGTGTTCATCGAAAGTGGGTTGGAGCCTTTGCGCGCAAAGGAGCCCGTAGCCTTTTCTCCTAAGGGCCACAACGACTCTTTCGATATACCGTAGATGGACAACATCCTGCACCAGTTGGTATGAAACCCTACGGAAACACCAGGCTTTGAGCTTCTAGTGCTTTTCGAAAATTTGCTTCTTTCAGGCTTCAAAGTTGTCTTTGCTTCCACGTTGCCCTGGCTTCACAGAGGGCGTATTTGTGATCCTTCGGCACGCGTGCACCCATAGAGTTTGGGACGGACTGTCTTCGTTCGGTCCGTGACCCGTGCCAGATCGGCGGCATGCTAGTCTTCAAATCAACTGGCCGGACCTGTGTAACAGAGGTTGGGGACAATTTCTCCGGTTTGCGTTGTAACATGGAGTCTGACCAAGCCTTGGGCCGGTGGGGGCCGGGGGGGGGGGGGCCGGGAAGGGGGGCTGGGGAGTCCTCTTGGGCAAAAACCACATTGTTGGTGGCTCCTGTTTTGGACAATGATTGTTTGAGAAGGGTTGCGTGATGCAAGCAGACCGCCGCACGTGATCTCTGGGCTCAGTCTTTACTGTTTGAAGATGCATCTCATGCATAACCCCAAACGTGGAGGCTGCAAAGCATGGCAACATGAGGCCAACAATAACCTTTGCATTTGCATTCTCTTGGACACGCTGGGCTCATGCTACGGAACCAAAAGGCAACCATTCCGGCGGCAGGTTTTCTCACCAGGGCACACCGAGAGAGCCAATGCATAGGAAATCAGCCCCTTACCCTTTGCCAACCCCAGGGAAGTCCCCCAGACGCCAGAGTCAAGCCAAAATTGGATCCCAATCGAATAGCTTTGGTTCTCTGGATATGTTGAACAACGTTCGGACCAACATCGGATTCCAGAAAACCCATGTGAGAGTCATGTTCGGAACCAAACTTGGAGCCACGCTCCACCCAACACGGAACGTTTGCACGTGTGACGAGAACGCTGCCGGCATGGGAAGGGACCGGCGCAAGTCCCGCAGCCGCAGCCGGCGCAGGTCGGGGGGTTCTCCTTTGGCCTATGGCGTAAGGGTAGATTGGTCACCGACTTCCCTTGGTTTGTCATCGGCGACAAAGTCGGTTTCTCAACCTGAGTCGTACCGTAGATTGACCAAGAATCGTACGTAGATTGATAAATGACCCCCCTCAAGGTCGGCAAGGTCCCAAAAAAAAAATGACCCTAATTTTAGAGGGTCCCTGCTTCTCAAACCTTGATTGCTTACACAGCATGTAAGACAAGTTTGCTTTCCGGCTAACGGTTCTTTCTTTTGTTGGTTTTTGGCGAAGCCCACCTTAAGACTACATGTCAGTTTCACGCCCCTCTCACCGGCCTCGCGTGCCAGGGAAAGTCCTTTAGGAAGAACTGAGCCATGCGCGATAGTGGATGGCTGGATGGCTGGATGGCTGGATGAATGGTGGGTGGATGGATGGATGGGTGGATGGGTGGATGGATGGATGGATGGATGGCTGGATGGCTGGATGGCTTGATGGATGCATGGCTGGATGGCTTGATGGCTGGATGGATGGATGGATGGCTGGATGGATGGATGGATGGATGGTTGGTTCGTTGGTGGGTTGGTGGGTTGGTGGGTTGGGGGGTTGGGGGGTTGGTGGGTTGGTGGGTTGGTGGGTTGGGGGGTTGGGGGGTTGGGGGGGTTGGGGGGGTTGGGTGGGTTGGGTGGGTTGGGGGGGTTGGGGGGGTTGGGTGGGTTGGGTGGGTTGGGTGGGTTGGGGGGTTGGGGTTGGGGTGGGGTGGGGTGGGGTGGGGTGGGGTGGGGTGGGGTGGGGTGGGGTGGGGTGGGGTGGGGTGGGGTGGGGTGGGGTGGGGTGGTGTGGGGTGGGGTGGGGTGGGGTGGGGTGGGGTGGGGTGGGGTGGGGTGGGGTGGGGTGGGGTGGGGTGGGGTGGGGTGGGGTGGGGTGGGGTGGGGTGGGGTGGGGTGGGGTGGGGTGGGGTGGGGTGGGGTGGGGTGGGGTGGGGTGGGTGGGTGGGTTGGTTGGTTGGTTGGTTGTTTGCGGGCAGCCCGCGCGTTGCGCTAGCGCGTGTGTGTGCGGCGCGCGCGTCATCAGGAATGTATTGGGGCAGTCTGGCCCCAGAGGAAACCTTGCGGTTTGCCGTCCAAGCGATCCCAGGAGATCCCGCCTTGCTAGCCGTGACCGGGATGTCAACATCTAAATACCCGTACTGGACACTATCCATGTAACGGAATGTCTTCAATTGGCACTTGGAAGATCAGCTTCAGCAAACCCAATCAGGATCTCGAACAGCAGTGGACCTTGAATGGCATTCAGATTTGAGTGGGGTTCGCCCCTTGCTAGGCTTGACGTTGATTTTGCGGCAGTCAACCGGTGATCGCGCCAACGGGGGTCTTTCCCCAGACAAGAACGGGCTTCCGTTTCGTCGTCCCTCAAGGTTTCGGACTCGCACAAGAGTTGCAGAGGATGCATGCCCAGCCCCCGTACGCACGCCGTGTAGAGGGCTACTGGCAATGGCTTTTCACCAGTTCCAATAGCGCTTGCATGGTACCAAGCCGTGAGACATAAGGTGCTTGTTGAGGGTGACCATTCTTAAAGTTTAAAGGGAAACCACAAGGAGCCCAAATGTTGTTTTTATTTTTCAGATTTAGGCCCCTGGTTCGGTTTGGCCAACCAACACATTTTTCAATTTTGGGAAAGGCTGAACTAAAGGCAGAGCACAAAGGGGGCCTTAATTACCGATTATTGTATGTTGTAAATCTGCCTTGCGGTTTTGCGCGCCCTGTATTTCCAACACGCCAACCTTGTTGTGCGATACCTATTTGTTTAGTGGCTCCAACAACTCAGGTGCAGAAGTGTCCAAACCCCAGAGCAGATGAGAGAAAAACTGATGGCCACGCTGTGGAACTTGCCATCTTCCTCAGGAGTTCGGATGACGAGGCGCTGGGCAGAGTGCCTAACCAAGTCAATGCTCAGATTGCCAGACGCAGCCTTTTGTTTCAACTTTTTCCATTTTTGTTTTCGTTCATTTTCCTTTCACTGCAGCTAAGTCCGGCCCAGCTCAGAGATTAATGAGACTGTTCGACACATGGGGGATCGCCCCATGGCGAAGGGGAAACCAAAAGCGAGCCACCCATGTTGAGTGCTCCCAAATCTCATGTTTGTTCAGTCAATGATACTGAGCTTCTTTGCCTGCAGTCAAATACCTGTGCCACAAATTTACCACGAAGGAGGGCCTAAATCGCCCTGATTTTGTTCAGGGGCACATCCAAATGGTTCGTAGGCATGAATCCCCACGTAAACGACAGTCACCAAAGGGTGCCCAAGTTTGTCAATTCAGGCCCAACCGGGCGCGTCTTTTCTTTTTCTTTCCTCAGGGACCCGCCCAAATCGTGGTTTTGCTTTTGGTTTATCCTTTAAAACCAAAAAAATGGTACCAACTCCAAAGAAAGACCCGCCCCAGCACTGTCCGCAAGTCGGTTCGAGAGCTTCGTCCGCCAGGACTTGAGTCCGGATGCCCGAATCGAGCTACTGGAGGTGTGGGAGCTTGTCGGTGTCGCTTCTTTTCCATGAGGGTTGGTCGAAATCACTCGTAGTCTATGGTTCATTTCGGGACAAACTCACAAAATCTGAAAAACATATAGCGGGACTCTGTGAATATCACATGTCATGGGGGAACATGCAAGTGCCTGGAACCGAGGGATTGGCCGCCTGGCTTCATGGGGTTGGGCCTCAACATGTAGAATGCACAGCCAGTTGGTTCAGGGCGCTCATGCCTTTTGGGGGGCAGCCCCTTCAAAACAAGGGAACCTATGCTTTTCCACACGACCACAGGGAGAGTAAGTTGAACACATTGGCGTGGAAGATGCAATGAGCGCATTTCGCAGGTGATGCTTCAGGGTTTGAATGGTGGAGTCACGAATGCGTTTGCTGAAGCTCTGCAAGGGGATGATTTGTTTGGTTGAGGAACGCAGGGCTTTCTTATTCCGAGGGCTTGGAACGCTTCGCCTGAGTCATTCTAAAAGGAACCAGTCTTGGAGTTCGGTCTATCCGGTCCATGATGACCTTGGGGCTTGAGAGCACCGTGTCCCACACCATGGGCCCAAAGTCCAAGTTTCCACCATGGTAGCTGTGGCTTGGTCACGATCGCAGGTGGAAAATGAGACATTGAAAGCCCGCACCTGAGACAGGAAAGCGTATCGGTGACTTTCCACACGAGCTCTATGCCGACGTAGAGCTCAATGCGTGTTTGCTTTCTTTCTCGAGGGTACCCGGTTGGGTTGTGTGAAAGTTAGGGGGGACCCAGAGATTGAGACAAACCCAGTGCTATTCGGTGCTATTGTTCCCTTAGACGGCCCCACATTTTGTGATTGAATGCACCGCATGTTGAGGGAACCTGAAGTGTGAGGACGGTTGTTGAGCTTCTCTAGAAAATATTAGGAGATGTTTGAAGAACGAGTTCACTATCATGGCCTAAAAAGTCCCGGGATACTATTTCGCCAAATTATGTCGTGAATATAGGACAGAATCTGTGTACTGATTTAGCCCTGGTAAGAAAAAACACATGCATCGGTGTGAAGCCTTGGCCTTTGCTTTTGGGCGCCCAGATCTATCATGGGTCAAAGGGGTCGCTTTGTGAGCGGTTTGAACAGTAATGCAACATAAAAATGTTCAGGTGTACTGAGACTTTGACACACGGCATAGGGATCAGCCTGAGTTTGCATGCCTAGGACTCCAAACGTCATGAACAGGCTGACGTTTGCGGATCTCCACAGAAACTGACGCAGATTGACATGGCCACTTTGGGCCACCCTAAGGTTCGTTGTCAAATGATCCTGTTTGGTCGCAGTTGGGGTTCGGGACATGGGGACTTGTGAACTTTCAAGAGTGTCAGGATTCCAAGACTTGGGCCTGTGGATGCCATTTTAGAAAGAACAGAAAACTCCTCGTTGTTCCGGCTTTGCTCCTTAGCCTTAAGTCATCGGTGCACTAGAGGCTGAGAATCGGGAGCTCCGGAAGAAGCTCGTAGAAGCACTGAGGAGAGGCGGAGGCATTCGGAGGGTCGACGGTTTGCGGTTTGTGCGGCCTGGGCTCGGACTGGGGGGTGTGCGTACGGATTCCCTTGGAATAAATCGGATAGGGGGGGGGGGCTGAAAGTGTGATTTCCTTCCGAAAAGGCAACCTTTTGACCCGACCCAACGATGAAGCCATCCATCCGAAGCTCGAGGAAATCCCAATCTTGGGCCCTCAAAGAAAAGTGACTTTCTGTGGAATTTGCTGAGCCGAGTTGGCTTCAAATACTTCCCAAACATTTGGTGCAGAGACCCTTCGGATGGCAAAGACTCCGGATCAAACTCACAGTTCTTTAGTTTGTGACCAGCGCCCTTGCTACATGTTGCTGATGCCACCCACAGTTGGGGGAAGTAGTAACCCCTCCTTCAGGGTGGGCCACTTAATGTTTGTAGTCGAGTGGAGCCTTTGTAGCTCGTGTTCCAGGCACATATTTTATCTGGAAGCACTGGAGAGTCCTGAGGATTCATTTGCACCGATCCAAGCGACCTTGAGACAAATCAAGCTCAGGTGCTAGATAGTCCATAGTTGTGGATGAAAGGAAGTCAAACAAAAGAATCGGCTTGGCGTTTTGCCCTGAGCCCATTTTTTCGGAACCCAGATCGTGCAGACGGAGCCCTGAAGCAGCCGAGGTTCCGATCGCCGAGAGCCGGAGGAGAAGGCCATAGCTGAGCCGAGCAAGCGGTACTACATCAAGTGGGCGTGGGTCAAAATAAAACCACCAGAAAAAGCCGCGGGGTTTAGTCCATGTTTCCATTTCCCAGGGCAAGCCATTTGGGGTACCTTTTTTTTGACCCACAGCCAGGTTTCTTTAAGCCTTGGCCCCTTTTGAGAGGAATGGTACCAAGCCTCAAGCGGTTTTCTCCGCCCTTTGAACCCTCAGCTTCCTGCAAGGCATCAGTCAGTCCCAGTTCACATGTTTGGTCGAAATGTGAGCCTGTCCATGGTCCAATTGAAAGACGCATGCGATCCGAGCTTTCCACCAAAGCCAGGGGACGCTCTTCACCCATGCCCATAGGTGAACTTGCGTGCAGTTGTGCTCTCGGAGCCGGATCCATTGCAAAGCGTGGAGGAAACTTGAGCTAGGTATCTGACATTTATGCCACTTCGCATGTTGTGCAGTATGACCTGCTGCATATTGATATGGGCTCTGTGACCTGTGCAGCAATTTTGGGTTCCTTGTTTGGGGCTCTGGACAAGATAGAAATGGCTTTGTCTCAAAGTAGGTGACCTTTCGACCCCAGATGGTGATTGTCCTTTTGGTTTCCCTTTTGAACCTGCACCTGTTGCCGTCGTCAGGCGGATCGACGACGACGGTCAGCACCGGAGCCACGGGAAGAAGAGCCGGAGGAGGAGGAGGCAGACTTGTGGCTGTGATGGGTTCCACAGTACATAACTCATGATTCATATTTTCCCGTAAAGGAAAGCAGAGTCTAAGAGGGGAAAGGGCATCCAGACCCCCGACTTAGAGCTTGGGATTCCTGTTGCTTGTGGTCTATTGTCCTCGCCATCGCCATCGTCCTTGGCTCTTCGCGGTGCTTGCGTGTATTTGTTTACTGGCTGTGTGACTTCAATGTTTGATTGTTGGTGCATGCTGGATGTTTGTTTTCAATGTGGAAGCACGCTCTGGCCACGAGTAGTGCTCCGCGTTCCATACGCCGCTCGAGACCTTTGGAGCTTTTGTGAAGGCCGGCGGCTCTGACAGCAACGCAGTCTTGCTGGCGAATGCCCAGATGGAGGCCTACAACGAGGCCAGATCGTTCTGGCCCGACCTTCCATAGAGCGCTTGCTGCTCCTGTTGACCTTGTAGATGCAGGTAGGTGATGAAATATGGGCGTTCACTCTGGCCATACTGCATTTGTGTCAACATGTGTGTCTGTGTTTGCCTGCGTTTGTGCCTGTGTCTATTTGTGTGTTAGTGTTGGTTTCAGTCTGTGGTTTCATCTCTATCCCCAGTCTCTGTCTCTGTCTGTCCTCCCTCTGTCTCTTTCTTTACGTGCAAGGCACGGAGTCAACAGTCTGGAATCTGAAGTGGTCAAATTATGGGAGATGTTCTTAGGAACCAAATTTGACCAATCCATGTTGAGCATCAAACAGGTGTCAATCAATGCCCTTGGGTCTCGTTTGCTTGTTTGCAACCCTCTCATCCTTGTCTTGCTTGCAGGGCGCTTCTGCTTGCCTGCTACCTTGCAATTCATTTGCCCTCTGCCAAGACAAACTCCATCTCCTTTGGGATTCGCTCAGCCCATCCCCAACAACATCCCTGGCGAGAAGCGGATGCCTTTGGTGCCGGGCGCCCCTGAGGGGGGTTGGGGGGGGGGTGACGTGGCTGGTGCCATGAAGTCTTTTTCACCCCATCTCTGAACTTTCAAAGCTTTTTGGGACCTTTTTAGTGGTAAACATGCTCGGTCTGATTTTTGTGGCCCATCCTGTGACGAGATTTCCGGTTGGAGTTGACTCGGTCCCATTGGGCCTGGTGGTTTCAGCCAGCGCTTTGTTTCCAGCACAGAGTCGTGGCATGTTCGGCCAACATGTGGGTCTCGCTAATTGTCCCATAAGAACCAGGACACTGATGGAGCCCCCATGCGAATTACGTGAACTGCATATGTTTGACTGTGGCTCCAGTTCAAATTGCTATTTGGGTCGATTGTAGCCACGAGTACCGTTGGCATCGGCGCCAGCTCGCCTGTAGCAGCCCGCAATTGAAGAGTAACAAGAACCACCTTCTGGGCATCAGAATGCGTGAAAGGAAGCCTCCAGGGGACCTCAGCGAAAACAACAAATGTTGACATCAACAATCGGATTCTGGCAGGCAAACATTCGGGGTGGTCTACTGGAATTGAGCAGTACTACGTTAGAGTATCGGGCAATGCTACTTTTGAGTTGGGAATGAGGATTCCAGAGCTCCAGAAGGATTCCAAAAGGAGCTTCGGTCCATGTTTCCATTTGATTTAGCATTGCTGGAGCTTCTTTTGAGATGTTGATTTGAATATCCAGTTGATTTGGTACTGTGGGATTTGACTTTCCATGTGATCTAGTATTGCTGGAGCTTCCTTGTGAATTTCAGTTGAGATTCCATTTGATTTAGTATTGTTGGGTTTGAGTTTCCATTTGATTTAGAATTGTTGGATTTAAGTTTCCTTTTGATTTCATTTAGTATTGCTGGAGCTCATAATATGGGCTGGGCACTCATGTGGTGTACCTCATGTGACCTTCTCAAACCATCACTTGTTGAAAGGGATTTGAGAAAGAAATTGCAAATTCGGAAAGCCCGATGGCTTGGCACTGCTTCATGGCTGTGCTAGTACTAGTGCAAAGCTGGCAGCTCTCTTCGCTCCGGCATTCTAAAACAAATGGGCATCAAATGAACAAGACACAGGGTATAGCAGTATGAGCATGGAAAAAGGCAGCAGCTGCATCACCAGACAAGATTTGAATGTGTTGTTGTTGTTGTTTTGTTGGGGACGTAGGGCCTCCTTAATGTTTGGGATTTTCGGTGGGTCCTGTCTAATACCCTTTGTGTGTGTTTTGGTGGAAGCTCACTTCTATTTGTTCAACTTGTTTAGTATTGGGGTGGGGTCCTGTGAGACCTGCGCTTGCTCAAAGCCAGGACGGTCCGAGATGCTGTGTCCGGATGTTACCCGCGGTGGATGGTTTCCGTTAGACTTGCAAAATATGTCGTCACAAGGGTGACCTTTACCTAAGATGCCCCAGTCCAACAAGCACCTTGCCTTGTTTGCAAGTAAGCAGGACGTTTGCCCATGGGTGTTTGACAAATGGTGGAACCCGTGGTTACATGGATCCACTGGTTGCTTGGCAGGGTTGTTTGACATACTTGCCTCCCACTGATTGCTCAGGCAGGTTTCTATCAGACAGGCCAAGAGAGCAAGACCTACCCATTTGCCACAGCTCCGAGGGCGGGCAAAATGAAGAGGTTCATGGCCTGCTTCGCTGACAAGGCGCGAGCCAAGTCCGGTCATCCGGTGAAGCCTGCCATGTCATGTGCCCTTCGAAAGGAAGGCCGAAGTTGAGTTGAAGGGATCCTTCTCAGACCATAGCACTTCCAAGCCCTGAGAAACTGCTTAGGTGTTGAACTTGTTCATGTTTCAAAAGCACTTTGCAGATCTTGCAGCTTTTTCAACGGTTGTCATGAGATGCGTCAACCCACGCTAACCGAATCGGCTTCAACAAGTTGAACAAGCTTCGAAAAGGTCGTGCCGTCGTGCCGTATGGAGCTGGGGCCGTAGATACGGGCGTGTCGGTTGGGAACAGATGCCGATGCGGTGCTCCGGGTTGAACCCTGGCTTCCCACGCGCGGATGCAAAAGGGCCATGGACGACGGGCTCGAATTGTTTTCGGCTGGGGGAATTTCTCCTTTTGGGGTTGAGTGGAAGGTAAGAATACATCAATACGCAATTGACAACTATGGGGCGGTCTCCGAAGCGGACAGACCCAGGGGAAGCTCGAAGCGGTAGGTGCAGATCTTGGACTTGAAGTCCGGGCAAGCCATCATTAAGGACTCGCGAGGGCTGAGAATGAATTGGACGCATATGATCTTGAAGACTTGGGGGGCGTACCCATGAAGGTCCAATTTACTGGGGGGGGGGGGGGGTAATGGCACTTGGCCCAGAGTTGCAGCGACATCGACTCGGCATACGAGCGATCGAGCCTGAAGGTCTTTGGAGGGATTCCTGTAGTCAGGTTGGTGGATGGAAAGGTACTTCGTGCAGATCTTCGGACCACCAAAAGTGGACCGGAAAGCTCCCTACGCTTCGCCGCAGTTTCCAGGACCTTGAAAAAAAAAGAAAAACATGGGGCAATGTACCCATGGACTTAGGGTAGCGCATGAACAAGGGGTGGAGACTTCCTGTCAATTTAGATCGTGTGCGTAGGTTGAAATTGGTTTCTGTTCAGGGTGGACTGGGTCTAAAAAAGACCCTCTACAGGTCGAAAAAAAAAAAAAAAAAAAAAAAAAAAAAAAAAAAAAAAAAAAAAAAAAAACATTCCCTTTCTTGTTCATTTGTTTCATGGGTTTGACTGGACCTGCGCGATACGTTTGACTCAGTTGACACTCCGTGGGTTCCGAAGGATCACAACTCCTTCGTCAAGCGGTACACCTGCGTCTTTAGAGAGCTGGCTGCTCAGAAACGAGCACCTGACTGTGACACACACACACACACACGCACATAGTTTAACACCAGAAGCGACTTGCGAGCATTCTTCAAGGCAAAGCTGTTTGGCCTCAGTTAGCGTAAGACGAAGGTTCACGCACCTGCGAAGATCGCAGGGCAAGAGGGCAAGAAAATCGCAGCCTTGTCACTAGTTCGAAAGAGAAAGCAATGAACGGAACGCACCAGCGTCTTTAACAAATTGCAAGGAACACAGCGCGGAACGATACGGACTCAGCACGGACGGCTAATCCCACAACGCCATCACCAATCATGCAGTCAACGCAAAGCTGGACGCGCACTGCCAATGCCAGAAGAAGCGCAGATGTTTGAGGGAGATTCTAATGATTCATGTTGGAGCCAGTGTCTCTTCATCAGCGGAGTTTTGTTCAGTGGCCCACCGGTCCAAAATAAAAGCTACACAAGCTACGTGAGTACTTGTAGATGTTTAAGAACTGTTGAATTCTTGAGTTGATGGTGTTAAAGGGCGGTTGCAAACAGTGCTTGGTAAGGAGAGAATCACGTTTTGTGTTTGTAGGATGTTGAAGACATCAAGCAGAGCTGCTCCCGAGTACAAACATGGCCACTAAAGCACAAGGATAGAAATGGGTTGGGTTTCAGCCTGTCCTGTACTTTCCCCCACCCCATTCTGAGCTCTAGTGCAGGGATGCGCTTGTGAACTCGCTAGTATTCCTGAGCTCGTGGCTCACTCATAACTGTAACAGACGGCTCCTGCAGCTCATGGCTGTGGAGCTGAAATTGTTTGTCGACTGACCATGCCACACACACACACTCTTCCGGACAATACGCCTCCGGACGAACAGAGAGATTGTTGAAGACACACAAGCGAGTGTGAGACGCTTTCAGTGAAGCCTGCGAGAAGCCTTGGACTGGGATTTTCCTCCCAGAATCCTTTCGCTTCGGCGTTTTTCTCGGCAGGCGTGGCCCGCCCGTCATCATCCTCATCATCATCATCATCAGCATCATCAGCATTAATGTGGGTGCCACCAGCGCGGCATGCCCTGCATCCTTGAGACTGAACAGGTCCCACATCCCTGGGTGGCTCAAAATACACGCAGAAAGTCACGCTTAATTGCTTGTTACACCGTGTGGTGCTGGTTTCCCTTGTGTTGATGATGTTGATGATGATGATGATGATGAGATCCGCTTGTTTTAAACAACCTCTCCGATCCCAACCGTAGCGCCGGCCAGAGCTCTGGCATGAACCGCGGCCAACGTGAGATGACAGACAGTCTCACGTCGTGACTGGACTCCAGCAGTTGAAATTCAAGGCGCGGTCGAAATTGGCGGCTCTATTGACATGCCAATTGCGAGGAGCCCCCCGCATTCAGCGGCGTCGCTTCCTTGTCAGTAGACGCGCCATGGCATGGTCAAGGTGTTTTGACGTGGAATACAACGGGCCGTCTTACGAATTTGTGTCAATTATATGATACGAGTGACGACCGTGCCGTGCGCAGGGTTATGAGCATGGCGCGTGTGATGAGTCTTGACTGTTGCTCGCCCAACACGAAACGCCGCTAAGTCACTAGCCCAGAAAAGGCGTGCTGGCGTAGCTTGTAGCTCCCGTGCCGCTGTGAACCGTGGCCGCCGTAGACAAACATTGACGTTTTCCTGACATGTCGTGATTTGGTGACCGCGTTCCATGTGATCTTCTTAACAGTAGACTGTTGACTTGGCAATCGTACAATCAGGCTTGTCACCGGCCAAGCGCGGCATCACATGCGGTGGTTCCGATCTCGGCCATGAGCGAGCCGCAGAATCAGGAGGGTGTTTTGCCCTTCCGCCTCTCCATGGCATCGCAATCAAAGCTTGACGTCGGCGCCAAAGCGCTTAGTACTTGCTGGCGCTTAGCGCAGAGGAGTTTCTCAAAGTGGTGCCCCTTTTCGTTGGTACTCGAAGGCAATTCAAAAGACAATTCACATTTTTTAGGAAAAACACCCTGTCAGAGATGATAATGTTATTGGCCCGCAGCTTGGGGAAGGCCCAAACTTATTGGAAGCCTTGACCGCAAGGGTCCACAAAGAACTGCACATGTCCTTCTGGGTGTGGCTCCTTTGAGGGTGCTCGTTTTGGGGCGCATTTGGTTGCGCACCTTTGAGAGCCATCAGAACTTCTGAACATCTCCCAAGATCTTCCAACAGTTGTCTTGGAGTCTTTCCCTCCCTTTGCTCGGGTTCTCCCATGTGATTCTTTTGGGGCCGAACCTTTGTTTTATATTTACTGCTTTTACTCCCTTACAAAGCACGCCTTTTGGGCTTTCCCTTTTCCGCACAATCTTTTCTATTTTGTTCAGCCCCTTAAAGATTGGATAGAACTATATAACCCTTTGCACCCTTTGCACCCTTTGGACCCTTTGGACCCGTTGTTTCTTTCCGGCCTCCCCCCCTAGAACATATGCTCAGCCCAACGCCGGCGACTGGAGGTCAGGTTCAAAGCTGTCGGGGCCGGGAGCCTCAGCTTGCGAACCCAGCTCGGCGGCTTCAAAGTTCCGAGAGCCGCCCTCCGGGCTCCCCGAATTTTGTTTTTTGGGGGGGGTCCTTCGCAAAACAGGGACGCCCGACGTCTTGACTGGAACCATCAGTGAAAAGAGCAGCTACCCTCCTTGTGTAGCTCCGTGCGGGTGAATTTCCAGGCTTTCTTGATGACTCACCCACAGTGCTTGAGTCTGAAGCAACCAAAAGTCGCCACAACGCTGTAAAACAGACAGGTTCATACGGGCTGCTCCAACATTCAAAGCAACATGCTAATCACAAAGGTGGGACATTTGTATTGGCAGGCCTTCCAAGCTTTTCTACGCCCAGGTGATGATTTCCATGGGCTGCAAACGAGAACCGGCCACATTCAAAGCGATCTTCCTCGTTTCATGGCAATGATGAGTCTTTTGTCCAATGCGTGTTTGGTGTGTTGGGTGTGTTGGGTGCATTTGTTTGTTGCTTTGTTTGTTTGTTTGTTTGTTTGTTTGTTTATGTTTCTTTATTTCTCTGTTTCTTTCTTTCTTTCTTTCTTTCTTTCTTTTTTTCTTTCTTTCTTTCTTTCTTTCTTTCTTTCTTTCTTTCTTTGTCTGTCTGTCTGTCTGTCTGTCTGTCTGTTTGTTTGTTTGTTTGTTTGTTTTGTTTAAGGGGACTCTTGGGAGGTTTGCCCCGGAAAACAAAGGGATGTCACTTTATGTCTAAGTGACTGCAAAAGCACTTTGCTATCAAGTATCACTCATTTGTACTTAGTGCAATTTGTGCAATGATACAAGTGACCTTTCAGGGTCCTTTGGAATGGGGTTGCAGGGGAAAGGGGAGAGCAGCAAATTTGAGGTTTGGAGGGCAAGTTTGAGGTTGGGAGGGGTTCTTGAGGAGCGTGTCACGGCGTGTCACGGCGTGTCGGGGGGTGGCCAATTGCCGGCACATGTTCGTTGAACGGTCACCTTTGTTGGATATGAGCGTGTCACCAGCGTGTCTCTCCCCCTCCCCCCCCCTGCGCGTTGCATGTGCAATGAGCATACATGCCAGCCCAACCCCTCAATTGGATCCCCTCTAATCCTGAAGTGACGTTTCAACAAAAGTGACTTTTCACTGCACTTTGATGATGGCAAAAAACAAAAATGTGGGTACAAAACCATCTTTAAACAAGTGCTGGTCAATTGCCGGCACTTCACCCGAGACGCCAATTACCGGCCATCGGGGGGGCCTGGTTTGGAGGTTCCCCGATTTGGAGACAGACCAATTTTCGGCCTTTGTCAGTTTCCCAAGCTGAAAGGTAGCAGTTGCAGTTCAAATACCCGCCACAAGACCAAGATTGCTCAGGTATGCCTTCCACAGGTCAGTGCGATGCCTGTGTGTTTCTTTGCTTTGCAAGGCTACCCTGCCATCAATTGCATGAAGTTGTAGGACTTGGCTGCGTGGATTCGTGCTGTTCCGAGATGTTTTCGACAAGAGGTGGAGCGTGTTCAATGCTGAACATATTCGGACGCAGATCTGTTTGGCTTGCAAAGGCTGTCACAAAGCCACGCCCAGAAGGGACGTTGGCTGTACAACTGTTTTGGCAAACCATCCATTCAAGGAAACAATTTGAGGGTTGACGTGTTTCCCTTCAGACTGCCATTTAGGGGGGAAAACGAGAATGTCACTTTCATGGACGCAGTAATCCCTTGACATGGTGGCATTCAAGGGTTGCTAAGGAGATAGCGTCTTCTCTGGCTCTAAATCTTATTGGGTGCATGTTCCAGAAGATCCCAGGCAATATTTAGAAGAAAGAAAGCCAGTTTGCATATTGCTCCCCAAATTCAAAAGGGACTTCTCCTCGGCGTTTATCTAGCATCTTCCATCGATCGAGGGCCTGCACCAAGCGGTTCTACTTCGACGCCAAAGGCCACGCTTGGGGGGGATGTGCGACGTGCCACCGGTTTGCTTATGACTGTGGTGTTTCAGGGTTTGAGTCTGCAACATAGACGCTAGGGGGTTGAAGGTGACCCAAACGGGCCAGGTTCCACCATAGGAACACATGTAAAGGAAGATGCGACATTACCATTTGATGAAGAGCACTCACGGACTGCTTGTTGTTTGTTTGTTTGTTTGTTCGTTCGTTCCTTTGATTGTTTGTTTGTTTGTTTGTGTGCGTGTTTGTTTGTGGGTTGGTTGCTTGGTTGGTTCGTCCGTTCGTTCGTTTGTTTGTTTGTTTGTTAGTTTGTTTCCTTTGTTTGTTTCATTGTTTGTTTGTTTGTTTTTCCTTTGTTTGTGTGCGTGTTTGTTTGTGGGTTGGTTCGTTAGTTGGTTGGTTCGCTCGATTGTTTGTTCGTTCGTTTGTTTTGTTCGTTTGTTTGTTTGTTTGTTTGTTCGTTCGTTTGTTTCTTCGTTTGTTTGTTTGTTCGTTTGTTTGTTCGTTCGTTTGTTTGTTTGTGTGTGTGTGTTTGTGTTGGTTGGTTGGTTGGTTGGTTGGTTGGTTGGTTGGTTGGTTGGTTGGTTGGTTGGTTGGTTGGTTGGTTGGTTGGTTGGTTGGTTGGTTGGTTGGTTGGTTGGTTGGTTGGTTGGTTGGTTGGTTGGTTGGTTGGTTGGTTGGTTGGTTGGTTGGTTGGTTGGTTGGTTGGTTGGTTGGTTGGTTGGTTGGTTGGTTGGTTGGTTGGTTGGTTGGTTGGTTGGTTGGTTGGTTGGTTGGTTGGTTGGTTGGTTGGTTGGTTGGTTGGTTGGTTGGTTGGTTGGTTGGTTGGTTGGTTGGTTGGTTGGTTGGTTGGTTGGTTGGTTGGTTGGTTCGCTTGATTGTTCGTTCGTTTGTTTCCTTCGTTTGTATGTATGTATGTATGTTTGTTTGTTTGTTTGTTTGCCTGTTTGTGTTTGTATGTTGGTTTGTTGGTTGGTTTGTGTTTTTTCCTGTCTTAACTTGTTAATGTGCTTGTTTTTTGTTTGTGTGTTGTTTTGATTGTTTCTTCTGTTGTTTGTTTGTTCCGTTTTGTTTTGTCGTTGGTCAGGTCCTACATACTGCCTGGATTATGAGACGCATCAAAGCTTGGTCACCGCTATGCCTGGCACCCCCCCAGCCGCTGCCTCGAGGGTCAGACGGGTCTTTGGACTTTGAATGGTGGGGCTTCCTTCGCTTTCATGGGGACGAATTGGGCGTTTCGCTTGGTTCCCTTCCGGCTCTGGGGATCCAGGTTCCCTTCTTCAGGAATTCTGCATGTGGATGGTTCCGGAAGGCTGACGGGGCGAGGCACCAACGACATGGCCAAAAACGCGGCAAAGCCATGTTCAGGTGACCCTCGAGTCATTGCAGTCTGTCATTGCAGTCTGTCAAGCTCGACACAATATCTTGATGAAGACAGGCCTTGCAACAGGAAGGGTGTTTCCAAAAAAGGGCCATGGATTTCCTTCTGCTTGTTGAAATGAAAGCAAACTAAAACTTGCAGGTCGAGTTTAAAAGTCGCCTGTTTTGGGACACGCTCTAAGCCTTTCCTCGACGCTCCCCAGCTGTTCTGGAGTCTTGGATGGACGTGAATCCACCACCCCTTTTGGGTGGCTTCAAAGGGTGGTGCTTCCCTGTGTGGTTAGCGATTAGGAACACCAAAAGAAAACCAATCAGTTTAGCAGCCCCTGCTTAGACACACACACACACACACCAAGTTCTTTCATGTCAGTGGGCAAATTGAATTGAAGCTTGCATGCAGCAATTTGCGTTTTGACACCCAAGCAATGGGTTGGCCTTCGTTCTCTAAATGAGCAAGGGCCGCTGAGAATTGAGTGGGCAAAGTGAATTCCGGATCAATACACGCTGGCTAAGCAAGCTGGAAGGCTCCAGAATAGTGGGGTTCCCAGTTTTTGGACCAGGATGGCAAGCTGGGAGTGCGAGAGCCGCGGACCGAGCACCTCATTGCCGGCGCCTTGAGCCGCTCGCATGGGTCGTGTGTGTGTTCGGGACCTCTGGTGGTTGTACCCATTGACCGGCACGCCCGACATGAGGATTTAACAACATTTCACGATTTTTGTCCGACTTCGTTGGATGCGTATTCGTTACAGTCTCCGGTGCCATGCTCTTTGCCCAGACCGAATTGCTCGAATCCCGTGGCTGAGCGGCATGTTGACTGACGGGTCAGGTCTTGTACGAGGAGAAAGGTGGCAAGATCACCAAGATGTGGTTGAAGCGTGGGTGCCAAGAATTGTGGAGTGATTTTGTTTGCGCTATGCACTAAACCATGTCCAGGTGTTTCTCAAAGTCATATAATCTGCATCCCATTCAAGAGAATAGGGGCTGGCTCCGGGACAGCATTGAGCAAACTGGTTTATTTCCCCAGAAACGCGTAGCAAACCGAAATATTCTAAGCCCATCTCCTTTTGACAGCTTCCTTCCAACCATTCCAAACAGCATTTTGAGACAGGAATGTGTTCAATATGGATTCCTCCCTGGGCTGGTGTTCTTCTAGTCTCCTGTAAAACAATCCCACCGGGCGGTTTCCCTTCAAACCAGCATTTGGTTGGATATTGCCTCATCAAAACGGACCCAGAACCAGGGTCCTGCTTGAGCCTGCCAGGCAAGACGCAGACAAGCTGGGCGCTGACACCTACGCTGGAGAGGCAGAGACTCCAGCCAGGTCGCTTCCCCTTTTCCTGTTTTTGGAAGGGGTGCCCTGTAAAACCAACGATTGAAATTCCTAAAAGAAGGCACTCATGAGTTTAGATACCCTTATGCACGTAAATGGACCCATCCAGAATTCATGAGATGCGGATGTCAAGACTTTTGCCAGGACATTCTGGCGGCAAGTGAGGCATTCAAGCAGTTCGAGGCGCGAGTGAGTGCAATGCTCCACCTCAACCTCAAGCCGACATCATCCGTTCACCGAGGCCAAGATCAAGGAGCTCAAAGGTGGCAAGACTGGGGAGTGCGCCGGATAGGTTGGTCGCGAAGGGGCGCTCCAAGACAAAGAATCCCAATAGGATGCACACAACAAAGATGCTGGATGTTTGGCGCTGCCTGACAGGTATATCTTCCACAACTACCATGATATTCCCAGCGTCGGATAACAGGACATCCCGGATATGGCAAAAACATTGTTCAACTAATTGAATATTGAAGGGGTACGCTGTGGGCCCTGGTGTTTTCCATATGACATGGTTGTTTTTGCAGAGGTGCAAACAGATTATTTCAAGGCAAACTAACTGGCTCAACACCAATCCATACCTCAACAACTCCAAATATAATAAAGAATATAACCTTGATATAATTATATCTATAGGATATAGAATGAATAATATTTTAGATATAAATTTTAAATAATGGGCAATATAAATATTAAAATAAAGCTAAAACATTATTTATAATATTTATTAATATTAATTGATATTGAATTATTTAAATTATAATTAATATGTATATTTAAATTTAAAATATTAATTATGAATAGTTAATTTGATTTTTTTATAGAATTAAATAATTAATATTAAAAAATTATAATTTAAAAATATTGAATTTTTAAGAAATTAATTGTAAAAAATAATATTATAATTTATTATTTTTATTGTGTTATATTAATAAATATAAATATATAGAAAATTATAAATTTAAATATTTATGTAATAATATGTTATTTTGCATATTTAGATTTTTTTGGTTATGAAATAAATATTTTTGGGATAATGGATATTTTTTGTTCGAATCGAGAAGGAATATGTTTTATATGTATTATTGGAATTTAATTTATTTGAATATTTTATTAAATTTGGATATATAAAATTGAGATTTGTTGAATTCATGTTCTTGTTATTTGTGATTTAAAAGAATTATAAATAAATTATGTTTTTTTTAAAATTTTTTTTATATTATTTTGATATTAATTCGTTATATGATTTTACAGGATTTTATAATTCTTTTTTGGTTTGATAATTGCCAATATAAAAATATGGATTGATGGATATATGTTGGACAAATGATTATTTTTCGAGGCGTATTTCGTAATTGATATTGGTAAATCCTCTATAGAAGCTAACACGAAATGTTAATAAATATTTATATAAGGAATGATATGATTTGTTATATAATTATTGGCCGGTTTTAATCGTCTTAATTTTGTTTTGATAGTCTTCCTTATAAATAAGTTTGATAATCATTACTCCTCACCAATAATATTACATGATAATATTTATTATTAATTTTATATACTAATTTGAATAATAATAATTATTTATAAAAATGTTCATAATAATAATTTAAAAATGATAAATTAATTAAACCTATGAGTTTAGAAAATATATATAATAAATATATCCTAGACTTCTAAAGGACATTAAATAGATGGCCGAGGTAACAAAATACATTTTCTAAGAAAAGGTATTATTTTTGGTTCAATTTGGTTGGATCATGATTTTCACGAAAATCGTACTCAAAAGTAGCTGGAGGGGGCTGCATAGTCCCATTTTGCCGAGCTTGAGAATGCTTCATAAATACAAAAGATTATGTAATCAATGTGTGTCTTAGTATTGGAAGCTGGAAGTTTGCCATGTTTTAGGATTGAACAGAGATAAAAGGCGGATAATTGGATAAGTCAATGGCAAAATATTGGCAAGAAGAAGGTAAGGTTCCAACGCGTCCCTTCCATCTCCATAATAAGCGCCCAATGTGTTGATAAAATGATCTTTGTTAAATCTTTAGCAGTTATTATATAATTGTTTGGAGGTCTACCATCTTGAGTTTTAAATACGTGGTTGGTAAGCCTAAGCATGCGTGAGCAGAAGCAAGAGCAATTCCTAAGCATGCAATTGCAATTTTCGGAATGATTCCTAGATATATAATTTTAATGTCTCAAAACGATTTAGAACGATTTAGGGTATAATGTTGCAATCGCTCCTGAACGGTTTAACACGGTTTAGGGCATGCTGCTTGCAATTATTCCTGAACGGTTCAGAATGGTTTAGGGTATGTTATTGCAATCCCTCTTGAACGGTTTAGAACGAATTATAGTATGATGCTGCAATCCTTCTTGAACGACACAGAACGGTTCCTGGGAATCTTGAATGACGAATTTAGAATAGTTCTGAATTATATGCCTGTTTTATGTATTGCTTACTAGACGGGCTCCAGAACGGTGTAGAACGGTTTAGGGGCATGGGTTCCAATACCCCCGGAACGATTCAGAACGGTTTAGGGGCACGTGTTCGAATGTCTCTGGAAGACAAAGAATTTATTAAAATGAATATAAAAATTATATAAACATTTACATAGAAAAAAGGGCTAGTTAAACCATTTTGAACCGTTTAAGAAACACATTTTAAGCATGGAGGTTCGTCCGCAGAATTTGCGTGCATATATAACCGCATCGATCGTTCCTCTTTTCCGGCCTTTGTTCAATTGGATTTTTGGGATCGATTCTTGGATTCCCTGGATCTTGCGGACAAACGAGAGGAAGCCGCGGCAGAGAAAAGCAATTAATGCCTAACAATACCATAATGCGGCAAGCAAAGCTGCAAGAATATAAGGCTTGAAATCGTCTTTTGTAATTCTTAATTGGTTGGATTAGTGGCTATGCGGAGATAACCGCGTGAAGAGTCGTGTGTGTATATGTGTTTGTGTGTGTGGATGGTGTTTTGCGCGTTGGGTGTATATTAGGAATATAGACATTACTCTTGATGTTCTTTAAGATTAGCCTTTGTAAGGTCGTCTAACAATAAATTCATTAAATATTGATTATTGGAAAGAGAAGAGCCCTTAAATATTCTTAATGTTATTTATGCAATTGTTATAATTAATAATCGGACATATTAGACGTTTTATGATAAAACATAGTGTTCTTAGTCCTAGGTTCCTATAGCATCTCCTTTCTTATGATTATTTAATGCACATATATCTTGGTGGGGGTTTTGGCTGCTGCGTGTTAGCATAGCAAGGTAATCCAAATACATAATTTTGCATTCGGAATTGTTTCGTTTTGCCAACGATATACATGTATGTAGTTCGTAGTTACTAGTATGTATGAACATGTATAATAAAGATATCGTGGCTTTTCTAATGGTTTATGATTCATGGTTTGCCTTCCTTTAGTGATATGAATAAGTAAAATTCACGCAGAAAACAAATCTCATTAATATATATTCCTAATAATAAAGGATATTAAATTATATATAGTTACTCAAAATCGGGGAAACGAAAATGAATTACAATTATTTATCTCACTCTTTGTTATATTATTTACGGACTCTTTTTATTAAGGGCTAGGCTAACTGATTTATTTATGTGATTGATTACGTTTTTATTTCGGGTACGACGAAAACGATAAATCTCCTTATTTATAAAAACTAGATTTTGATTTAAAAATACTATTATGAAAATTACTTATGAAAACATATATTTATGAAATTATTATTGAGAAATTATATTTATAATATTTTTATAGGAAGAATTTTATATTCTTTACTTCATTTTTTAGCATGGCGGGATAAGAGCGATAGCATTCTACCGAAAAGTATGTTTTTACGGGGATTAGGGTAGTGGATATTGATTTTTGATTTGTGTATGCAATCCTTTGCGGAGATTTATATGGTCGAGGTTTTAAAACAAAATAATATTTTTTGCGAGTTTGATTGTTTTATTTGCGAATTGGTCTCGGAATCGCGCGATCGCAGGTTCGACTCTCGTTTAGTCCTCGACAAATTTTCTAGATAGAAATCGCAATTTTTTGGTTTAAATATAAGATATAAAATATAGGTTTTATAATTCCGGCTATATATTTTATTTTATTTTTTGAAATAAAAAATTAATAAATTGCCCGAAAAATCCGGCAGTACTTATAGAGCAACCTATATAAAATCATTCTATTGGGCATTTGCACAAAGTAACTACCACAAATCAAATTCTTAAATTAGAATAATTATTATTATATAAATTAATTATAGTATAGAATCATTATATATAATTGCCAATAAAGCCGGCAAAACCGGAGAACAACAACTTCAAAAATATAAACACTATAATTTTGTATCTATTTCTTTTCTTTCTTTTTTCTTCCTATTCCCGGTTTCTCTTTAATCCATCATTCTGTATTTCTTCCTATCTTTCTTTCTTTCCTTCCTTCCGTCCTTCTTTTCTTTAATTCTTTCTTTCTTGTTGCTTATTTGTGCATTCTTTCTTTTATTTCTTCTCTATTTATATATCTATCTGTCTACCTATCTATCTTTATGCCTATCTATCTCTCTTTGTATCTATCTAAATATCTATCTATTTATCTCTCTATCTATCTATCTCTCTTTCTATCTATGTATCCATCTCTCTCTCTCTCTCCATCTACCTCTCGTATATCTATCTTTGTATCTATCTATCTCTCTCTTTCTCTCTCTCTATATCTATCTATCTTCCTCTCGATCTATCTCTCTATCTATATCTATCTAGCTCTCTATCTAGCTCTCTATCTAGCTCTCTATCTAGCTCTCTATCTAGTTCTCTATCTTTCTATCTCTCTATCTTTCTATCTCTCTATCTTTCTTTCTCCATCTATCTCTCGTGTATCTATCTATCTCTATATCTATCTATCTATCTCTCTATCTATCTATCCTTTTATCTATCTATATATCTATCATTCTATCATTCTATCAATCTATCTATTTCTCTCTCTCTGTATCTATCTTCCTCTCGATCTATATCTATCTATCTCTCTATCTATCTCCCTATCTTTCTATCTATCTATCTCTCTCTTTCTCCATCCATCTCTCGTGTATCTATCTATCTCTGTATCTATCTACCTATCTCTCTATCTATCTATCTTTCTATCTATCTATGTATCTATCATTCTATCTATCTATCGTTCTTTCTTTCTATCTATCTCTCTATCTCTCTGTCTATCTATCTATCTATCTATCCATCTATCCATCTATCTCTCTCTCTCTCTCTCTCTCTCTCTCTTCTATCTCTCTCTCTCTCTCTCTCTATCCATCTATCTCTCTTCTTTTATCTATCTACCCATCTCTTTATCTATCTGTTTATCTATCTATCTGTCTATCTATCTATTTTCTATCTAATCTTTCTATCTATCTATCTACTTTCTATCTACTTTTTATCTAATCTATCTATCTATCTATCTACCTATCGTCCACCTATCTATTCTCTCCTTGTATCTATCTACCTATCTCTCTATCTATCTATTTATCTATCTATCTGTTTATCTATCTTCTTTCTATCTACTTTCTATCTAGTCTATCTATCTATCTACCTATCTATCTTTCTATCTATCTATATCCCTCTGTCTCTTTTTATCTATCGATCGATCGATCTATCTATCTATATATCTACCTAGCATCCATCTATCTATCTATCCATCCATCCATCCATCTATCTGTCTATCTATCTATCTGTCTGTGTATCTATCTATCTATCTGTTTATTTATCTATTTATCTACCTATTCCTTTTGTTGTAGTTGATGGCTGTTTGTATATCGAACGAACAATTTGCGCGGGAATAATTATGGGGTTTTGATGTTTTCGGGCCAATTGTGGTTTAAGTTGATGTTTTTCGAATTAAAATAATAATTAATGTTTTTTTGTTTGAGTCTTTTTTAAAATATTAATCTATATTATATATTGTTGATTGGTTTTGGTTGATTTGAGGTTTTTCAATGGGTAACAAATAAAATATCATTTGTTTATTTTCGATGTTGTTTTGTCGAATTATGATTTCTAAATGGATTAAATGAAATATATTTTGTAGATTTTTAATTATTTTTTCTGATTGTTTAAGAACATTTTGGCTCAAGGTAATTTTAAGATATTAAATGAGCTATAACCAAACTTGTATATAACCTATAAATGGATACAAACCTAAGAATCTATGAATGTTTTCATTACGGGATTCTCTATTCCCGAACAGCCTGGCTTACCTGGTTTGCTCGGTTTAGTGTGGGCCTTAAGAAATGGAAAAGGGTGGGCTGCCGACTACGCCAAGCTTTACCGACCATGAACCAATTCACATTATTATCTACGGTAGGATAATATTTCCGAAATCATATTTATGAAATTTCGTCGATTCATTTACGAATAAGTTTCTTCAATTTCTTCAATTTTACCTAGGGGCAAAAGATTCAAATGATATATTCACAATCGATATATTTTTCTTAGTCAGTATAATATTTCTTTAAATTGAATCAATAAATTGTATATGTCGCATACTATATTTTAATCAATATATTGCGACTAACGATTACCTATCTTATTAGCTTCTTCTAAATAAAATATTTAATTCACTTCACCCACATTCCCAAACCAAAATTCACTCTATCCAACACACAAATATATGTTTTTTTTTCTTCTTTTTTTTCTAGAATTATTCCATAATATATCTTATTTAATTATATTTATAATTAAATACCATAAAAACATAAAATAAAAACAAATCATAATAATTATATAATTGTATTCAAAAATATATATAACAAAATAATTAATCAAATTCAATATGTTTATATTCAATTTATATGTCATCTATATATATATATATTATATAAAGAACACATAATCCAATTTCACCAATATATCTTTACATATATCCAAACATCAATACAACAAATCACCATTCGTATTTGATGTATTAAAGAGCATGCCAATTCTAGCAGCTCTCTCATTTGTTCACCTCTTTCCAACACTTCAACCCAGCTTTGCCAGGACCTTAGCCGCCATGTCCGGCAGATCCTCATAGAGCTCCGTGGTGAAGTTTCCCTTCGTGGCGACTTCGTATCGCCAGGGTGGCCCATAGGTGGAGTCGCGATCCATCAGCACGTGCACACTCACATCCTCCAGGCAACAAGGCTCCACCATGCTCCAGGGTACCTGCAGAGGTGGGTTCACCAGGCACAGGCTCTGTGGCTTGCGCTTCTGGGACACCAACTCTCGCACCATGGCAAAGGCCAAAAAGGCCCCTGCGCCGAAGCCCACCAAGGCGCAGCCTTCCTCACAGGGCTCCGACATCTGTGCGGCCAACTGCTGGGCCTTGGGCCCCATGTCCTCCAAGATGAGGTCTTTACTGATGAGCTGTCTGGATGGCACCTGGGAATCGTGCCACTGCATCGACTGCGCCTCAGGAAAGCTCACTTGCTTCACCTCCAGCGGCGCCCCCTTGAAAAGTTCCTGGTCAGCTCCATAGAGCTCCATGAGTAAATTCAGGCGTTGCAGGGGCTTGGGTGGTGAGCCACTGCGCACAAAGGCTTCGCCCTCCATTTCCAAGGGCTCCCCTTTGGCCTCCGAGGCCTTCAGCGCCTGGATGATGTCTTCCACCTCCCCGTGGCCCGAGACATTCGGCACCACCAGCAGCTGCTTCGCCGCGGAAGGCTTCGAAGCCGGCCGCTGGATGGGTAGCCACAGCCTCCGCCGCAGCAGGTTGTCCGGATGATCCGTGGGGATGAAGTCGTTGCCTCGTTCCATGGCGTACAAAAACCGGGCGAATCGCCAGAGGGTAGATTGATCCTTTTTGAGCACAGCTGGCTTGTGACCATCTCCATGTACAACAACTTCCCTAAAGTCTCTGTGAATAAAGAGCGGCAGCTCCTCATACTCCATGTAGGGGTGGTTCTCATCAGACGTAGCCCAGCTGCAGATGGTTGGGATGCGCAAGGGCGCCTTAATACGCTGCGCCCCCAAGGGTGAGAGATGCTTGGGCGCTGTAGAGGTGAACAAGATCAGAAAGCGGAAGGCCTTCTGAAGCTCGACGTCGCCCTCGGTGGCCAAATTGGCCGCATGGACCAAGAGCTCACCGCCCATGTCGAAGCCCATGGCGCCATCGAAAGGCCCATTGGCCTGGGTGCCAAAGCCATGTCTGGAGAAAAAGGCCAACAACATGATCCATCCATCGCCTTATGTTTCTTCTTTTTTTCTGTAAGAAGGGCAAATGGAGAAAGACAGTGTGAATTCCCATCTTTCTGGTATCCCTCTTGGGAAATTGTTCTATTTGGGTGTGTTTTTTGAGGGGTACCCCTTTTTTTACAACTACCGACACACCCATTTGACATTATTTCGCACGCCTTGAGGAAGGACTTGAACTCCTTGATGCTGTGGTCCAGGCCCTCCCAGGTCTCCCACTGGCAGTTGGCAAAGGGCAGGCGCTCGAAGTAGACGCTGAAGTTGGGGCCGAAGGGCTTCAGGGAGTAGTCACCATTCCAGCCCAGGGGCACTTCATGGGGGCCGGTCCAAATGGTCCAATCCAGCTGCTTCTTGTTGGGCAGGTCTTTGAAGGTGCTGTTCAGCTGCATCTGAGCCACGGTCTTGCTCACGCCGCCACCGTGCAGGTAGAGCATCTTCATCTTGCCGTCCTTCCCAAAGCACTGGCCCTTGGGCAAAGGGAAGTCCTTGCTCATTGGCACACAGGGCTCCAATGCTCCCAGCTCAGGATACGAGGGGGCCGGCCCAGCCGGATCCGAACAGGGCTGGATGAGATCCTTGCCCGCCACCTTCAAACTCACCCAGCCTTCCACTGGCCCCTCCCCCCGCAGCAAGCAGTACCTCAAGCGTTCGCCCTGGCGCTCCAGCTCTCCCACCACGCTGCCTGTTGCCAGACGCTCCGAGAGCTCAGGCGATTTCAAAGCCTGGCCCTCGCGAACCAGGATGCCTCCTTTCTCACCACCACCCACCACCTCCCAGAAGGACATGGCTCAGGCACCTGTCGTGAGCGTGCACTGAAGTATCAAATGGTGTCCATGTTGGCCTGTTTGCGTGGGAGTCTCAAGTGGTCTGCTGGGCTTCCGGAACTTTGGTATGGAACGATGCCTTCAAATCCATCGCGTGTGCAAAACAAGGTGACAAACGCTAGACATGCGATTCAGCGCTTGAAGTATGCATCAAAGCGACGAGATTAAAACCTTGCCCCACTTACAGCTTTCAAATCGCGACAGAAGCATTGAGGGGCCAAAACCCTCATGACCTGCGCAGAGCAGGGCAAACGTTGTGGCTGATTTCAATCGGCGGCACAAAAATTGGACATTCCGCATGAGTGGCCCAAGGCTTGGTCAGACTCCATGTTGCAACGCACCTTGAGAAAACCGGATAAATTGTCCCCTCAACCTCTCTTAAGCAGGTCCGGCCAGTTGATTTGAAGACTAGCATGCCGCCGATCTGGCACGGGTGACGGACCGAACGAAGACAGTCCGTCCCACACTCTATGGGTGCAAGCGTGCCGAAGGATCACAAATACGCCCTCTGTGAAGCCAGGGCAACGTGGAAGCAAAGACAACTTTGAGGCCTGAACAGAGCAACTTTTCGAAAAGCACGAGAAGCTCAAAGCTTGGTGTTTCCGAAGGGTTTCATACCAACTGGTGCAGGATGTTGTCCATCTACGGTATATCGAAAGAGTCGTTGTGGCCCTTAGGAGAAAAGGCTACGGGCTCCTTTGCGCGCAAAGGCTCCAACCCACTTTCGATGAACACAACGGTTGGAGAGCTGACTAGGAAGCTCAAAAAAAACACTCGATGAAGCCATCGTCTGAATTTAACCAATCTGAACTGGCTCACGTACAACAGAAAGTAAACACAAAGGACGGGGACAGGGAGATCACCAAATGTTAGAATTTCTTTCCCCTTCTTCTTCCGATGTTCCCTGCCGTTCCCCCTCCCTCACCCGCTGCTGCCCTTCTTCTCGTTGCTCACTTTCATGAACTTTCATGATTGGATCATATTCATCTTCTTGGAGCAGTTCTTTGAATGATAAACACCGCAATATAATACATGTCCATGACAAGATACTCATAGTTTCACAATACGAAATTGCTCACTCTGATTTAATGTTCTATCCACACAACAGCTACTCAAAATGCGGACAACAGTCAAGCATCACCTCACTGTGGTACAACAAACATTCCATATCCCAAGCAAACCAAGATGAACACACACACACACACAAATAGATATCATCTCCTAATTCACACAATATTCAAGAATGATATGATTAAACATTTCCTCAATGTGTCAACAAAAACACATGTTATGTTCTATCAACAATATCAATGCACCATCAATATCTCAATTCATACAGCAGTTCAATATGCAATACGACGAATATCAAATATGTATTTCTCAAAAGTACAACCCATTAAATGCATAGCATCATAAACATAATACCTACAGGCCAGTATCTCATTCAATTGTGCTTTGGAGAAACAGCGGGACTTATATATATAATGTACTCTATGATATTCATATTTTTGCCTTAGTGGTAATCATTGCATTTCCATGTCTACCGCCCTGTGCAGAGACCCGCAGCTGCCGCGGCATGCCTTTTGCAGCAGATATGCAGAGCGGCCACAGACCAAGAGCATCAGCTGGCTGTGACTTCGAACAAGTACCTCCTACCAACTAACGTGCCACCAAACAGCCCCTTCTGGAAGAACGTGGACAGGCTGGCACATTGGTGACTTGACTGACAAGGTGACCGGCAAACGGATTGACAAGGCTTCAATGCTTCGTGCGTGTGAGCCTCGGCACATGCGCAAACATGGGCGCATCTCTGGAAGCCTGATGAGAAATCTGTCTCACACTCAGAGCCTAAAATGCATCGTCGCTCACATCCGGGAAAACATCCTGCGAATCCAGATGTCAGTTTCTTCCACTGCATTATGGAGTGCGCTCTCAACAGGCCTTTGTTTTCAATCCGGAGACATTCCAGACATCTCATTCGATCATTGCTCCTGGACAATGATACACATGCTGGATCAGGGAACCATCAGTTTCGTTTGTTCCATTTGAAAGGTGAGGAGCATCTGTGCGCTGAACCAACTTGGCATACTAGTGACATGATCACAAAAAAACCTGCTTTGTGCGACCAACTCTCGGCACCGTCTTCGTTTGAGGGCTCCCCTTTTGGGGTTGTTGTCAAGTTTTCAAACATGGAGGGTTGCCCCAATCAAATAGCCTTCTTGGCAAGCCCCCAGAGCGACCGAAACCTTTCGTAGCCCATTGGGAAAGGAAACTTATGATCGGCGGTTGCAAATCATCTTTTGGGCCGCTTGAGCCGGATATGGTAGGTGGTTCTACCAACGTGATCATAGCACCCCTCCCCAAAAGGAAGTGGAAGCAACCTAGAATGTCAACCTGTCGGCCTGCGGGCAGCAGGATGAATCCGACTGGCTCATGCCTGGCACCTGGCTGGGCCACTAGTTTGGAGGTTTGGAGGCTTGGAGGTTTGGAGGTTTGGACATCTGAAGGTTTAAGGGGTGGGCTCTGCACTGGTCTTGAAGGTGCTCTCGCCAGCCACGGATGTGAGGGCTCCTCTGCTTGCGAATCCAAATTAAAAAAACGCTACAGGTCTTGCCTTCGGTGCATTCGCATTCCCTGCCGAATGGGCTGATGATTCGCTTCTCTGTAATGAAAAGTACTTTTTTCAGCTCTAGGTCCGCTGCGGAGCGGACTTTTACTTGAGCCAAAACACAGAGTCGCACAACCTGTACAAGCGATTTTGCATATACGGAGCAACAATTTGTCACTCCTCCTTGCTGGTGGAGCAGCCCTCATGGGCTGATTTCACAGCAAACTCCGAAGAGCCCAAGCTGACCCTTGCTGCGTTCAACCAAGAAAACGTCTCCTGAACTACGCAAAGTCTCTTCCATCTGTACACCAGGCGCTCAGAGGGAGCATATCGGCGCGGTTGCGCTTGCCTGGGGCATGGGTGACCTTCAGGCGGTCCATTGCCACTCGTTCCTGGAGCCAGAGAGACCTGGTCTGGATATGTCTAGCCTTGCCTAGTCCGATCCTATTTACAGTACACATAGCAGCAATAGCGTCTGATTCTACCACTACAGAAATGGGAACTTGAAAATCTTCGAACAAGCAACCCTAGTCCTACCGATCCACCCTTCACCAGAGCGTGCTTCAAAACATGCTCGCCGCCATACAAAGCGATCATACCTGTCGTAGACCAACGGGTGACCGCATCACCTGCGTGGTCGGAGTCGACCTGAGCCCGCAGCTTCGATGGCTTTGCCTGTCTAGAAAACACTTGGCTAATATCAGGCTTCTTGACCAAATACCTGCGTCCCGCCTTGGCTTCGTCAGGCCTGCTTCTATGCTGCTGGCCTAAGCCTCTGCCGGCAAGACAATGTCTGCACCAGCTCCTATACTGCACGTGGCCTGTTGCCTCGTGCTCCTCCGCCTCGGCCCATCTCGACTTCTTCTTCCTCTCCTGCATTCCCTCTGGAACACCGTCTGAGGGGGCTGGATAGGTGGTACCGGCTTCTTCTCCTCTGCCGTCCCTTCCAGTGTTTCGTCTGATGTCTCCTCTGTACCGTTGGGAGAGTAGGCCGGAGGTGGTAGAGGAGGCTGGGCTTGCCTCTTTTACCACCACCTTCTTCTCCTCCTTACGCGGGCCTCGGCCTTACTGGCCGTGTAGCAGGACTTGAGGCCTGGGCTTTAGAGAGGCCTTCAGCAAAGGAGGCCTCGGGCTGTGCTTGGGCTTGTGTGGCACCCGCCAACCTTGGCTGTTGCCGGCGGGCACCGAGCAGCGCCGGGCGCAGTGCTCTGTTCCGCTCGTCACAGGAGCTGTGCGGGTTGCTCTGCAGCACCTGACTCTGGATGATCGTTTCCTCACCGGCCTCCGACCCGTGTCCTCGCTCCTCAATCTCCTTCGGCAGGCGACAGTTGGACGCAAGTCCGTCCCGGGCACTGATCAGTCCGGCCTTCACTTGCCTCAGCGCGCTCTCCTGCGTCAGCGGGTGCGCCGAGATGGTCCGCCCAAGTGCACGGGCCTCACAGGCTACCTCCGGCAATACAGGAAACCCTGTTCTTGTTGGGGCTGGCGGTTGCTCCTCAGATGAGGGGCTTGGTTCTTTGCGGCGCCCTGCGCTTCTTCTGCGGCGAGCGGCTAGGGCTCCTCAGGTGTCTCCTCTTGCTCCTGAACCTGCTCCTCTTCATCAAACTCCACGCCGCACTCGCTCCTGAAGCGTTCAATCTCCTCACGCAACTGCTGGGATGGAGCCTCACCGATCTTCGCGGACGGCTTGAGTAAACCTTTGGGAACCCGGAACTGCCTGCTTACCTGGCTCCTCCTCCGGTCGTGGTAGGTGCCCTTCTTGCCCTTCCAAGGTTGCAAGTATGAGGGCTTCCCTTTTCCTCTGGTTTTGCTCTTATCCTTTCCGGCTTTACCAGCGGGTGGGTGGTCCGGACTCCGGGGCCCAGCTCTGCTGCTGCTATCCTCCGGATGCTGCTCTCTCACCTCGTCCGGATAGGGGTTGTACCTGGGCTGGCTCGTCTGGCGGCCAGGCCGGTGATGTGGCTCCTCCTCGGCCTTTTCTTCGGCCGGCTGCTCTGCGGCTTCTTCTTCTGGCTGCGGCTTCCTCAGCCGGGGGCCCTTCTGGGCTGAAGCTCCTCTGCGCCAGGGAGGAACCTCCCGCAGTCCTTGGCGCCCTTCACGCCCTTTGCGCCTTTCAGTGGCGAACCAAAATACCACATGCTCCGTCTGCCTGGATCCGCACCGGTTCCCGCTACCATGAAAAGTAACTTATTCAGCTCTAGGTCCGCTGCGGAGCGGACTTTTACTTGAGCACAACCTGTACAAGCGCATTGGGCATATATGGAGCAACAATTTGTCATGTAAAGATATTTCTGCAAATCAGACCCCCAACACTGGTGGGGTTCCTTTCCCTTTCCTTTTGCACGCTTTCCAAAGGAATCGGCCACCGAGTTGGGGCCAGCCCCGGCCCCGACCCCGGCCCGGCCCCGGCCCCGGCCCCGCGCAGCAACTTTCACCAGCGGCGAAATCTGACTGCAGGTCCCTTGATTTGCACCTACGCATAAATTCATCGGCCCGATGGAGGCGCACGTGAAAATATCTTGCATTGGCCATCGGGCCATCGAGCGAGGACCGAATTTCGAATTCAGCTGCAAAGGGGCATAACAGTGGGGGGTTGTCAAAACTATGCACCCCTCTGAGGCCCCTTGATGTTGGGCGCAACATGACTTAACTTGGTCCTGGAGGGGGCCAAAACCTAACTTTCACAACCCCCACATGTATAAATCTACCGTCGAGATTCTCTCGACCTGACTTCACTCGCGCTGTAACGCATGATCCGTCTTAGTGCACTTCTCCCATTCTTTCCAGGAGCCTTGCTTGCAGAAAATAAAACAAAGACTCTCAGCGGTAGCTCAAAAGAAACCATGGGTGAAAACATGAGGATCAACCTCTTGATCTGTCCCCAAACATTCATTGAGTTTCTCTGTGAATCGCCGCCAAAAGGCAAAGGGGATCCTTTCGCATCTGGTGCACTCAGGACGGAGTGTGCTGAGTGACCACCGGCGAGTGCCCAGTATGCCCGGCATGGGTGTGGCGCCTGGAGTCGATTCAGCGACTTGCTAAGACGGAGTCACAAGGATATGTAGACGCTTACTCCTGGAAAAACAAACGCAAAACCCAATTAGCGACTGTTTGCCCTTGTAGTTGGGTCATTGAGGTTAGAGCAACCCCGAGGGTTGTTCAAAAAGAAGAGGTTTCCAGTTGGGACTTCACCGATGGATGTTCCCCAAAGGGGGTCACCAAACGGTCCAACAAGAAATTCATTATTCTAAGTATGGTTATGGACAAGATTCTTGATGCAGCAGCAGGATGACACATGGGGCGGCCCCTTGGTAAACTTGAGTGGATCTCTCATGTCCTCCGCAAACAGTAGCCAGTTGCCGTGGGAGATGGGCCTGTTCATCGCTACCACTTTGTCACGGGATTCCCTTGCCACCTCCCAGAACGTGGCAACAACGTTTTCCACAGCCACGACTTACCGCATCACATGCCGACTCTTCATCATCCCAGAGCAACGCTGGGTGTCTTCGTTGAGATTGGTCCAATTTGCTTGGAAATGGACATCTAAGGACACCCACCATTAAAGGGTCTGCGGGCTTGGGACGCACCCTACTACTGCCACGCGGGCGTCAAATCCAATCTGAATTAGTCCGACATCTTCCAGCCTCCCCCCCCCTCCATGGCGGTCCATGGCGGTCCATGGCGGTCCATGGCGGTCCATGGCGGTCCATGGCGGTCAAATGGTCGGCAAAATAGCCCCAACAAGAAGGTCACTTAACAAGCCATGTGATAGCCACTGAAGTTGCGGGGGCCCATGTGATGTTGAACGTCACTCATCACTCCACCACAAAGGAAACTCATCTTAGATCGGACCCAAAACGAGTCAGCGCGTGCTGAGAGCAGCACTGACTCGGCGCAGATCCTTGTTGCGGTTGTCGTCCCTGAGCGCAGCATCTTCCCCCACGGGTCCGTCAGGGTTGGACCGTTAGGCCCAGGAATTGAAACCACTGCCCCATGTGAGTGGAAAGCGACCATTGAGCCCCCGGTTTGCCAAACTCCACCTGTGGTTTCCCCCCACTCGGGATTCAGCTGGCCTTTTTGTCCGCACTTCCGCGATGTCTCCGGATGAAGACCTTGGCAGGACACATCACTGGCTGAGCTACAGGACCATTAGCTGAACCCGTGGCCATGTTGGACCGTTTGGGGGGGGGAGTTCCCTGAATTAATCCGACAAGAAGGCTGCTTTAACACGTAAACCAGAGATTCAAACCTGGGGCTCATATATGGACGCACAACGCATACATGTAGGCTTTGAACAAATGAGTCACCAACCAACCCGCTGTGTGCGGCTATGGACACAGTTAGCAAGTCCCCTGGCTGTGGAAGAGCTAAGCCCCTCTCTCAAATTGACCATTGACTGCTTACCTGCTGGAAACCAAGGCTACATGGCTTTGGCGCTTCTGCCAAGAACTTGGGTGGCTGACTCCTCTCCGAACTTCAGCATTGTCATACCTGCGCAGTGTCAAAATATTGAGCAGCAATCGACTACGCATACACATTCTCAAACAAGCAACACCTGCCATAGCATGAACAATTCGTGGACCTATTGCATCTTTGTCAGGTGCAAATCATGGACGACGACAAATTGAAATGGTTGAGCTGATCATACTTACTTTCAATTAATTAGCATGTTCAAAGGTTCAACGAGTGCTTCAGCGCGCAAAGGAAACGATCTCTCAGCTGGACGGGCTCTTCTTTGAAAGACGAAAAAAAAGCTCGATCGATTGCTTGAATTGAACAGCTAGTCATCCTTGCTGGAAGGGGATGTCCCTCTATTGCCAACTGCGATCTAGGGCTTGCAAAGCATCCAAGCATCCCATTTAAAAAACATGTAGCGTGGATGGGCTTACTACACACTATACCTCTGACAGATGCTTGATTCTGCTCACGAAAAGAGACAAGCCAAAACATCTGCGCTGCCTGGCCAACTATGCGGTTGCACCAAAACATGTCCGAAACCCCAAGTGGCGTTCAGTTGAGATCGAGCCACCGGAGTTGACATTTATTTGGCGCACTCTCCAGGTGGGAGCTCTGCCAAAAGCTCCTCAGAGCGAAAAGCGCCCAGAAATATAAGCAAAGTAATTTAATATTACCCCACGCCTGTGCTAACACATCCCCAACTAGGAAAAACATGGCCCCTCTTCGAAACCTTATTGCCCCTGCACCTTGCAAGTGGTCCATGGCCTTTGTCAAACTCCCTGTGCAAAGTCCCCAAGCAATTTTGGTCGCCTCTCAATTGTAGTCTTATTCTCAGGATTGTCCGAAACAGGCCGGGATCTATCCCAGGACATTCTGATGGGTGTTGACGCCAACGAGTCATGAATCGCCTGAAAGGCGACGCTCTGGCACGCTTCTGGACATTAGCTCACTGGAGAAAGGATTCAGAACTGCACTAACTCTACAAAAAGCCAACCGTGTGGATCCTGATGCATCCATTTCAAGCCCTTTCGTGACACCTTGCACTATTCCATGGCAGAGCCTGTTGAGAATCGGAATACCTCTCAACATAGGATTTGAGCTGCCATCAAAAGCAGGCCAAGATTATGCAGTTGCTAAGAAACCAAGAAACTCCTAGGGTCTGTAGGGCTTGCTAGCTCGGGCTGCAGCCAAATTTTTCAACAAATACAAGTGCCCAAAAACAAGTCCCATCCAACAAGCGAAACGAAGCCTCCAACCAAAACTGGCCCCATCATCAAAGTCACCCTCCAGTGAGTAGATTAAAAGGGTCACACCCCCATTTTCTGACTTTGACAGCCGGAAGAAGCACTCAAAATGCCCCTCAGCAAGATGGCGGACTTTTTCCGGGGCTTTCGGGTCCGCAAAACCGACTCAGCGCTCCTCGATGACCTCCGGGGGTGGCGGACCCATCTCCGAGTTGCCGAAGCCACCTTTGGGGAAGTTGTCTTGAAGGTCCAGCACCTCGGCCCCAACGGGAAATGACAACGGATATCTGCGCCGATTGGCCGGGACTGTCCTTCACCCCGATTTTGACGACTCGGAGGGCTGCCCCAAACAGATTGACAACATTTCAACATTGCTGGTGGGAAATCAGGCCCGTGCTTAGAATCCAGGGACAGTCTGCAAAGTCTGGGGACTCCGAACCCTTAGAGTATAATGAAGGAGGTGTTTACCACCAGGACGGGCACCATTCTTCCGCTTTTGACGGGAGGTTGCTGCTGGTGGTTGGCAATTGAAAGTTTTGACAAAACGTTTGCTCCACTGGGGTATGTTCGTTTACGCTTTTGTGCATACCCGGATTGTCATGACATTTAGGTGTCTAAAAACCGATGGCACGAAATACAGAGGTCTCACAGTGGGCAAACCTTCCTCATGGCTTGCTCTGACCACAAAGCGGGCAGCATGTTCGGGTACGTGCATGGCCATCCTCTGCAAGCAGCACACATTTAACCCTCGGAGTATGTCTTTGTGAGGCCGAAGAAGCTTCGTAAGTAGGCTATATACATGGTTCAGTTATGTATATATGTATATATATATACATACTGTATGTAAATACCAGGCACTTGTAGCCATTGTTATGACCTGCCAGCAAAGTCGGCGGTCGGCGGAGCGTGAGGGCGGGGGTTCAACATATACGTGGAGTGCGATTGTTTCCCTCTTCTCTCTCTCTCTCTCTTTCTCTCTCCCTCTTTCTCTATCCCTGTCTTTTCCTCTTTCTCATTCTGGTTCTCTCTGTCTCTCTCTCCCTCTCTGCCCCTTCCTCTTCTCTTCCCGCTTCCCTTATATTTCTCTGTAAAAAATGCAAATGAGGACGAGTCAGCAGACTGTTCACCTCTTAATGATTGGGCAAGCTGAAAACAGCAAAGCACAATATTTTTGAGGTCAACCCCCCGAAAGTCTGCAGAAGGTTGCGCGAGCGAAGCAAAAATAGTGAACACCAACATTTTTAGTGACCCGCCCCAAAGTGCGCAGAGAGTTCGCTTTTTGAAGGTTGCAAAAGAGCGCTCGCGGCTTTGCCAATGGGCCCTGCCAACAAACGTCCCCAGAGAGGTGGTTTGCGTATGTACGGAAGGGCCGACATGACGCGCCTTTCACGCGTAACTGCATCTAGTCTTGAAGATCGCGCAGAGCATGCAATCTGCTCACTTCGTTTCAGCACTATGGAAGTTCTCCTTAAACTTCCTTTGACAACGAGGGCTGAGCATTCAAGTTGAAAGTCAAGGGTTATCCCTGCCAGGTACCTTTTGGGGCTCTCTTTTGCTTTCTCTTTGCAAAACCCAGAGGGACCCCAGTTTGAGACTCACAAGTCAGAGTCAAAGCCTGGAACTGAAAGGATATACCCGCATCGATATGAAACAAAATACAATAATGGAAGGACATCCAGACCTACTTGGGATTAGGACTGCCCCTGACTTGTCGCCCTCCGGCGGCGCAGCTCTCAGGCAAGCGCGCTCAAAGATGCCGAAGCCACGGCAGCACAAACTGCGTTTCGAAACGGACGCAAACATCGGTGGAGTGGCACAACTCGATCATCAAGCACTGAAGGTCCACGTACCTAAGTAAGTACTTTGACTCTTGACCCCTCCAAACCATCTACTTGGACCCTCTGAGAAAGGCAAACGTTGGACCCAGAAGAAAAAAAACACGTTGATGGCTGCCAAGCTGTCAAGGTGTTCGTGGGCCACCATGGACATAGAAGCGACTGCAAAAGCACTTTAAATGGGTCCGTCTCCAAGTGGGTTTTTGGATGGGCAAACCAAAAGGACATCGACATGCCTGGAGAGAAAAACCACTGATTGAGAGAAGTACACACACACACACATGAACCTGTGCTGTGGCCACAATCTGGGAGTGTCAATTTACTGAGCGGGCGCGCCCTTGTTGCAAATGGATAACCCTAGCCCCTTCGTTGTTTCTGTAAATCGATCCTGCCGGATATTCACAAGAATTGAGAGGCTTTTGAGCCTCCCATGCCTTGTCAAATATGCGCCGCTTGCTCGGGACCTGGTTTCCTGTTGTGCCACAGTTCATATCGTTGACAAGTCACAGTTGCTGGGAGGTGGAGATTACACACGGCCCCTGAAGAAACAAACGCCGGCGGTATCCGGCGGTATAAAACTCGGGTTGTTTCAGAAAAACTTAAAAGGACACTAGCCACATGGAGGGCGCTCTAATCTCGACACATAATATGGGGGGCGGCTAAAACTCATGGACCCCCAACATAGCTACATCGCGATCTGGTGTCTTTGAAGCAACCCCCCCCAAAAAAATAATAATAAATAAATGCAACAAACAAACCAACAAACATGATATACACACATGCACTATGAAGGACATCATTCAACCATTTCTGGCACATGCCATTCAGGGCTTCAAAGATCTGCGATTCTTACAATAATTGCACAACCTGAAATGAGGAGCTCCCAAGTTACGCGCCATGAGCTCTTTTTAACTAGCTCGCCAGGGCAAAATGTAGTCTGTTGTGCAACCCAGGCCTTAGAATATTTCTTTGAAGTGCCAGACCCAGCTTGAGACTTCCTCCCACAACCGCAAAAGGCGAGTCCCAATGTTCCACGGGAGGGCAAATTTGTCCTTCCGACAATTACAACATGGAACTACAAAGGACTCGCCATATCCCAATTTTTCCCAATTCCAATTTGAAGGATGAAATGGAACGGGGTCCCCCCGATTTCCCCAGTTCCAGTTTTCAGGGGAATGGACCGAATGGCGCCAGCCTATATCCAGGAAGATCTCCTTGGTCAGGCAGCCCAGCTCATTCCTTGGCCGCGCCATCTCGACAAAGGTAACTGGGCCAGTTGCGAATTCTTGTTTTTAAGGGACATGCAATCACACTCTTGGTTTCCCCTTGACCGTGGCTCAAACATTGGTTCCCAAAATGGCACCTTGCTATATGGATGCAAAGACTAAAAAACCTCCGTAACCTCAGCTGCTAAAGGCTGCTAAAGTTTGAGCCACACCTCCTTGGTTTGCCGCCTTGATCAACCTTTACCATATTCTGCCAAAACCCCCAAAACCCCAGGAGCCCAACTAACCGAGCACAAGCGGCTGCGCCAAGTTCAGGAACTTCAGGTCCGGGTGGTTGCAAATCACCTGACACAACCGAAATCCATTGAGTACTTGTGAGAGGGAGAGTGAGGGAGTTAGCGAGTCAACTGTCAAATGCGGCCTAATTCATTTCTACCTCTTGGCCGCTATCTCCATTCATATCTGTTCTCTGAGATTTGGACGTGTAGCGGCAAAGGGGAAAGAGACAGATAAGGAATGGCCTCACTTCTCTTCTTGCTTTCAGCCCACTCTTCACCGTTACCTTGTTCATCATGGACGAAGCGACGAAGGAAGCAAGGGAATGGAAAAGATGGAAGAAGAGAGTGGCACCGGCCTTTCCTATCCCTCACTTCACTCGTTCATTATTAACTGCCGGTGGACTTCCCACTCTCTTCCCTATCCATCCCTTTGTCCCTCATATCCTCACTCATTCCTTTCCTGAGTCTTTGTGAGTGACAGGGAGTGGATACGAGCGGGAAAGTTTTGTAGATGGAAAGAGACAAAAGCAAGAACATCACAACAACAAGCAAAAGAAAACAATAAAGAAAAGAAAGAAAGATAGAAATGAAGGAAAGCAGGGGGGAAGGAAGGAAGGAAGGAAAGAAAGGCAGAAAGAACAAATGACGGAGAACAAAAAGAAACAGCCAAGAGAAAGAAAAGAGGAAAAAAGTCAAGAAAAGAAGGAAACAGAGCACTATAACTGTTATATTGTTGAAACTTCCGCCCACCGGCTCTGCCGGCTCTACCGGAAAGGGTTCCAACAGAAGCCATGACCACGGCAATCAGTTTTGACGTTGATCTCAGCAACGCGCAAAAATTAAAACGGGGCCCATGGCCTCTGCCCAGCGTCGAGCGCCGAGCTCGCCTCGGCTTTGAACCGATCAGCCATAAATCTGCTTCCCTCCAAATGGTGGTTTGGAAGGGTGGTTCTCCAACCAAGAACCAGGGATTCAGAAACCACTAATGAAAGCGTACCTCCCTCCCCCCTTCGGAAGGGGGGTTGTTCCAAATCCCTGTCCGCAAAACGTGGGACACCGAGACAAGTCAAGCCACTAATTACGATCTGGCATACGGATTCAGCATTGGTTTTTAATGGCCCCCAGAGTTCATGCAAGAAAATATTCCTGATCTGAAGAACCGGAATATTGATGAGCAAACCCACCTTTCCTGTAGGTCACCCGACTGCGAGAGGGGCACTGAAAGTCAACCGTCGCTCGGGGTCGCAAATGGTCCAAACGAAACGTCTCCCTTTCATCTGTCGAGCCTTTCCAGGCTTGCCCACGCACGCGCCTACAAACAATGCCAACGACGGATTCTTCAACATGTCGAACTTGAGTAGCGGGAAGTTCGTATGTCCAAACGCCAATCTGTAACTACGCGGAAAAGTGTTTACACACAACTGGTTTATCACGGACTCTTTGTGGACAAACACGTGAACCACGTCCATAAGGACAAAGAGTCAATAAAGAATCCACTCCCAAACTGCTGTCCCCCGCCGAGGTGCGGCTGCGATTACCCTTGAGGTCCACTGAGAGGACTGGCAGCGGTACCTGTGCGACCTCGAACGGAGTTCCAAAGCTTTGGGTGTCCTTCGGCAGTTGGTAGCTGACTCCCAACCCATGTTAGCTGGTGCGGGAGTTGTTCCATCCACAGCAGGGTCGCTTTCCAACAATCATGGAAGTGAACAAGTTTTCAGGTGATAGAAAGAGGGTCCATATTGGAGTGGTGTTTAAGGGAAGGGAACACCGCCCAACAAAAAGGGGGTTGGCTTGGTGTTCAAGGGAAGCCAAAGGGAGAACATCCCTTTTGCCTTTTCGAGTTCCTCTTTTGAGAGAAGCCCATTTGGGGTGCTGGCAAATGCAAAATCTGGATGAATGACAATCAAGCTCCGCCTGGCATCCCCAAAAAAGTCAGCCGAGTGCAACCCAAGAGACCTCATCTCCCTCGTCTTCCTCGGGAGGAGGAACCCCGGCAATCGCCTCTGCTAGGGCAATGCTGCCCCGCTCCTCGCAGCACAAGAAGCCATTCCCCCCATACGAGGAAGGGGCGGTGGGGTTGAACGGGAACCCAGGATTCGTAACCAACGCGGTTGATGAGTAGACTTGAAGAGACACTTTTTGGAGAAGCACCCCGCTATGGAACCACCAAATTGATTAGCTCTGCCGATCGTTAAAATGCTATATGCAGGACATACGACTTTGAGAGGCCATAAAATCACGTCCACCAGAAACATGTCACCTGGAGGCTGGAACAGCTCGGCATGGGCACACGTCGAGCTGTCAACATCAATCACGCTTGAGAAACGGAGGTCTGAGGTAATTCCACTCAATGGAAGTTCTTGCGACCATGGCCCGTCTAACAAGCTAAAGTCTGAAGTGAGCATAGACCTGTTCATTCAAACACGCTACTCGCTCGGGTGCACTGAACCCTTTCCCCATTCTCTTCACTGATTCTCTTCAGAACCACACGTCTCCCATGGTTTGGGCCCAGAATCAGATCCCTGAGAGCTCGCTGGTCCTGGATGAAGTTGTCGCAGATCTCCAGGCTGGTGAGGCGAGGCAAACTTCCGAGGCTGGCGGCGATGATGGCGGCGCCTGCGGTCGTGCGTCCCCTGTGGACCCATATGAAAGCAAAGGTGCCCCAACATCCCCGAGCCCCCAAAAAGGTGAGCCTTCTGAAAAGAGGTTCCTAGAAGGGTTCTGAGAATCTTTTGCAGGAGTAGGGGGGCCTCGTGTGTGTGGCTTGGTGCATTTTGACTTCTGGCAAAAAGCCATGGTCAAGCAGCTTTTCTACTCAGCATGCCAAGGCTGCTGACTGTTCAAGACCCACGGATTGATTGAACACCATTTGAGGTCTGTTGAACACCCCGTACCACAGTGACAAGTATATACCCCAGAATCACAAGAAATGGTACAAGTACAAGGCTCGCGTGAGTGTTGGATTCAGACCATCCTCCAATCAACTGGCAGGGGGTTCTAACATGCTCTCACAAACCGCATTTGAAGTCGGCCATGTAATTCAACTATGTTAAACTTAGTATTCCCTCAAACCATCGCAAAATAACGCCCGCAAGCAACTTAGGGTTGCCCCGCAAATAGATGGCCGCGGTAGATTATGAACCTGGTCCATCAAACAGCCAAAAAGGACACCTATGACCTAAACCAACAAACAAACCCGGGCCTTCATCTCCCACGTTGTTGGATGACACGGCCAAATGCTCGATGCTGCTGCCGCTGTCCACGAGCGCTCTGAACCTCATGTCAGTCAAGTGACCTGAAGGACCTGGAAACAAAAGGTGAGCAGCCACCAACACCCACTGACTTTTGGTACTAAGATGGCTGGCAAGGTGTCTGTAGGGACAGGAAGCCTTGGACTTGTCTCACCAGAGCACCCATGACCATCCAGGAAGCAAATCAACTGATGAAAGGATTGAAGGCATGGTTATCGTAGCTGTGAGGGGTGCATGAGCCATCGAGCAAAAAACATAATTTCCCAACTGTGAAACAAGGGAAGCTCCTCTGCAAAGGACTCTCATGAGGGGCGAGCTCGGCTTACCCCAGACAAGCTCGCCATGTAGAACACTAATTCCTGGAAACATCAGCGTAAGATCCCTGCAGCAACTCCACCCCAACGTCGCCAAGGTGATTGTTGTTGAGGTTCACCTGGGTCAGCAAAGGCGCACGCCAAATCCGGCACATAAACCTTCAAGTTGTGCTGGCTGCTTGCACGCAAACTGCAACCGCACATCAGGTGACGGCGCCTGGGAAAGGTGGTACTAGTGAGACATCTGTCGTACATTGCTTGTGGCCATTCGCGGTTTGATGTCGCCCTGGACTGCAGCACGTGCAGCAGATATTGCATATGGTCATCACTCCTTTCATATTTACGAATTATTTGTTAGGTATCCATATCCATCTGCAAGCTCTATTGGGTGGTTGATGCTGACGGACCCCTAAAAAAGAGAAAACATGCACCATTGGAGGGTTAAGTTAAAGTTAAAACGCCTTTCAGGAGCGAAGAGGCGCCGTGCTATGCCGCCAAAGCCTGCCATCAAGGTGACAGTTTCAACATTACTCTCGATCAACGAAGTTGTGGGAGCCAGCACCTTCCAAGAGCCATCAAGTGGTCCCTTTGCCAATTTGGGGTGCAACCCAAATGTTGAAAGGGGCTGGAACAAAAGACAATTTGAGAACCGCTCACTCTTGTTTCGCACTCTTTTCCAAAACAAAGACCTGGACGGCGCTAGTTGCCCGATACCAGAATAGCGAACACCATTTTAGGACTCTGAGATGTGTGGAAACCTGATACGCTGCTAATACCTGAGGCCTTTGCATGCGTCAGCGCTGGCATCTCCGTGAGCTCCGGGAGCTTGGCGATGTGCGACGGGCCTCAGCTTCGGTGGGCGGGACGCCCGCTGATTCCCCAAAAAGGGCACTTTGGGCATGCCAAAATGATTCGACGGCATGGGTCACAATGTCATTGGATTTTCTGGGTGCAGTTTTCAACCAGAATAGTGGGTAGTAGGAAAGCAGTGGAACGATCAGATTTGAGTCTTTAAGCGGCGGTTTCCCTTGGGTACGGGTGACAGAACGCAGGCAATGGGACCTGAAGCAATTTGTTGGACCGGGCTCTTGAGCACAAAAACAGTTGCAGCCTGTGGCGCGTCCAATGATGCCAGTGTAACGACTGGCGTTCCGAAGTTGGCATGGACTCTTGCTAGGAAATACCAATCAATTTGGGCGGGTCACCTGTTGGCACAACAGATCCACCAAAGAATTGGCAGGAAGCTCCTCGAAGCTCGCTATTTGGGGTTCCGAGTTTAGGGTTTAGGTCGCTTGCGCTCGCACCCTCCAGTCTCACTTTCCGCTTTCACCAAGGGCCTGGCTCAGGTCGAGATGCTGCAGGTCCACAGACCTGATGTTCTTTGGGGCAGGCCGAATTCCATGGCCGTAGAGTCGATTTTGCGTCGCCTCTGGGGTATCGGGATCTTAGGGTTTGGGGCGAAGAAAAACAGACTTCAGACTCGCCGTAGAAAAAGACCTCCCTGCGCTCGCTCTCCACTACAGACTGCTGCACAGGGGTGGCTCCTCAAGGATTAGGTGCCCCCAGTAAAAAAAGCCCAGTGTCCGTGAGCGCATTCCACATTTTTGGTCGCATAAAAGGAAAGCCAAACGGACACCAATGCTTTTAGGGGAGCCACGATCCTCATTTCAAAACAAACCCCTCTGACTAGCAAGTGGCTCTTATCTTGGAGCTTGGGTCCTTGCAGTGGAAATCAGAAGTGCAATCTTTGTCCACCAACATGGTTGGATGTTCCTCATTCAATTCCAATGGTATTGACCTATTGAACAAGTGCTAGACCAATTTGCATGAAATGCCGAGGGCGTGGACGTGGCAACGGAGAAGAGGTTGGACACATCCACATCGCTGGGCAAACCTGAGTGTGCAATCGGGTTGATCGAATTCGGAGGTCTTTGCAGGGAAAGTTGGATGATGCTCTGTGACAATGGGGAAATTGTGGGCTATGGGAACATTGGGTCATGCATCACTTTGCTTGCATAACCCGCGGTCTGACGTGATAACAACCAAATCAGGTGGGACCTTCGGTCGCAAGGCTTTTGCGTTCGACGAGGTAAGCTCCGTGCTGATGGTCGCCTCTGCCCCGGACATGATGTCGCCATGTGCCAGCTCGGCATCGTCCTTCCCTGAGTCAAAAGGACGAAACTCGTGGGTGGACAAAAACCAGGCCCACTGCGCAGACCCGGTCAAATGGGACTTGACGACGGCACAACATGGCACCGAAACGGGCCCAGAAAGGAATAAAGAGGATCTGAATGAGTTGGATTGGGCGTTCTGGTGAAAGCATCCGGCCCACAATGCAGCCCACTGTCTGGTGGGCTATCCAATAAATGCAGCTTTGTTGACTGTTGATCCAAAACACATTTCAGAGTCAATGCCAAACCTTTCTACAATGCATTCCTAAGGCTCATTTGGGTGTCCCTTTTAGAAAAAACTTATTGTTGGCTGTTTTGAGGGAAAACCAAGAGAAAACCCATGAAAGATCAAACGAGCAAACCAACCCTTGGCTTTTGCAGGTGGAATTGTCCATGGATTCCGCCGTGCGTGGGAGGGAGCCACTGACTCCTCGGAGGTTCCTGCCCTTCGGAGACAAACCCCTTCGGAGACAAACCCTATAAATATGCATACTGCCTCACAATACATATACATGTATATACACGGAGATATTGAAGAAACAAATCCACACACGCACGCATGTGCATTGCATTGCATTGCATTCCATCGCATCGCATCGCATCGCATCGCATTGCCTGTGCATGTGCATGTGCATGTGCATGTGCATGTGCATGTGCATGTGCATGTGCATGTGCATGTGCATGTGCATGTGCATGTGCATGTGCATGTGCATTGCATTGCATATGTATGTATGTATGTATGTATGTATGTATGTATGTATGTATGTATGTATGTATGTATGTATGTATGTATGTATGTATGTATGTATGTATGTATGTATGTATGTGCGTGCGTGCGTGCGTGCGTATGTATGTATAAATATGGTACCCCCCCGTGGATGTACCTTCCTTTAGAATTCACTGATATGTGCAGTGTTATCTGCCTTTTTTGGGGCTATGGGGAAAGCAGCAAACTGGACGCATTTCCAAAGACAATCTGAAAGCTTTAGGACACACTTTTCCAAGGAATCTTGAACCAGTTTGAATCTACCTCTGTCCCATTTCTAAGCCGAGGTTTTGTCAGAAAATGCAAAACAGGTATGTTGGAGCCATTGGCCCAAAAGTCAAAACGTAAAGAATGACCCAACAGTTCAACATAAAGAAAATCTGGAGCCAATGACCCAAAAGTAAGCAAGTAAAAAAATGTTGTTTTCCTTTGTTTACTATCATATACTGAAACAATAAAAAAAAGCAAACAAGTAAAAACGTAGAATGTTTCAGTCCATGATCAAAGCACTTTACTTCAGGACCATGGGCTGAATTATTTTACTTTGTTTACTTGTTTTGCTTCTTTGCTCGTTTTGTGTCTTCTTTTGTACTTCTTTATTTGTATACTTCTTTACTTGTTTAATGTATTCCCATTTCGCTTCTTTCTCTTTTTTTACTTTATTTTACTTCTTTACTTTTGTTTTATACTTTGTTTATTGTTACTTGTGTACTTTTGTGTTTGTGGCTCCAGAAATGTACTTTTACTTATCTACTTTTTTACTTTTGGGTCTTGGCTCCAAGAATTTACTCTTTGGACTTGTGGGTCATTGGCTCCAAATTTGTTCTACTTTTTTATTATTGGGTCATTGGCTCCAGGCATTTACGCCCAATTTTTGGGCTATTAACTCCATAATTGTATTTTCCCTTTTGGGCCATTGGCTCCAAAATAGCTGCTGGTTTGCATCTTCTGACCAAACCTCAGCTTAGAATGGACAGGTTTAGGGTGTAGGGGTTTGCGGTTTATTGACTCGCGTTTGTAGGAATCGGGCTTGTTTCTCGTAGATACTTGCTCAAGGAGTTTCATTGGAAACATGCTTTTTGCTCAAATAACCTCACTGTGTGATATTGCTTTTTGCTTGGAATTCAAAGTATTTGATAAGGATTAAAATATCAAAAACAAATAGAATTCTTGTCTCAAAATAGATTTGAAAGATCATTTTAAAGGGGATATGTTTCTAGGATTGTGTTTGTTCAATTTCCTAATTATAGTTGAATGGAGTTTAATAAGGAACAAACCCCAGAAAGCATTTCTAGTTTAAAGGTGCAAGTGGAGGGTGGCTTTTGTCACCCTGAAATGTTGGGAGGATGCAAGAGTTAGGCCGCAGCGTGCTGCAGGTCGCTCTTCTCTCTCTCTCTCTCTTTTTCTAGTTTAAAGATAATTTTAATAGGATTTCCTGGTCGAACAAGATTTGTAATCAACATTCTTATTTGAAACTAGATGTTCAAACGATTTTGTGGCATAGTGTCCATAGAATTTAATAGAGACATAATTCTATTATTTTTGCTTTTTTAAGTTGAAATATATTTTACATAAGTGTCCCTACAAGACTGTTTTTAATGGTTGAAGAAACAAACAACTACATTCAACAGGATGTATCTTTCCAAGATGATCTGTTCAATTGTCCAATTCTCTCTAGACTTAAATATGATTTGAATAGGATTTGCATTTTGAAGAGCATTCTTACTTGGGAATCTTACTGCAAAATATATTGTCCAAAGAACGTCCTTTCCCGGGAAGTTGTTTCTCCACTTTCTATTTAGAATTCAATGGAATCTAATAAGGAAATCATTCTAGTACAATTTTTGACTTTACAAATAAATTAAATAGGATTTCCCTTGCAACACAAACACATAATTGGAATGATTGTTCCAAATTGGAGTTTGAACAGGATTTCCTTGCTTAGGGTGAGCTGATGCTGGTCAAGTCGCATGGGGCATTCCAAATAAAACAACTGCATTCCATCTCGGAAATCCATCCGTCCGTCCGTCCGTCCATCCATCCATCCATCCATCCATCCATCCATCCATCCATCCATGTAATTGTGTTTGGTTGCTTGTTTGCTTGTTTGCTTGTTTGTTTGCTTGTTTGATTGCTTGTTTGTTTGCTTGGTTGCTTGGTTGCTTGCTTGCTTGCTTGCCTGCTTTGTTGTTTGTTGATTGTTGTATCTATTATTTAGTTGTTTTTGTTGGTTTGTGTGCTTATTTATCTATGTGTTTCTGTATTTAAGTATATATCAGTTTATCTATCTAACTACTTATCTAGCTATTTACTTGTTGAGTATGTTTGATTAATTGATTGGTTGATTTCATCTATTTGTATGCATATACGTACGTATGTATGTATGTATGTATGTATGTATGTATGTATGCATGCATGCATACATGCATGAATGCATTCATCTATACGTGTAGCACACTGATATGTAGGCATATGCCCTCATGTAGCATGGCATATGGCACAAAGCAGTGCTACTCACCGCCGCGTTCAAGCAGCTTGGCATTTGCCGATTGCTTCGCAGATTCCAATTGGGCGGTCTTACATTGAACGAGAGGAATCCCAAGGGTGCTTGGCTTGCATTTGCGACCTGTCCACAAGACCCGAAAACAAACGAGGAACCTTTTGAGGGATGACTAGAAATATACCAAAATGGGGGAAGAAACAGGGTAACAGCTTGGTTGTTCAATACTGCGTGGTATCCCCAGGTCCATTGAGAGATACATCCTAGTCCCAAGCCCAAAGCCAAGGACCCCACCGTAAAGGGTTCTGAAGCAGCAGTGAAGCCGCTGCCGGTTGATGTTGTTCACCTTCAGTTCGGCCGCAAAGGGACCAAAACTGATGTATCAAACTTTGACACGCCTTTTGTGGGACACATTTTCACTCCAAACCACAATGTATTTTTCTCCGCCCACGCGGAGGCGACAGTGCCTTTGCGCATGCGAAACTACTCGCCACTCGAAGGGTTGCTCCAACATTCCGGGGTTCCTCCAAAGGGCACAGAGTTTGTATCAATATTTGACACGGGCCCCTTTCGTGAAGCGTATTTTCACTCAAGCTGGACATCGCTCTGTGCAACTTGAGGCCCTGACGTACAGAGCCTTCGCCACGCCTGGCTTTGCATAACGAGACAACACCGCGAAAGCGTCCGTTCCAGGCCTTCGCCTTGCTTCCCTTTCCGCTTTTTGGCGGCCTTCTCCTGGAGAAACGGAGTTGCTTGCTTGGCGTGTTCTTTGATTGGTCTCTTCGCCACGGGATTGGAGATGTGGAATAGGTCTGCTTTGTGATTCGTCTATTGGCTACTCAAGGCCGGATTTGGATATTCCAAAAGCATTGGCCTCCAAAAAGTCTCAACTCATTTTGCCATTCGAATGGCCCAGACTCAAAACGCGCCTAAAGTCCAGAAACTCTGGGAGTGAGACGGTAATATAAGGGCCTTCATAATTAGAAGGAGATTGCGGGCTCTTTTGAAACCATATTTAGCCACGGTCAGTGCAACTACTTCTCCCCCCGCTATGCTTGAAAGCTTTCAGTTCCACCGAGGTGCAGACTGTGCTTTGTGAAGGCACCTTATCTCGGGCAAAACAACCTGGGACTCCTCCTGCCCCAAGGACCTGGAAAAAGGTGGGCAACCGCGGGGCAGAACTAGTGGTCAAACGAGAACCCAAAGGTGACCAAGTGAGTCTCCCAGCTCGGCCACCAGGGGTCTGCTTGCGAGCATCATGCTTATTGGAAACGCTGAGTACTCCACAGCAAAGCTGCTTTTCAAACTAGCCCGAAGCACTGTCACCTGAACCCAAGTTGACGAGAGGCTAATTGACTAGCTCCAGATTTGCTTTGGCGACTATCTAACAAACATGAAGTCCACGCTGGCTCGGTCCGTGTTGGAGAACTCCACCACTTCCCTACCCTGTTGCAATGCCACGCAAATGAGAATTGGCCGAGTTTCCAATTAGAGAAGGCACGCATCTGTCAAAACCAGCATCCCGTTTTCGCGGTCGGCTTCGAAATGGTGGCCTTTCAACATGGGCTCAACAGCGATGCCTTGGGTTGGGCAAACACCAAATGGACGTTGTGGTCCGGCCAGTGGTTGGCAGTGTTAAATCCCATTTGGCACCAAACAGGATAGCATGTTCCCCGACTTCTGTTGCCCCTTGCTTTCAATCGTCTGAGAAGGGCGATATAACCTTTGATCACGCCCTGAGTCGATCATTTTACTTTGTGTGCCCATGTGATACAAGCATGATGTGTGTACATGAGGGTAGGGGCTGTTCAAGCATTTCAAAGAAGATGCCAGTTCAGCAATTCCCCACAGCATGCACACGTCAAACTGGCAAGCCCGTGACTTTGGGATGTACTTATGCAAGTAGGAGCGTAAAATTGTTTCGAAACGAAACCTCTGAACGCGGTCCTGCAGCTTCTGCTTGGCGGTGCTGAAGCAGTCCATTGCCTTATCCGTGAAGTGAGTCCGACAGAATGGAATTGGAATTCATGAATAATGTCCACCTCTGATTAATAAATAGCCCCCCCCCCCCCCTGAATGACCCTAAATTTAAATAAAGTTAAGGGGAAAAACATCAGGGTCAGGAAAAGTTTAGAATGTGTTTAGTGCTGGGCTCTGCTTTGTTGATTTTCGAATACTACTTTAGAATTGGGCCAATTCTAAACTTTAGAATTGGGCCAATTCTAAAGTAGTATTGGGCATTCTGCTTTTGCTTATGTTGCTTTGGGAAAATACTAGTTTAGAATTGGGCCAATTCTAAAGTAGTATTGGGCCAAGAACTTTTGCATCCGTGGGAATCAGCTTAGCTTTATTTAGGGTCAGGAATTATTTAGTGCATGAGGCTTCATGGGGGGTAGCCTTGCTGGCAGGGTCAAGTTGTGATTGTTGAAGGTTTCCAGATCAAGAATTTGATGAAGGGAATCACTCAAGAGTCTTGGGATCTTATGGAATTGGAATCATTTTTTGATGAGCCAGCTTGAATGGAAAGCTTGCCCCTGAACAAAGATAAGGGATCAGAGCAAGTTTTTGATCAGTGGGAATCAGCGCAGCTTAGCTTTATTTAGGGTCTGGGATTATTTATTGCATGAGGCTTCATGGGGGGTAGCCTTGCTGGCAGGGTCAAGTTGTGATTGTTGAAGGTTTCCAGATCAATAATTTAATGAAGGGAATCACTCAAGAATTGTGGGATCTGATGGAATTGGAATAAAAAAGATATGCTGAGCCAGCTTGAATGGAAAGCTTGCCCCTGAATAAAGATAAGGGATCAGTGCATTTTTTTGGGGAGGTTTTGTTTAAAGATTTATTTAGGGGTAGTTTATTATTTGGTTACGGAAAAAGTCTAGCTTTATTTAGGGGTAGTTCACTAATCGTAGGTGGACATTAGGTGTGCCCAAGACAAGCTCAGGCCCAAAAGGTCTTTGAAGCCGTCCCATTTGCGCCCTGCAAAACAAATGATGCCCAAATCTGCCATCTAAGCGCAGAGCAGAGGCCCCAGATGCACCCGACCTCAGATAAGGCCGGCACTTGGGGGTCCGTGAAAAGGCGGCACTCCTTTCAAGGACTCCTCGGAAGCGTACCTTAGGGATTTGTTTGTTTCCCCATGTCTTGCCCAGGGTCAAAAGGTAAACCCCGGACCGCAGGTTTGTGTTTGAAACTGCCCAAAACGGGGGCGGGGGCGGAATGCCAGTTTTGGGGGCAATATATTGAAAGAGTATCTCAAAAAATACCGGACACCAATAAGTCTTCATACTGCCTTCTACATCAGGGCTGTTCAAAATGAGGGGGGTCCTTATCCTAATCCATAACCTGTAGTAAGACACTCCAACAAAGGAGACTACTACCATCTGGTGCAAGCAATGACAGAGGATTGACTTTGAACACTCCACTCCTCTCACATCCAACTTCCCCCATCCCAGATCCGTGCGTCTGATACTGTAGCCAAGCTGCGTGACAAGGGCTTCGTGTCCGGCTCCAGACAGAATCTCCTGTGAATCACCACCCACATTTAGGGGATTGAAGTCCATCACTGACAGCGCACATGTCGAACTCTTTGCAGGAACTTGGATATGCAAACCTCCAGTTGCCTCTAACGAGTCATTGGCGCAAGGAACCGCACAGACCGCTTCTCCTACCTTTTCGTGACATAAGCAACATACTGTCTTGCACGAGGTGGTAGGTAGTTTCTCCCAGTGCTGTTGGGGCTGCACCGATTTGGTCCATCCACAGTAGGACCCTCTTTCCAACAATCATGAAAGTGGACAGGGGAACTGTTCAGGAGGACTGTAGAAAGCAGGATGAACCCAAGACTAACAATTCGCAAGCCTCTCGCTGATTGATAGGGGGTGCCCCATTTAGAGGGGATCCTTCACTTCTTGGGGAAAACATGCCCTGCTCATTCACCAGAAGTAACCCTGGGTTGACATTCTCGGGCCACAATCCGCTTTGAGCGATTCACGATCGTCCGCGACATGGCGCGCCTGACAGCCCGGAACGGCAGGCACCACGGACACCCGAAGCTCCGCCAAAATGGGGCCTCGGGAAAACGACCGTCCGCGTGCTCCAAGATTCAGCTTCCCTCCAATTTCCCATACCGCTACAAGAACCGGTTCAAATCACCAAACCAACAAGCCACACCACCAATTAAGGCCAACCTGTGGTGTCGTAGTGCAGAACCCGCTGTCATGCTGTCGCTGTTTTTAGGTTCAGGCAGGAAAGAGGTAAGGGAATACCCAAAATTCGGATTCACACGATTTGTCCCTTTTGATTTCCCTTCCCCTTTTGCTTTGCGAACAGCCGGAAGAGGGTCCCTAATATCTGTCCTTTTTCCCTGATCTTCTCTTGCTTTCCCTTCCAAACGGCGGAAAGGGTGGGGCCAAACCAAATACACCCGAAGTGGCGGAAACGAGCGGTGCCATCCTACCTTCAGCCCAAATTTCACTTCTAACCAGTTTTCCAAAGGGAACCCACATGGGTGTGTCCTTTTTGAGGGAACCAGCAAGGGGTTGGTGTTAAAGGGAAACCAACAGGAAGACCATCATTTCGGGGGGGAAAAAAGGCCCTTAAAAGAGCCGCAGCAACGTCCTCCATGCCCTTCGGACCTTCGGGCTGGAACCCATCGGATTCGGGATTCGGATGGGCTCCCCGCAGGCTTCGAAGAGCCGGCAGGTGGAGTCGACCTGCGCCTGCAGCTGGGCCTCGGAGCGGGGTGACTCGGGCCCGTTGGTGTCTTGAAATGGGGGAGAACCACAAAGAAATCCTTGGTCCTGGTTCTTCTTCTTTTGGTGTCCCTTATTAAAAACTCCAAAGGCGTGCCCATGGTACCCTCAACCAATTTAGTCCCTTGGACTGGACAGGAGAGTTGAATATCTTCAAATCATTCTGGACCCAGGGAGTCCAAACGCATGGGGCGGGCACAAAGCGCTTCAGTGAAACATTGCTGCACACATTTTCCAAATTTGGGAGAGCCTCCAACACCCGCAGTCACACTCAAGACCTTCAAACATGATCCAAGCCCATGCCCAATTTCTGAACACCAACTTCAACTCCTGCAGATCTGGCAGCAAACAAACCGTGTCTCTGGAGGAAGCCAATCTTTTGGAGCGTCTCTCAAACTGGGACTTTCTGAACTGCAAAGTGTCAAATGACCCCAAACAATGGCACGGAGGTATGCCACCCTGTAGCCACTATCCCACACCACCCATGCCTAGGGATCCTTATATGTCTGGGTCCATTGAAGGTTGTCACAATTGCCATCTTAATGCGTGAATTCAAGAGAACCCCCCTAAAGCAATGTTCATCATTCCTCAAACTCCGACCACTTTAAGGCGCCCCAGCTAAAGTGCCGTCTTCCCATCTTCCCAGGGTCCCTGACACTCAACAAGAAAAGGACCGGATAACCCCACATGTCCAGCTGTTTGCAAAGTGAGTGCAAGGCAAGCGAGTGAAAGAAAGTTGGGTGAGTGAGAGCGAGAATGATGGAAAGTCCGTGAGTGTAAGTTGAGTGAGTGAGAGTAAGTCCCGGGACGAAGCCGACCGCTCCGTGCAGATCAGTCGAAGGTACTGCGCCTGCCGCGTCAAACAGCATCAGCGTGCACAAAGTGTGAGTGAGACTAAGTATGCGAACGTTAGCGAGTGTAAGTTGAGTGAGTGAAAGAAAGTACGCAACAGTTGGTGAGTATAAGTTAAGTGAGTGAAAGAAAGTACGCAACAGTTGGTGAGTGTAAGTTGAGTGGGCGAGAATAAGTATGTGTAAAGTGAGCTAGAGTAAGTATGTGCAGATGGAGTGAGTGAGAGTAAGAGTAAGAGTGTTTGAAAGTCAGTGAGTGCAAGTGAGTGTAAGTTAAGTGAGTGATGTCTGCAACAATTGAGTGAGTGTGAAGAGGAGGCGGAGGAGGAGGCGGCAGAGGAGCAGGAACAGGAAGAGGACGAGGAGAGGGAGAGAGCGGCACGGAGGACGACATAAAAAGTAAGAACCCTACACACAAGAATGTGGGGAAAAGCGGGTAGTATTGACAGCGAGAACGCCTCGTTGTCTTCACTTAGGAGCTCCGTGCCTGCCTTTCGATCCGGGAGCCGCACCGCCACAGCCGCCAGGCGTCCGCCGGCCACCGGCGGGGGGAAGGGGCTGTCGTTGCCTCGGTCGTTTGGGCGGAGAGCCCAAAGCGGAATGGTTTAAGGCTTGGAGGGAAACTAAAGGGAAGCCACAAGGAGATTGCCGCCCCAAACCCTGGAACCCTCCAAGGTTTTGGACGGCAAAAGGGTGGTGTGACTAGGCCAGAATTCTGGATCAAGGGCGTTTATACCTCAATTACGTGGCCCAGCAAAGGGTTTGACCTGGGACAAGCAGCCGTTGCAGGGTGGAAGAGGACTATACTTCTTTCCAGCCCCAAACCTGTTTCTCTGTCTCCATGCTAACCTTTGGGAACATGGCCCAATACCCCGTCTTTGCCATTCCGAGCCCAGCGCTGCAGGGCGCATTGGCCTCAGCAGTCTTGGAGGGGCCGGTGGCGGGTTCTCTGAGAATCCAGAGTGCTCCAAAGCCCGTGGCTCAAGAGTAGATATGTGGTCCCTTGTAGAGGGACATGTCAAGCCGAAGGCCAATTCAGACTTTCAAAAAGGTCTGTCGGTCCAAGAGGTTCTGTTGGTGCAAAATGCATGACTGCAACTGAACCCCTGAAGGCTGTTGGAAGCTTTGGCGCATTTCCACGATTGCGCTCGCTCCAAGCCGCGTGCACAGTTCACCCAACTAGCCCATGTAGCCAAGGAGGGATCGCAGAACAGTACAAGTGGTCAAAACTACGCACAAATCCCTTTCAAGTCTTTGATTTCAAATCTGTGCTGGCATTCTCTTGCAGTCAAGGGGTGTCCCAAGTGATTGGCATGCGAAGGTGCAGGCTTCCAGCACCCTTCGCTTCCTCTCTGAGCCCAACACATGCTGTGGTGGCCTGGTATCGAGACAGAGTCATTTGCTGGGTTCCCATGACTCTTGGGGTCCAAAATGGAGAGAGCCCTGTTTGAACCTGTTGAAATGTTGCGTTTCAAGGGAGGCCAAAGATACCCACCCGAAAAGGGGGCTAAGGAATACTGATGCCCTTCTTTCCGCTTACCTAAATAGTCCCAACCCCCACGTTACGTGAACACGACCAAGCCCAAAAGCAAAACACAGGAACGAATCAGCAGCACCCACCTATCCTGTTTAGGGCTGGTTTGAAAGGGAAACAAAGGCGAACCCGCCATCTTGCGGGGTCCCCGTTCTTAGCAGACACGTTCTTTTTGCCAAAAGAGTCACGCGCGGCATATGAGTTGTGTGTTCTTCGCCAAGCCTTCCGCGCTTCCACGGCCACGGGTAGCTTCAGCGAAGCCTTTTATTCCAAAGCCGCTTCCGCGGGCTACGGACGCGTTGCTTCAGCGACCACAGTGTTAGCGACTCGTTGCTGAGCCTTTTACATTCTTTCGGGCATTCGCGCTGCAAGTGTGCTGCTGTTGTTGCGGCTGCCATGGCTTGTTCGCTGACCAGGCCTCTATACGCCAAGGCTGCGATGCGCTTTTCAGGACAGCACAAGCCCTGAACCAATAGAAAGCGCGTAGGCTTTCTCCAAGGAGGTTGAGGAACTGCTACAAAGAAGACCTACGAGCGCGCTCCTTCCGCCAAGCTTCCTCTGCGCTTCCGCGGAAATCCGCGTTTGGGATTCCGTTGTTGGGTACAGCCTGTTTAGTGCGTGCCTCAGTCTCTTCTTTCAACAAACGCTTTCGAAACGACTGGAGTGTCAGCAATGCCATAAACCCTTCCGCGCACAAAACCCTGCCGCGAAGCTTCCGCGGCATTCTGCCACTGTGGCGCCGTGCGTATTTCCAAAGAATAGCTTCCGTACCTTTACATACTTAATCGAGCAGCAAAAAAACACAGCTCATAATATATGCTCGTTTGACTCATTTGACCCTTTTGCAGGGATGGCCTGCCCCACACTTCGCCGAGGCCGTCATCCTGCAGCAACTTGGGAGGAATCATGATGTGCCTCAGCGCAGCGGCCCAGCACGTGAATCAAGTTGAAGGATTGGGGGACATTGCAAGTTGGTCCATACAGAGCCCAGGAAACATCATTTGCCTGTGCCAGCAAACGCTTCTCCTGGTTGTTGGAAGGATCCCTGGAAAGAGTAGGACAGTTTCCCCCAGAACCATGTTGGGCAACCTTGGCGAATCGCAGGTCAGCCCAGAACAGAACCAGAACAGTCAAGCCAAAACAACGTTTCAATCACTCGCACCCATCAGCTGGCTTGAAGATCAGTCATAGGAAAATGCCCTCCACCCGGCCAGCGCGCAAGCCCTCCAAATCTTAGGCACCCTACACGTGGCAGTAGGGAATGTTCTGGAAATGGTGCATCACCTGGCATGCGAGCAGGAGAGAGAGAGAGAGAGGCAAAGTAAGGGAGAGAGATAAAACAGAGAGAGAGAGAGAGCGAGAGAGAGAGAGAGAGAAAAAGAGAGAGAGAGAGAGAGATAGAGAACGAGAGAGAGATAGAGGGATATATATATATATATATGTATAAAGAGCAACCAAGCTGCAACGACTGAAGCGCCCATCGAACCGAGCTACCAATGCGTCAAAGCTTCCCCACTCTCTCAAAGCAGACTTGATGAACACATTCCCATAACTCCAGGCATGGCAACAGGCAGGATAGACCCCAGCAAAAAAGTGCACGTCGCACTCTGACATCGAGGATAGCGATTGGGCCTCGAAATGCGCGGATCGGGGTCACGCGGTTGCTACTTTGCTGGGAAAGCCATATGGGCGCAACTCCTGTGTCAATGCGAAACATTGGGATGCGGAAAGAGGATGCGATTAAATCCTTCAAGTAAGTGAGTCTTTCCATGTGGTGAATAAAAAGGGCTGCTTGCTGCACCGATTTGTATGCTTGGGACTGTCCCGTAGCCTTGACTCACCTGGGTGTTGGCTGTGGCTTCAAAAGTCTGGAGTCTGTGGGATGAACTTCCCATTGGCGCATCGCTCCTGGGGCAGCCACTTTGCCCTGCTGCCTCGGCCAACAGCAACTAGACCTTCGATCTACCATGCAGATGTCCAATCTGTGAACATCACTTTGTACAAACATAATGAACACGACAATTTTTGTTGTGAGCTTGTTTTACATCAACCACCAAAACGGGAAATGTAAGAACCACTGTCGATGTCGACTCACAGATGCGAGTTGCAAGGGACTGGGAAGGTGCTGCCTTGCTTTTGAAGACACTTCAGGGAACCCCGCGCTTTGGGTCTGAAACCAAACCCAAAGATTGGATTTACATGGAAACCGCAAAAATCGGTGGGTGGTCCCTTCTTGGAACTTGTGGCACTGTAGGCAGAAACTGAGTCTGGCACTTTGGCTGTGGCTCCAGAAAGTTTCGCAACCTCAGTCGCCGATGTTCGCAAGTCCAAGGAAGATGCACGTCCGGGTGCGCCGATCTCAATGCGCCCTAAAAACTAGGGTATTGTTGCCTGTAAACTTTAGTGAATTTAATGGGCCAAGCGTGGTGAAACAGGTTGAAAGTGTCGTGCCACGGAAAACTGCAAAATACAGTGCCACAATTTCGGACTCTGAAGCCCCCTACCAGGGGAACCCATCCGATGGTTGTTGTAGGTGTTGTGGGTGTTGGGGGGGGGTGGAACAAATTATGTTCTGGGGCGGGTCGCATGGAACCAACAAAAAATACGGGACTTGAAGTTCACATGATAGACAAAACACCAAGTGGTAAGTTTGAGGGAAATGATCAAATACATTCTCTGATTTTGATATTTTCCTGCTGATAAACCTGGAACCCCAAAAACCACCCTTGTGGGATTGGAATCTCTTTTTGCGGAACGCCGCGTTGGGTTCTATGATTGATTTGCAAGTGTAGCCCCTAGCGACGGGACGGACAGCACATTCTCAGAGCCAATTCTCAGAGCCCGTCAGCATAGGCGGCGCAGTGGTTCGGGAGGCTGTCCCCGCGTTGCGCGCTGCCTGCAAAGCCTCACGGCAAGCACGGGTTGAGCACACGGCGATGTGCCCAGGGCACACGCAAAAGGCGCTGAATGCTCCAAACAAGACGGCCCAAAGAACACCTTCGAAAGGGCTGGCTTCGCTTCAGTTTGAGCGCCAGTGCCCCTAATCCCAATTGAGCTAAGAGCTTGCCGCCCCTAAACGACAGATCAACCCACTCCTTTTACATGTGGGTCCAAAAGTGACGTTAGACACCCGTCGGGCTACTATTTGGAGCACTTTTCGGCTCGAAATCTGGCCGTGCGTGGGCCCTTTTGAGGCGTACCTTTTTTTGGAGGCCTTGCGGCTCGCTTTCAAGCGGCTCTGCCGAGATGCCAGTGATGTTGCTGCTCTATCCGATTGCGTTTCTATATAGGATCCAAAAGCGTCTCAAAGCGACGTTAGACACCCGTCGGGCTACTATTTGGAGCGCTTCTCAGCGCGAAAACTGCCCGTGTTTGGACCTTTTGAGGCGTGCCTTTCAACTCTCTTTCTATGAGCCAGTTTTCCGAGGGCTGCCCACCTAACACCAGTCACCGGCTTTTGCTGGGCCATGGCGCTGCAGGTCTAGCGGCCGGGTGCTGAGCTCTGACAGTAAGTGTTCCGACATCAAGATGCACATGCTGCACCATCGCGCAAATCTGTCTGCTTGCGTGCGCCAGGGAAAAGTGGAACACTCCGACATCAAGACGCGCGCGCTGCACCATCGTGCGAATGCGCCTGTTTGGAGCACCTGGGCGCACGCAACTCGTTGAAGGGCGCGCTGCAATCTTTGTTAGAATCACCCGTCGCCTGACCAAACATTCTGCCCAACTCTCGGAAGTGTTAACTCCAAATGAAATGAAGATGAGAGCTTCAAGCCAAACCTTGGCAAAAGTATCCAAATGATTGTCACTGCAAATCCAGCTGCCAGGTTCTGAGCATGAACAGCAAGTGTTCCGACAGCAGGAATCACGTGCTGCGCCAGCGCGCGCATGCGTCAGTCACCGGGGGCGCTGTAACCTGCGCACCTCCGCGCCCCATCATGATTGGAATCACCCGTCGCCTGATCTCCATTCCGCCCAACTTTCTGAAGTCGTGGCTCTCGTGTGGAATGTGAGTGAGGTCTTCAGGCCATACCTTGAAACACCGTATCCAGGTGATGTTCACTGCAGATCCAGCAGCGGAGTTCTGAGCTTTGACAACAAGCGTGCCGACAGCAAGGCGCGCTTGCGCAAATCTATATGCGAGCGCCTTTTTGCCCACTGTAGCACGCGCAGCTCTTTGAGGGCTCCACCTGAGCCCGCCATGCTGCCACGGGGCATTGAACTGAACCCCACGTGCTCCCTTGTTCCACGCTCACGTCGACCGGCCATCCCATGCTGCATGTCCACTAAGTCCACCGTGACCTCCGATGCCTTGTCCTGGGCGAGGTCTTCCATGGCACAACGAACCCTCAAGTCTCGGCTTGCGCCGGCCCTCCTCTGGTCGGGAGCTTGAGCCGAGCCCGATCAAAACTCTCATGCGGGCCATGGCCATGGTTCCAAGGCACCTTTACATGGGTGTGAATTTCAAGAGTTGGACCCACCTCAAAAGTGGTTGGACATGAATCTGAATCTAAATTCATCCCATGGTCGAAGATGCCTCGGGTTTGGGCTCTGGCCTCGAGGTCGATGCCGTTGACCATGCGCAGTGTGCTGGGCAGGGCTCCGGCCTCTCGAGAAGCCTCGGGTCTCAAGGGCACAAGCCTCCAGATTCACATATTTTAAGGGAACCCCGCACCCCCACCCACCCACGCACACACACACACAATCAAAGGGATCCAACAGCTGACGCGGGGACCCCCTAGCTTATATGGCCGTCGGAGCAGGTCTCTGCAGAATTCCGGAGCTTGCCATGCCGTTGGGCATGCAAAAGCTTGCGAAACTGGTGGGGATTCACTGGAGCTTGTTGCCATGTTTGCCAGGCCTCCCGAATGTGCTGGACGAAATTCAGCAGCTCGTACGCCGAGCGAGTCTTCCTGCAGTGAAGCGTCCGCATCAGTTCCTCTGCATTAGATTCCATCCTGAGTCATGATTCAAACCGGGCAACCATGTAGAGAAGCAAAAAGGGCTTCTTGCCGCACCTGTTGGTTGGGGCTGTTCTCAACTCATCATAAAGTACCTGTTCAGTTCTGATTCGGAATTCAGAACCATTCCGGCAGGTTCAGATTCTGCTGTATAACCGAGGGTGTGATGCTAATGTTTTCCACACTGCCCCAGAATATGGACAGCTTTCCAACAACGCAAGTGGACAGAAAGCCTCAGTTGAAAGTAGGCTTCCGAACTAGATGCGGTCCAACGCAAATCCTTGATGTGGGGCTCCATACTCCCAGAAAATCTGAGATGCAGCCTACACTTTCCTTTGTTCTACCGATCTAAAGCAGCAAAGCAAGCCACGAAAACGCCATGTCCCCAACATGACCCTAGTGTAGCTGCAACATCCCTTCAGAGGAGCCTCGGTGATGCTCCCTGGCCGAATTACCCTCTTGAGAGGCGAAGCCCCTGTGGGGAACTCCTTGCAATTTTGACCTTTGCTTTTTTTGTTTGATGACGCCTTCCTTTGGCAACAAACCTCCCCAAAAACCAACCACAAGCTCTTTTGCTCCGGGAACATCCCCCTGCTGTCCCACCACGAGCTTTGGCCGGGAACCCGCGCAGGCGCAGGCAGCCCCGCAAGTTCAGCTCCTTGAGGCGCAAGGTGCTGCCCATGAGCCTCAAGCCCAAAGCGAGAGGGTGGGAAATGCTCCTTAAGCTATAAGCAGCTCGGGAAGGGCTAATGAGTTACTTAATGACCATATGTGTTAGCGCGTCAGCTTAGGGGATTCTGTGCGGCAACTTACTTGCTTCCAGTCTTGGGGTCCTTGCCACGCGCCGAATGCATACCAGTTGTACATGTCCTTTTTGTAGACCCACCTACATAGAAATCATAGCTGGGTGTATATCAATGGCCCGAGAGTGCATGGTTAAGCCATCAGAACCAGCTTCAAAGCTGGCGACTGGCGCCCGCCACACCATCCATCTGAGCCACGAACAACATGCATGGGTACCCGGATGCACATGGGAGAACTAGGGCTCCGTCCCCTTTGTTTGCAGCTGAAACTTTGCTTGAGACATCTGAGGCCCGGTCGGAGTCTTGAGCGTGTGACACAAGTCTGCCACAGTGGCATCCGTGATCTGCATGTTGCCTCAGAAAGCAGAGCTGATTACCACCAAGTTCAACGAACCGTACCACGCGGAAGAAGCAAAGGTACTTGCCAGACAAGTCGATCTTGGTCAGGTTGACGTTACCTGAGTCGTTGGCAGAGCTGCGACATCCCCTGGCACTTGCTTGTCAAATTCCAGCAACTGAGTGTGCCACTGCTTCGAGCGGTGCCCTGAGGACGGCAATGACATCACACTCAGCACAGGGTGCCTCACGTTATGAAGGTGGTTTGGAAACCCGCTCTCAAGCTACGATTTCTGCTCTGAATTGGTCCACTTCAACCGACATGTTCAGTGACCCTAGTAGAAAAAGGGGAAGCTGTTTCGGGGTTGAGCATTTCTAGTGGAAGCCCCCAAACAAGAAAGGATTTCGTAGTGGAATCTGTGATGCCTGGGTGCCGCTTCCGATACATTGCCTGACGGAGCGCCTAGCAGGTGTCCAAAAGCGATGCCACAATTGATGTCGTCTCTCAACCAGTTGGGAAGTCTTCAAAAAGAGCACATATGTCCCATAAACACCAAAACAAGACTACTCTTACAGGTGAACAACAGGATGGTAGGCTTGCGCATGGAAAACCATGCCAAACCCAGGCGCCTGCCCGGCAAAGTGGCGCAGCATGGCGCAAAGCCCCCGGAGGCCAACGTCCTCAGAGGCGCTGGCTGTCCGAAAAGGCGCTGGAAGGGGGTAGCGTCGTGCTTTGCACCGGTCTTATAAACAATCAATTGACAATCAAGCACAAAATGGGCCCATGATTCTGGCACATGGTTTGAAACGCCGAATGGGGGGTTCCATTGGCTCGCCATGGGAACCAAGGGTAATAGGTGCAGGGAATCCAACTCCCACCTTCAAAGAGGCCGAATATACTACAGTGTCTAGCCATAAGATCAACGAACAGAGCGGCGAGTGCACGAATACACGGCCTTTGCATCCTCCTTCCTTTGCTCAACAAACATCGCGCAATTTTGATGAATCATATTCACCCGCCCCTGTTGAACCTGGATCTCATCCCCTCAAAAGTGGCAATTGGGTGGGAAATGCATTGAAACTTCCATTGTTGGAGGTCCAAGGGAAACACATTCAAGCCAGCCCCGTCTTTGCAGCCACCGGAGTGGCCATGAGCGCCCAGCTGTAAAGCTATGACCTGCGAGTTGAGCCATTGAGCACCCTCAAAACCGTCGAAACGTGGATCAACATTGGGGGTCTTTGCTTGAAAAGGTGAAGGAAGGATTCTCTCTAAAAGGGGCGCCCCACTCATCAACCGTTTGTTTTGGATGGCTTCCCATTCGGCGAAATTGGGGCCCCGGTCCCAACCCAAATTCACGCCAGCCTTCAACACCCTCTGTGTTGTTTGGATGCCTCTTCGTGGGGAGGTTAAACGACCTCATTTGGGCTTTGCATCAAAAATTCGGAGCACCCGTACAAATGGGCCCTTTTCCTCGGGTTCCTCTTTAAGCACCGCAAAAGGGCCCAACTGTAGCAAGCACCTGTTCTGGTTTAGCCTCTGGTGGATCGATTAGGTTCGGCACCAATCAAGCCCTAATGAAAAAGAGGGCACTCCCTGCGCTCAAAGAAGGGAAGCCCGGAAATGTCTTCCTATTGATTTCCCTTTCAACCAGCCTGAAAAACGGGACCTTCAATCCTCTCAGTTCAGGGCTCCTATCGCTGCGCGCCTTGCAACTTGAGCTCTGTTGTGCCGCCTGCGGCGTTTTGCGAGATTTGTCCGGAGATGTCTGGAGTTGCTTCAGGAATGTGTGCAAAACGCGAGAACCCACAATATGGGAGGTTTCCCCTTCGCTTTTAGGTCTCCCATCGCTTTTTCTGGGCAGTTCAAAATGGGGGGATCCCTACTGACAAACCCATAGTCCGCGGGAAACCACTACCCTATTCCACAATCAGTGCATAATCGTACCTCCCAAAGTGGAAATCCCGTGTCTCTGTCTGAAAGGCTACAATGAAAGCATGCAAAGCCTAACAATCCGAAGATTCCAAGCTGCCGAAACTGGATTGACATCCCAGCATCACCTGAATCCAAAACAACGTGGCTCAGAATGATAGACGCTCCTTCCGGGGAGACCACACAACAAAACACGTACTCAATCGAGACAAATGCAGTTTCACCATCCGTACCCATCGCCTGCACCGTGATGAAAGCTGACCACAGACCAGAGGTTTAGCCGCGCCTGGCAGCGCAACGAGCAAGCAAAAAAACTGGAAGCGGTCACCAGAGCCGACCAACTAAACAGCCACCCAACCACCCAACCACCTAACCCCAACCAATCAAACAAACAGACAGACAGACAGACGGACAGACAGCGACAGACAGACAGACAGACAGACAGACAGACAGGCAGGCAGACAGGCTGGCAGGCTGTCTGACATACAGAACAAACACATCAAACGGACAACCATAGAACCAACACATACAACCCAAGAAACATGCCACATAGGCGGTCAAAGAAACTATCACACCAGCAAACTAATCGAACAAAAGAAACAAAGAAGCAAGGAAGCCAGAAAGCAAGGAAGCAAAGAAGCAAAGAAGCATGGAAGCATGGAAGCACAGAAGCACGGAAGCACGGAAGCAAGGAAGCAAGGAAGGAAGGAAGCAAGCAAGCAAGCAAGCAAGCATGCATGCAAGCAAGCTGGCAAGCTGGCAAGCTGGCAAGCTGGCAAGCTGGCAAGCTGGCAAGCTGGCAAGCTGGCAAGCTGGCAAGCAAGCAAGCAAGCAAGCAAGCAAGCAAGCAAGCAAGCAAGCAAGCAAGCAAGCAAGCAAGCAAGCAAGCAAGCAAGCAAGCAAGCAAGCAAGCAAGCAAGCAAGCAAGCAAGCAAGCAAGCAAGCAAAGCAAGCAAGCAAGCAAGCAAGCAAGCAAGCAAGCAAGGCGGCAGGCAAGCAAGCAGGCAGGCAAGCAAGCAAGCAAGCAAGCAACAAAAAACGCCTGCAATGCCAACGTAATGCTGCATGCCCTGTTGGTCGCTTTGATTTGTGAAGGATGTCGTGCGACCAAACATTTTGAGTCGGAGAACCTTGCGCGCACACACACACACACACACGCGTCCACAAACCTGACTGGAACTACTTGGTCACCTCAACAGTCGGCGGCACGCTCGGTTTCTCTGATATCGCTTACAGCAACGGCACAAGCACTGTGACAGTGCTCCCAAGATAGCATTGTCCCGTCCGATCCCGTCCGACATGTTGCCCATAAAGCTCAATCGCCGAAGCCACCCCGCTTCGATTGTTATGATCATTCTGGTGTTGAAAAGGGGGTCATGACAATCTGGTCACACACACAAAGACCAGTCACAAGGGCTGAGACTCCTGCCATGACGCCCAGAGTGAAGTCATTCCATTCCTTGACACCGCTGCTTGCATTGATTCCTTGCCCCCTGGCATAGCCCTTCAACCCAAGTGCATGCGCAGAAAAAGGTATGTCAATGTAGAGCAAGAGTTTGACAACCTTTAACCCGCAACCCTGACGACCTGGGAATGATGAAATTGTCCCATGAGGCGCAAGCCACGGCATTTCCCGAGCTCGCCGCAATGCTGTCCGACAGATCCAGCGGATTGCCTCACACATGGATGGGCCATCCAGTGAGCGAGCAAGGGAGCACGCAGCTACGTGTTCTTTGACAAGCGAAAGCAACACACAACTCCGAAAGCCTTGTGTAGTAGAGCAAGCGAGCGAGTGAGCAAGCCAGCAACCAACCAAGAGACCAGCCCACCCACTCAACAACCCACCAACCAACCAACCAACAAAGCAAGCAAACGAAAAGAAGCAACCAAGCAACCAAACAACCAAGCAGGCAAAAATAACCAAGCAATCACTGAAGCCAGCAAGAAAAAGCAAGCAAGAAATCAAGAAAGCAAGAAAGCAACCAACCAAGGAACCAAGCAACCAAGCAATCAAGTACAGGCCAACAGGACCCACACAATCTCGTTTCGGCTTCAAGAGCTGCCTGCCTTCTGGGTGGTCTTTCAGCTGCACCAGTCTTGCCAACGGCAGCCCGTTCAGGCCTCCGTTCGGTGCATATGTGAAAGGGACGGCACCAACGAAATGAGCAAGTTGCACACGCTGAACCATCTTCCGCATTCGTTCGCAGCAATATTCGACATGGGTATCCGAGTATCCCTAAAAGGGGTCTTCCAGCGCATCAGCAAGGCCATTCGCAGTTTGCGATTGACTGCAGTGCTGACCCCGGATGAATCAACACCACGGATTATTGCCTGGTGGCCCCACAAGTCAAGCATCCCCTCTAGAATGAGACTTCTGCTACTCTGACAACCTGCTTTGCAGTTTGCCCTGGTCCTTCTCAAAACCAACCAACGCTTGTTTAAATATTCTGGCCAGCAGGGGCCTTCACAACGATATGGGATCATGTGGGCCCATGCTGCTCATAACCGGAATGATGACTCCTACCATTATGGAACATTCGACCGTTGGAGGGGGTCCAGCTTCTTTCCCCTGGGGCACCCCCACCCTCTGGCATGGAACCTCAAAGAACCTATCTGGAAGAACACGTCTCTCGCAGGGTTTTGGAGGCAAAAGCCGAAAGGGGCCTAGGCCTAGGTGTCCTTGTGGAACTGGTTTGGTTCCATCTATTTTGAACCAAACTCACCAAACAGCACGCCGAAGGGGCAACTAGGTTTGAGGTGACATCCTCGAAACGGTCGTCTTATTGGGTGGTTTGGCGGGCAACACGCTCAAGACTAATTTCGAGAACCCCCTCAAAATGCAAGGCCGCGGCATGGCCTACAAAACGGGAGACAGGCCATCCACCCTTGGGCTGCCGGTCTGGTAAGGCGCGGCGCCAGCTCCGCTACCGCCTGAAACGGTCCGAGAGCTCTTAGGCTGTGAGACGGGCACTTTTGGTGAAGCCAACAACATGTGCGCTTGGGCTGCTCTTTTGGGGGGTACCCTTGATACGACATACACATATGCCAGATTTGGCCTGGGCTTTCCGGAGGGTCACCTCCAAGCCACCCCCATAAAGACTGACTTGATGTGTCTTGAAAAGGGGAACCTTGAAACGGGGCTCGCCTTTCATCGCAGGAAGCGTTGTGCACAAGAGCTACTGAAAGAAGCGTTGACCGCGATTGCAAATGGTCCACTTCAATCCATAGTCCTTTGAGTTCCTGTTAAACCGCCCCTCGGACTCCAAATCGATTTGGCATTGCAACGACAGATTATCGGGGCTCGGCACATGGACGATGTTCCAAATATCCCGGAAGAACTCGAATTTCCTAGTCCACTTGTGAACAATTCTATTCAGTCTGCGACGTGACTATTTGATCAGCCATTGTGTCACTCGATTGATCAACCGTGGGATTGTGGGGTTGTACCTGATTGGGGTGCTTTAGTTGATCGCCAGTTGGCTTGCAACTCAGCTGCAAGCTTGATCAGATGTGGAGTTACTACTTGATTGGACCACAGGTTTGATCAGCTGTGGCATTAGTTCTCAATCAGGGTATTTAAAACACTAGCAAGGCACTACTTTATCAGAGTACCTTATTGACCAGTCGCAGCAACTTTGCTTGATCAACATCCTTGGCAAACTTACCGAATCAACTGAGGGCTTCCTTTGCGATCAGGTACTTGGATGCTCATGTTTCATAGGCTTCGGCTCAGGGTTCTCAGTGAATTAGACAAGAGAGCTTAGCATATGAAGCGTGAGTACGCTTGATCGGGGTACCAAGTTCGTTCTGCTACGACGCTCCAATGTGCCACCCAGGAGTGGCAGGTGACAAATTCACATTGCGCCAGTGGTGCGACCGTGCAGCTAACGGAACATTTACCGCCAGAGGGAACTCAGCCACCCTCTGGCATCTGTTGACACTCCATTCATCCCCCTACAAATTGACGTGGCACTTCGACATCCTCCAAACAGAAGATTCCTCTAAAGCTGAGGAGGTCTTGGGAATCTGGAAAGTATAATAAACCCCTAGACCCGCAAGATCCTTTCAACGGAAGGATCGTAGGTCGGTCCTCAAAGCTATGCATGTTCAGGGGAAGGGGTCTTCAAAGCTGCTTCGGGGATTTTTGGGGTTCCATTCGGCAGAGTAATGTCAACCCATCAACTTGGTTGCCCTGCAGAAAGTTTAACTTTTTGGGGGTTTAGTAGAAAACACCTTTATTTCCAAAAAAGTTAAAGTCTAAAGATCCAACCCAATAGCACTCAAGTCAATAAGCCTCTGGTGAGTTAACCCTTTGAACAGTGTCCCAAGCAAAAATCCGCCTGGACCTAGGGGTCACTTGGATCCATCCACCCCGCGCACCCCCCGCGCGCCCCGGCCTGGAGCAAAAGGCTGGCCCCCCGGCTCGAGAGTCGCAAGTCTGAGAGGCGCAGCACCTCCTAAGGATCACGTGGGGGATCGAGGTATCAGGGGCTCTCTATACTTCCCCTTAAGAGGTAAATATTACTGTTTTGGCACATAGGTAAGTTTCCGTAGGGGTGATCTTTCAAGGGAAGAAGGAGGCCTGACGGTCCGCTTCTTGAGAGCCATAAGTAAGCCATGGGAAGGAAACAATAACTTGGGCCTTGCATTGTTTGGGTGTGTCTAGGGAAAGTCTATAAGGGGGATGCCCACCCACATGGAGTGATCGTGAGAATATGAAGATATGGGCGTGTGTCTTCTTTGGCGAAGCCTTTTTGTTTGAGAAGCCGAAAGGAGACGATGAGACGATAATCAGTTTGGGCCATTGCCGGAATGAGGGGACCTCAAGTGCAATTGGACGTACAAAGCCACACCAGGGTTGGTCAAAGATTTTCTTTACCCCAGGGGAACCCAAAGGAGCTTCTTTAAGCAAGTTTAAACAAGGGTTTGGCCCAACGCTCGCTACGATTGGGAGGCTGAAGCAAATTCGATGTTCCCGAAAAAGGACCAAACAGTCCCTGGCAACAGCTTAGGCTTGCCACCAGGCCAAAACAAGGATTGAGGCTGGGGTTTGATGTAATCAGGGCTGTTCAAAATGGGGGGATCCCAAATTCCGATCTGTGATGCCTGAGATGACAACGGAAACGACTGCAAACAGATACGGCATTGCTGTTCGAACGTCCCAGGAAAAAGAAAAACACGAAACACATGGAGAACACTTATTTTGGAGAGATCCCCATTTGAAACAAACCCAAACGGGTTATTCCACCATGATGCATAAATTGGGGCTTGGTCTCCTTTGGCCTCTCCGCATTCTCAAAACGGCTGAGAGCCCCACGACCGAGCGCAAGTTCAGTAGAGCGTCCGTGATATGTGCCTCGTCACATCTAACTGGTATCACAAGGTGGTTGATTCCCCTCACTACATGATCATTTTTTAGACAGTTCCTTGGCAACTCATCATGGAAAGTGGCAAACTAGGTGAGGTTGGTTTCCTTTTAGCTTCCTGCAGAAATCATCCAAGGTGCTATGCCATCCGACGCCCGGGATTGCTTCGTACGCATTGCGAGAAAGAGGGCCGACCAACGGCCCAAAGCGACTCCATCTCCAAATGCCGACCTTTTGTGAGCTGCTCTAACGGCTGGAATCCCCTTCCCACAGATTCCCACATCTCAGTTCCCCATTTTTTCCGTCCCTTCCTTTATCCCTCCTTTGTCCCTCTTTTGGGTATATTCCCTTCAGAACCTTTCGTGGCTTGGGGCCCCCCCCCGAGCCAGTTGCCAGCGTGGAATCTTGCGGGATCTCCAGCTTGCGGAGCGTGACCTGGCAGCGCCACCCATTCTCTGGCGAGGGCGCCTTCTTATCTGTTATACATTTTCCCACGAAACGAATACCTTTCAGGGGAAGTCCGGGAATTACACCCTGACCGAATGCCAGATGAGCTTCCAATTCAATACCAGCTCTGCGTTGAAGCACGGGATCCCCTTGACGCATCGCCCTCAGCACTCTCCTGTCAGCCGCCAAGGAGCTAAAGCCGTGGATGGAAAGCAGCCGCGAGTCGTGACAGGATGCAGACCAAAAGCGGAGCTGCCAAAAGGCAAACAACCAAACAAGGTGACTTCACCAGCCAACCCCTCCCCCCCCAAAAAAGGTCAACACTTGATTGGTTTATTCAGGGTTTAAGGCACAAATCAAATAACGCGGTGGCCGGCCGTGTTTTCCGAAACAGGGGACCGCATTTTGGTTGGGACGTTTCCTTGGAAAGCCAAGGTTCAGCTTGAGGACCTCCCATGTCGGCTCGATTTTCGGGCCTCACGGAGCTCAGGGAAGGAGTTCGGAGCCACCTGAGAGAAAGAAGCGCTGCGCGGCGAAATGGGTACAGGCCGCCCCCCCTCAAGAGGAAACTCATCTAGTGGCCCAGAAGGTGATGCGGGCTGCAAAGGGACATGTAGGGACTCTGTTCTTAGAGGGTCATAGTTGGGGGGGAAATGGGCGCTCTTCATATTGAGGCGCTATTGGCAGGAAACGAAGAGGAGGAAGGGGCTTTTCGGATCGGGGGGCTTGAAGTCTATGAGAATGCTAGTAGCATTTCCGTGATACCAAAGTAGTTGATTCTCATGGTTATGACTATTCTGCCACAGGGGTTCCCTTGGTATCACTGAAAGTGGACCTGCCGTATTTGCCACGACCATGGACTGCGTAGCGCTGCTGGAAGATTGCACAAGCGACGCCAAACCTGAGAAAGCCGCCAGCTGCAGGAAAATGTAGCCGTCACCTCAGTCTCGGCAAGGCGACCCCTCTGGAAAAACTGCACTAGCCATGGAACCTGACAACGGAAACTGGTCTTCCAAAAGCTTTCTTGAGGATCCATGTCGGTGGAAGGGGCGGGCAAACGAAGTCAAGTCGTGATGGTGCTGGGATGGTCAGGAGCGGCCACCTGCTTCCGGCTGCTGACGTGCTTTCTTGTTGCTCTTATCTTATAATTTATAATTACAAACAGTTCAATCGTTCAGGGGCAACCAATTGAAATGTTAAACCACTGTCAAGAACTAGTCTCAGTTGGTCCAAGGCCCAGTGGCCAAGGGAACAAGGATACTCTTGGGGGTTTGATATCGTTTAATTCAGAACGCCCCAGCCAATCATGAGAAACATGGTGGCCGGGCATCAAAAATACACTGAGCCCTTCTGGGTCAGCCGCCTTCGTCCATTTTGGCAAACTGATGCTGGAACACCTGCGCCAAACGTCGGGTCCTTTTGCCCCGAGCATATTGGCATACCTGCAAGGAAAATCCCACATTTGGACCCACAGAATTGGTTCCTTGTGTTTTTGTGTGGGGGAATTTGGGTTGTCCCCCCATGTTCTCCTCAAATCAACAGCACGATCAATAATGTATTGTCAGCTACTCATGTATCCTTCCAAGAAAAGATATATGACGACCAGCTTGTCGCCAGAAGCGTACGTGCCTCTTTTACGAAGGCTTCATCCGTCGGATCCTGGCAGATGGATCGAGCTGCGAGCATGTGCAAGTTCAGGTTGACTTGTTCCACCTTCAGCTGGCACAGCACAGATCCCTAATAATATAGGAATGAGTCTTGGGGCGCTAGACTGTTACACATATGGCGCGAATTTTGGGGTGCCTGCCGCTGCCCTTGAGGACTTCCACCATTCAACATGGTCAACATACGGAGCCCCCAATCCCAGGAAATAGGGCCTATGAATGGCAAACATGTTTGTGAGGATGCTCTTGAGGCCTTTTTCAAGAAAATCCCTTTGCAAAGCCCTTGCACACTTTACGCTGGCCATTGTGCGTGAGCCCTATGCGTAGAGCATGCGGTCCTCATGGCTCGGAGCTGCTGATTTCAGGTCGCTACAAATGGTCGGGGTTCAAAAGAGCACCTGTTCTTCACAGGGAGCCGTCACACAAGGGGAGGGGGAACTAATGAGCAAATACAATTTCATCGCCCGAGCACCCGGTCTCGAGGCACAGAACATCCAGATTCAGGACATTGCACTAGGAAGTCAGCAAAGAATCTTGCATACGTATGGTATTGGTATGAAACCAGCTACAGGAAATTCTACAGGAAACCCGGGGCCCCTGGTTTTGGTGGGTGTTTGGCCAATTTCTTATGTGGCCAGTTTGTAAGAGTACCGCTTTTGTCGCCTTGATGCCAAAGTTGCAACTTCTCGATTTCCCCTCGATTGCAACCCACCTCCTGCTCGTCATCTGCATAGGGATCATCAACCTGCCACACGCACAACCCGCATCTCCCAAGGACTCCTGAGTCCTGGCTACCAGCGCTGCCCGTATGCAACTGTATATATATATATATTTTAATACCCACCTGCACCTGTTGCAAGGGCTAAGGACATTCTCCACAGGCGCAGAGGTCCTGAAGGCCCCTGACATTTGCTGTTTTGGGATGTAGGTAGTTTGAACATCCTTTGAGGCATCGTTGGAACTTTGTGCTCTGGCGTCTCAATGTCTCAAAATGTGTCTGCAGTCAACACTTGCTGTACCCCTCATGGCGTGTTTGTTGGTACTTGGAGGCTCAATGCCCGAGGCCCACCCCTGTCCCTCACCTGGGGCTTCTCGGGCTCTTTGCCAAGGCCGTCCAGAACTTGGCGCATCGGGTCACACGCGGAACGGGGGGTCTGAACTCCCACTTCGGACCACTTGGTGGTCTAGCAGGGTTTCACCCATCCCTGCGAAGTGGATTTCAGCCCACATGGTGCCATTGCCGCCTTCCCCAGGCTCCAGGGAAGCCATGGAAGTGTAAAGGGGCTCCCCTCAAGGAAACACTGGTCTCAACTTCTGTCCAAGCAACCACATGAGCAAATCAAGCCATAACTTGTGTTCCACAAGTTGGAAAAGGGTGCAATGTTGACCCGTTGTGACATTGCGTGATGCCAACGTGGGACTCCCATCCTCATTACAAGTTCTTCACAGTTTCAAAGGGGGATCCCCTTGCTTGTACAAGTGACATCCTAAAAAACGACCCTCTAAATCTTGAAAATGGTTCGGCGCGGGGCCTGGGTTTCTGAAACAAAACAAACAACGTGATCTGTCTGTCATTGGAGTTTACATGGGAGCTCCTTTCCAAACATGTGTTTAGTTAAGATCCAATTAAATTACAATCTTCTAACTACGTTTTTGTCAACATTTTACTTGTAAAGATGGTCGTGATCGAATTCGGAGTCAAGGACATTCTCATTTATCTTCTTCCTCATATGTTTGATGTGTTTGACAACCTCCAAGAGTTGTTTGCACTTTTCCCAACAATGCAGAAAACCTCAAGCTGTCCAAACAACACAACAAATGACAGACTGGAGCAATGGGGTTTTCAAAACGCATGCCCCAACATGCCCCTTTCTGTAAATTTCAGACTAGGGCTGAAAGGGAAACCACAAGCAACTATCTTTAACAACCAACCTGTTTCCAGCTCCGGGCGGTTCAAACCAGGGGAACCGCTAGTCTCTTCCTCCTAATAATTGAGGTCCCCCGAAGAATATGTGTTTTTCTCAAGATGCCGGCGTCCCAAATGCTGAATCCGAATAGGCCAATTCTTAACCAATACTAACTAGGAGTTTCTGCCACCAACCTCTCCGGCCCAATCGTATTACGGGACCCTCGGGGACCTACAAAATACGGGAATTGGCACCCCGAATCTGGAACAGGACCGTAATAATTATCGTTTTGCTTTTTTTGTTTCCGTGGAATTATTTTGCATTGGGCAGGAGGCACGCTGTTTATTACTAGAGGAAAATAACGCAGAATGATATGGATGGTTTTCCTTGGGTTCCCTTGAAGGCACTCCCAAAAGATGGTGCCCTCAAAAGGGAACCGAAAGCAACAAATGTCACCCGGCGGTCGAAAGTGTACTCTGTTCCGGCTCTGACAGGACAAACCCTCATTAGGGGGGAATGATCATGCGCACAGTGAAGAGGATGGCCTTGAAGCATGTCCAACATCCCCAGCCAGTCTGACCGTGGCCTTTCTTCGAAGCGAAGTTGTGGGCGAATCTGTCCGCCAATGACAAGGATGCCATTTACAAAGGTGGCAGCTGGCAAAGGGCAGCTTCTGGTCTTGCCAAAGGCTCCCACCCAGCGATGGGCAGGTCGCCGCTTCCTCCTCCTGCAAGGAGAGTTTGAGGGCAGGTACTCACGAACCACGTGTTTTGGTGCATGTGTGCTCGGGGGGCAAACAAACCCGTACGGCCATATTCACCTTCAAATCGAGAGGGTATCCCTGAAAAGGTACGGCATGGCTTTTCTAGTGGGGCCCAGCCTAAAAATATCGCGCCAAGTTAGGAGTTGGCCCCATAACAAATCAACAACACTTGTAAAATAGGCCTGACAAGGGGAAGTGCCCTTTAATTAGTTTGATTCCACAACCCATTTTTGGGAGAACACCCCAACCGCTATGTATCTTACAAACCTCACGCACAATCGTACAGTAGCACCCTGACATACTCCTTCTGCATGCTTCTCAGGTTGAAAGACAGAGACTTGTGAAAGAGACTTCAATACAACCAAATTGGCTCTCGTTCACTTGAAAAGAAACAACCTGACAGAACGAGAACGCCCGCCAACTGCGCCAACCCGCTCCAACACTGGGATCTGGTTCAGACCTCAGCTTGCCGCCACAAAAGAGCATGGTCCGCCAAAGAAGGAATGTGCACACTCGCACACTTGCACATGTCATACAAGCTGACCAGCTAGGCATTCTACTCTTGAAGATTGGCCCGCCATGCCACGTACTTGTTTCCTGACCATGTTCAATTTGGGAATGCAAGGCAGCATGTGCAGCCATAGAACGGCACACAAGGCTGTAAAGAGCTATGCGGCGCAGCGCAAGGTCAGCCGGCTGGGTGCTGTTCGCCAAAACCCATCGATCAGCACCACAGCCACTGCCCGCATCCACATGTGCAGCTCGCAATGAGAACATCCCCCTGGATCAATTTCTTCAGAGCTGCAGCTGCGAATGCCCTTGACGACCGTTTTCGCTGGCTGGGCTTTCACGGCGACCTTTGTGCCGAACCTGTCGCCAATGGACGGGAAGGTGGATGAGTTCTATCTGCGAACTCTACGAAACCAGGAACAACAGCTTAAACAAAGACAAACAGCTCAACGCGGTGCTTGTGGAAGTGAGGAGTCTTCGTGCCTGCCTTCGTGGCTGCCTTCTGGCGCGTCTTGACCACGCAACGACCCGGGATCGCAACAACTTGCCGGTCGACTTTGCCTCCTTCGCTCCGATCTCCGAGAGCTGATCAAGCTGTGACACCTCGGACTTCAAGCTCGCCGAGGCCGGCTATGCCTCCCTTCATGACCTTGGCGCTCATGGCCTTCCTTGGCCGCCTTCATAGGAGCCATGTCTTCGAAGGGAAGTGATGGGATCGTACGGAAAGCTTGACAGATGTTGGCTGCAGAGAATTTGCGGCTGGTCCAGCGCATTTGACCGTGATGTTTACGACACTCCAACCATCGGGCAAACCAACGGTCTCTCTGCATGCATTGCAAGATGGCATGAAGTGGGCCGGCACGAGTGCTGGCATCAAATTCCCGGGATGTCAGTAGCGACATCGCTGCTGTTAAGGCAAGGTCGAACGAGGCTCTTGTGGTTGCACACAAGCTCCAGCAACAGGTTCCTTGGACAGCGCGGCACTTTGGGTTTAACCTTCTCTCGGCTGCAAGATAACGGGGAGCCAACAGGGGACTGGACAAAAATAGAAATGACCCATCCGCTTTGATGTCCTTTTGGGGGTTTTAACCATAGCAGCAACTTGCTTGCAGTGCTTCTCAAATATACAGGCGCCCAAAACCGTTTAACATAAACTGACATCAGCCACTTGCTGTGCGCCTTCACAACAAAATCTGCGACACCCAAGTCGTCTAAGCAACCCGTGCATTTTCTCAAGAAAAGACAACCCCGGTGGCGTCTCCGGTCTTGCAGCAGATATCCTTTCTAGTGGTATATAAACCTTGGGGGTGTTAAGGGCAACGGAAGGGAAACCGCTCAGACACATGCCAGAAGGTTGCATCGCTCAATTCCTGAGTGGGTTCAGCTAAAAGTTCAACTGAAGTGAGCTATTTGGGAAAGGCACACTGGACATGTTTGATTATGATTCAGTAAACATGGCATCATCAAGTGACTTCGCTCCCGATCAGCATTGATGGGCATCTCAGATCCGCAATGCTCGAACACCTCCTTTTCCTTGCAACTTCGAAGATTGATGAGAAATTTTGAAGGAAAGCACCTTCATCATGAGCTCGCCTTACCCCCGATAGGAAACCTCGGAACTGATTTGCCCAAAGGGAGTGGATGTCTGCCTTTGGCTTCCCGTTGAATGTCCAAAGGAAAAGAACAAGTGTACCCCAAACAGCTTGTACAAAGAGGACACACAAGGAACACAAAAAAAAAAAAAAACTGGGCCCGTTCCCAGAACTCAAAGAAAGTGGAAACCCAACCGATTCCCAACGTTCCTACGTCCCCTCGCCTTCGTCTCGGGCCCTGGCGCATCCTCGCGGGTGAGGCCGTTGCCCCGCATGTCCAGCTCGTGCAGCGTGGAGTCCTCGTGCAGCAGACCTCAGAAGGCTAAGGTAGAGGCAGAGCAAAACTGGGTGCTTATTTTCTTGCTCTGTTTCCTTTGTGTTTTTGCTTGCCAGCTTTGCTTGCTTTGCTTTCTTTGCTTGTTTGCTTGTGTGTTCTTCGTTTGCTTGCGTGTTTGCTTTCTGTTTGTGTGGCTATTCGTTTGTTTGTTTGTTTGCTTGCTTGCTTGTTTGCTTGTTTCTGAGTTTTTTCCCTTCAAGCCAGGCTCGCTTTTGGATGTTCAGGGCAAACCCAAAAGGAACTAACTACGCGGGCGCCAAATGTGAAACTGAAACAAGCCGCTTGGGCCCCCGGGATCCCCCATGCCTGCCAGTCTGTGAGAGGCTGAAATCCCACTCTCTGGGATATGGATCACACACAGGGATGGGATGGCATCGGTTTCCCTTTCGTTTCGCCTTAGGACAACTCTAAGGGGACCGACTTAAGCAAGTAAGGTACTCGGGTCCTTTTCTCCTTTTCGGGATTGAGTTGAACATCACCTTTCGGACAAGGTTCAGCCAAGCTTCGTTTGATGGGGTGATGTGTGCATGTTGGTCGGCTTTTGCCGCCAATCAAACATACTATTGTTGATTATGTTGAGTGAGCCTTATAATGTAGTATAGATTGAAAACAAATCCGGTCAAATGTCCCACACTCCCAATGACCAGAGACTGCTATGAGCCAGGGTCATGTCTCACTTCCTGAGAGGGTCATCCAAAAACGTCCAAACTGTTTGTTTGCCACTAAACTGGTTCAGGCCCAAAAAGAAACTCAAGTCCAGAAACTCGGTTTAGTCATAGAGGAACAAGGTGTGTAACGATTAATGCCCTGATACTACTCAACCATGTCTTCGTGTCTTATAATAGGGTGATCCCATAGGTGTCCTTTTTTAACAATAGATGGCCCTGGTAGATGATTGAACCGCCAGGTAAACCAGGGCCCTCTATTTTTCAAGCAAACCAACCAAAAAGGAAACTTATGGTTATATCCCTTTCTTTTTAGCTTCTCTCCCGAAGGGGCCCTCTCTCGAAGCAGCCAAAACCGCTCGTGACTCGATGCGCGCCGTTCGGGCCCCCGGGCTGCGCAGCGCCTCGTGCAGCAAGTTCTCCGCGAAGCTGGGCTCGTTCGGCAGCAGCTCCTTGGGTGAATCGTCATAGGGCGGTGGGTCAAAAAGATGTGCCCAAAGTGGAACCCTGGTAAATGGGAAACACGGACAACCTGCGGTTCCCTAGTGGTTTAATATTGACCCATACCCATTTGGACAAATGCTGGGATTTCCGCGGATGCCCGGCTTTGCGCTTGGGTTCCCGTTAAACCAACGGTCCAAGGGTAGGGCCAGCTGGTTCTGGGTGCAATAAGCCGTTCTGTAAGATTCCAAATAGGAAGTTTATCTCCCAAAAAATGGCGGTTTTTCCTTTTGGGTTCCCAAACCACCCTGAAAAGGGTACTCTGACAAGCTCACGTGGGAAAATTGGGTGCCCCCTTACATTGCTTTGGAGCAGGGTTACTAACCCCTCGTTGGTTGACGTGAGGTTGGGTGGCCCCACGGGTTTCTGTGGGAAATTGGATGCCCCCTCTTTCCTTCCCAAGCGACGAATAGACTACCATTTATGCTGGCCAGTGCTCATGCGGGCATGATTAAGATGGAATGTTACATGACGAAACAAACAATACAACAGCCTGGATAACTTAATGCATACTTAAAGTTCATTCAAAAGGGAGCAGCAAGACACATGTTCGTTTGGGGAACTTATTTTTTGAGTTCCATGCTGATTTGCGCTTGGGTGGCTTTATGCAGAATTTCCGAAATGCAGTGCTTTGTCGCTGTGACAATCTGCCAGAGGGCCCTTTCATAGGGAACATGGCTCTCCAAGGAGCTTCCTACGGGTTTCATCACAATGTAGGGAGGGCGGAGTCTCCGTGACTGCGGTTGATTTGTTTTAAATGGAAACCAAAGGGAAATCGAAGACGACGAGTAATTTTCCATTGTCGTATTTTGAGGGGACGGGGTGCAATACCAAAAAAATGTAACCCTGAAGGGAAGGGCGTAGTGCCAGCGCGAGCCAGTGAATGATTAGAACCAAGAAGGACAAACCACGCAAAGAACACTTGGCACCAGAGAACTGCTTCGCAAATCACACAACTTACAGCAAACAAGGTGTCATGCCAGCACGCCCTTAGATCCAAAAAGGTGTAGCGAGAAAAAAGCAAAGGAGAACCACAAGGGTGCAATACCGAATCAAGCCCTTGGAACCAGTCGTCACCCTCGGGTAGAAAACTGTTTCCATGATCCCACTGCGATTTGCACAACCCTTTGTGATCTGTCTGTTTTTGGAGGCTGTTTTTCTTTTTGCTACGGCTGTATTGTTCGACTCACAGTGAAACACCATTCCGCCCAGAGACAACACTGACATCTGCCAAATGCGTCGACCCGCTTTGCCCCCGTCCTCGGAGATCATGGCGCAGGCCAAAGCGCTGCCCAGACGCAGGTCCGGACGCCAGTGGAAGCGCCTGGGCGATTTCCGGGGTCGATCTGCCTTTTTGGGGGTTGAAGGGTTCCAGGTGTCCTTTGATACAAATTCGACTGGGAGTGAGAACCCCTACAGATTCAGACATCCTCTATTTTGGCGTCGCCCTCATTTTTGGTTTGTGAATTATAGTTGTTCCCCTCAAAGGGGTGTGTGTGAGAACACAAATGTTTGGCAGGGTGCTATTGCAGCGCTTGAGAGTTTGGATGAGGGTTACTTCGGGTGCTGTTGCAGAGTGCTGCTGCAGGGCTTGAGGGAAAGCCTGGCACTGGCAATGTGTGTTCAGGTCGCACTCACAGGTGCTCAAGGTGTTCTCTGAATGCCTTGAGGTAAGACTGCAAACCAAACTGTCCCTCCACGAGCCCCCCCCCAGCATTGGACATGCTGGAACAGGGGGCCATGGCTGTACTCCTTAGGAGGAACCAATTCCTAGGTCTAAGTCTAGGGTCTGCTGAACGCATGGAACCCGGGGGTCCCTGTCTCCCAATGCTCCCACGGAGCTGTGCAGTGGCCTCTGGCCCACCTGATGGATCCCGTCCCATGGGAAATGCTGAGCGGCCGACACGGGCGCCGTGTCATCGGTGTCAGGCTCGGCAGCCTTGCAGAATTTGAGCCTCATGAGACCTAGTGCTTCCAGTGACCACTCTAGGCAGCCATGAAAAGAATGAAGGGGACAGTCGGTCACCTACTAATAGTGGGGAAGAAGTTGCCTTCCGGGTGGAAACATGAGCAGAAATGATGAACTGAGACTGCATGTCCTTTTGTGGCAGACCTTCAATTGCAATCCCCAAACATGGACAATCAGGATTGGATGCATGTGGCTCACTAGGTGGCGGATCCCCTTCCTTTCTGACAAACAATGTCAAGGCAACTGCAGCATGGTAAGACTCTGGTGGAATGGACCGGCAATCATTTCCATGCTGCATCCAGAACACATGATGCAGAGAGTTTATCATTGCTTCCATCCGAGTAGTATGTCAGCATCCGCATGACTAAAACCTCCAGCAATATGGAACTGATGACCGCACACAGCAACCCTGCAAGCATGCCCTTGGCCATTGCGGGTATGTCCAGAACTATGCATTAGCCAGGATATCAATAATTCCTCTGTGGCCTTCTGAATGAGTTTATATAAAGGCGAACCAAAAGGCAATGGGATTGAATGGTTTCTTTCTGATTTTCCCATCTCTATCAACCACCTGAGTGGGATTTCCCCCTCAAAGTGACGGCATCTCAAAAATTCAGGACCCCCAAATGATTGGCTTCCCTTGTTCCCTTTTCAGCCTCAAACAGGGGGCACCTGCCTTTGCACAGACCCGTCCTTTGCGATCGCAAAAAAGGCCTCCAGCTCATCCCCCGGTCGCGCGAAGCGCAGGTGACCTGAAGATGGCTCCGTGGGTGGGGGCTGGTTTCCCACCCCAGCGGTTCAAATCCTAAACCATCAAACCAAACCCCCAACTGAGGGTGACCTGAAAGTGGGGTCCCCTTTTGGGAGAAGGAATCCAACCACCTCAAAAGGTCCCCAAAAGGAGAGGCAAGCCCAAATGAAGCAGCGTTTTTTTCTGGAGTTGGACGCACCCTTAAGCGTTTCGTCAGGGAAACAAGGGGAAAGAAGGCGTATTTGTTGAGGGCTCCGCAGCTTTATCTTCACCCAAACTTGGTGTGTCTGCTCGGTTTGACGTCCCTTCGAAGCCATGCCCAGCAAAGGTTCAAAAACGCAGTGTCGCACATGCAACCAGTTAGGTTCGGAATGTGGTCCTCAAGGGACACTCTACCAAAAGAAAGCAAAAGACGGCGCAGCTGGATCGTTGGCGGCTTAAAAGAAAATAATACCAACCTAAACCTGGTGCTGGCGGGGCTTTACAGACCGCCAGCTTTCAGCTCACTCACCATATAATCGGATGAAATGTCAAGCACCAACCATTGAACCTATTTCGAAATGCCTGCCGTTTTGAAAGGTGATTTCAAACAAGTCAGTCTCTGCCTTTCGGAGGGGAAATGGCCACCAACTGACTTAGCCACGAACACCGGATCAAAATCAGCTCAGCTTCCCCTCGGTCTGCCGAACAATTGGGCAGGACCACCTTTCTGCTTGGCTTTTTGTTGCTTTTCTAGCCCCCCCTCTCCCAACCCACGCGGCTGAGCAGGCGGCTCCCCTTTCCGCACCACAAAGGCTTTGAGGAGTCAGGCCATTCATCGGGCCGTGCCTTCGGGATGTGGGTGAAAGGGAACTGGCCCATGATTTTTCCACCAACATCGCCCCCTAAGTTTTTTCAAGCGAAGAAGACACTTAGTTTCTCACTTGAGACGCCAAGAAATCAACAAAATGACCCCAGGACCGGGAATAACCAGTCGATTCTGGAGATGGGCAGAATTTCCGAAGCTGATATTCCCAAATGTAGTCCAGAAACTGGAAAGACAATCATGAGGAGTTTATTTTTCCCGAGCACAGCGAACATCGGAGATTCACATTCCTCCATTTGCTTAAGTCCCCTGGAAATAAACATATTTCCAGCTGCGTTAGATTCCATTGACGTGTTCAAACCAACAGGGGAAAATAAAGAATATTCTTAAGCAAATGGAAGCATCTGGATCGTTGCACCTGGACCGTTTCATCATGTCGCCGATGCCAGGCAACACTCGAATGCCTTTTGGTTCTGATGTTTGAGCAAGTTGGACCGCAAACCGCTCAATTTTGAAGATGGTTCACAAATGACACCCAACTCCACTACGGAACGAAGGGGTATTGCATTGCATACCCTTGTTATAGAGTGGCCATGTGGCAGTTGGATATCGATATCGCATATTCCGTTTGGGAAATATAAGCCTGCAACTGCAGCTGCTGCCGCAAGCCGCACATGGCAAACCTGAGTTCGACGGCGAAGCATTTCCGTCCACGGAGCCCACAGGATCCCCGAGAATGAATAAGGTCCTCTAGCGCATGCTCAAACTTTTGTCAATGTTTGTTTCCCCTCATGGTCTGGAAAGGGTTCCCTAATTTGGACACATTCCCGTCTCAAATCCGCCGAGGCCCTTGGGCCGCGGGTCCCTCCACGCCACGCTCGGATTTGTGGGGACGCCAGATTGCCAAAATGGCACCAACAAATGTCAGATTGAAATGGGTGGATTTTGGAGGTTGCTTTGGTGCGCTGAAGTCTTATTTTTAAGAGTTTTTCTTGCGTGGTTCGCTTTCTTTTTCTGGTGTCTTCTTGTTGCCCGGATACCAGCTTGGTTCCTTGCAAACCTGAACGCATACCTGAAGATCAACCCATGGCTGAAAGGGCCAGGGCTTGAGCCTTGAGCACAGAAACAAAGTGGCTGAACATCGATGTGAATGGCTGAATGGCTGAAGTATCAATGTCGCCGATTTGCAAATGATTGGCACCCAGAAGCGGGTAAAGGCCTGTCTGAGGATTGACCTCACGAAGTACGTTGCAAAATAGACTCTAAAGTGTCCACCCTACCCCCCAAAACCACGAATATCCCCTCAGAAGGTTCAGGGCCTGGTTGAATGACGTTGATTGAAAAACAACTTGTTTTGCGTTCGACCATTTCATTGGGTCCCGAACCCAACCGGATGTTATTAAGCAACTGGCAGCTTCCCGTTTGCCAGTCTACCCAACAACTTTTGATCTGAAATCACGGAATTTGAAGGATTACGAGGCCGCCAGCATTTGTGGTTGAGAATGACCCTTGACCTCAATTGATGCAAATGTTCACTTCGGCTCCTTTCACCTGCCTCTTGTTTGTATTTTGCAGTGCTACTCCAGACTTGCTAAGATGTCGAACAAAAGGTGCCTGGACCTCCGAAGCCTGAACGGGATCCATAGTAAACGCATTTTTAATCGCTTGCACGTAGCATCCTGGAACCCGTTTGTTAGACCCGATTTAGGGTCACCCAAGTACCCAGGCTTTTAAGGGTAAGAATGGGGGGGGATCACTTTGATGAGTCCAGGTGGCAAGAAGAGATATGCAGAGAGAGCCTAAATATGTGAACTGCTTATTTGGATAAGCCTCGAAAAGAGCGAATTGCAATTGCAGGGGAGTTCTCGGCACCCGGTGCTGAACGATATGCCTGCCCCCAAACCACGCCCAAGGGAACACTGGGTATAACCACCAACTGGCTGGATTCGTCCACCAGCGCTGATGAACTTTACCTCAGCCAGCCGTCGTTGGACCTAAAAGCACCTGGGAGCTCAAGCCCTGGGGTTCAATCTACCCACCCAGCTCAAGCCCTGGGGTTCTACCACCTGAGTGTTTTTTTCTACTTTACTTGGGCCAAACAGGCGTCATTCGAATCCCAGGCGCGAGAGCTTCGCAAGCCGCAGCTCGTTCCGAGCCTGCGGAAGGGGAGGGTTGGATGCAGCTCATGAGCCAAAAAGTGGGGGGACCTTCAAACTGCCCGGTTTTCCTTTGCTTTGTACAAACCCTAAAAGGGGTACCAACTGCAGAGAGACGACATTGGCCCATGTTCTTTTCACTGGCTCTTGCAACAATGGTTTCTTTGCAAGGATGATGAGAATGGTAATCAAAAGGCATTATGAATAAGGGCTTGTCAACAAACATCCAAGTTCAAGGCGATCCAGTTCTACTCCAATCGCAAACATTGAAATAACAAATCCTCGTGCTGAAGCCGACGGGACATGTTACTGATGCCGAAGCAAGGTGAGTTTCTTCTTGAGCGCAGCCCCTGGAGACATGTCATCGCGGTTACCAAAAAGATCATGCTTGTTTGAGCTTGGTTCCTGCCCTACTTTTTCTGGGAAACTCAGTTGAGCCCCCATGTCCGACCTCGGGGCCGTCCCTAACGCCGTTATTTTTTCCCTGACACACCTGCTGTTCTTCTGAGTCTATTGCTTGCTCGGACACATTCAGGGCCCAGGATGTTAAATACAAACGCGCTGAGAGAAGTGTGCCAGAAATACCGAGCGCTCGGGCTGGGCACTGAAAATTTGGAGTTGCTGTTCTCATTTCCTGCAACTCTTTGGGTGCAGGGCAGCAGCACATTTCCTGCCTTGGGAACTGGGCTTTGGGGTTCTGAACCCTCTTTTGCTCGGCCGAGCAGTGCAATTTTTAGTTCCAGTTGCCTTGCTACGGACTTGGCTTGCAAGATATACACACGTTACGAACGTTATCACGTCAGTCCACACAGGCTGCAAGCCCGTGTTGCAAGGCGGGTTGCGTGTTGGCTGTAGGTCCTACACCGAAGCCTGCCCCAGATGAAAAGAACAGGTCCAAAACAAAATGACCCATAGACTTAGTACTTTCGGTATTCCCCATCAAACTTCGTAGCCATTGATTGAAACATTGCTCTTTTCCGTTTCCCTTTCAGGGCTACCTGGCTGCACAATGGCCGTGAGGTCTATGGGTCTGGGCGGCACCAACAGGCGAAGATGGCCTCTTCGTCCATGGGCAACGGCACCCAAAGGTTCTGCGTCGGATCTTCCGGGGGATCTCAGCAGACACGGACACGAACGCCCCTCATCTCAGGAATAGGTGGCTTGCTTGCTTGCTTGCTTGCCTGCCTGCTTTTCCTGCTTGCTTGCTTGCCTGCCTGCTTGCCTGCCTGCCTGCCTTGCTTACTTGCTTGCTTGCTTGCTTTGCTTGCTTTGCTTGTTTTGCTTGTTTTGCTGGTTGGCTGGTTGGTTGGCTGGCTGGTTGTTTGTTTCAACACAAGGTGGCAACAAGCACGGTGGACATCATCTTAGCAGTCACAAGTGATGAGTACAGCAAACGGAAAAATGATCACAACCAGTAGCGCAGGAATACTGAAGGCTTGAATAGAATCAGGAATCCAAACAGTGTTGGAAAGGCCCGGGTCCTTTCTTTAACTTTGAGACACATCAAAGTCGGGCAAGCAAGCAAACAGGGCACATCGTGTTTCCCACGGTATGCCCCTCTGTTCTCTCAAGTGGGACACTGGAGGAACACACATGATTCAGGAGAACATCTTGGCTGTATCTCTGGGGGGCCGGGGGTCACAGCTGAGGCCTTCAAGAGCGTCAGCTCCTGTGTAAAGATTTCAAGGACGTTGAGCCAGTCTCTGCAACACTCCTCAAGTTCATGCTTAGATGGTAAAAACTTCCCCCAGCCCCCTAAACTTGCGCCTTCTTCCCTCACATGCTACCCATATTTACTCTTTATGTGGGATTGCCCTCAGGGGTTCTGGTATAGTCACTTTCAGGGTCCGGCAACCCTTCTTAGTAGTGGCACCATGTGGTATCCACCGCAAAAGATTGCCCAAATGGATGGCCAGTTTGAGGCAGTCACTTGCCGTTTGGGTCTGTCTTTGTTTGGGGCTACCCCGTTTTAGGGCTGGCTGAATAAAGGGAAATCCAAGGGAAAGGGAGCAAAACCTGCTTGACATGTTGCCAAAACACCACCAAAAACGCGTCGTGTCCACAACAAGTGTTTCCCACTATGAAGTTCATGGTCAGAGCCCAAGATATCAACATGCTGACAAACAAAGCAATGGCGCACTGAAGCGATGCGAAAGGTTTGTATGCTGTCAACTCTTTCGTCGGGTTCGCAGCCTTGGATCCTGTCTGAACATCCATCTGACTTACGTGGCTGCGTCTCACAATGGACTGAATCGCAAGGAAATCTAGGAGGGGGTCGGCGGGTGGGGGTATATAATGCACTCAGAAGACACATGGATACTTAGTGCTGGTTGGTGTTTCAGAAACCAAAAGCAGCGAAAGCTGCGGCCGCCTCCTTCAAAACCAAAGTCCCCGAAAAGTCAAGCTGATCCTTTTTGGGAGCCCCTTGAAAGTAATTAAATTCAGTCTTCTCAGGGGTTCCCTAAACCAAAAAGGTGCGGATTTCGAGGATGTCCCCTCCGCGTCTCGCATGAGGCGAGCACTCTCGAAGGCTCTGCGGCTGGGAAAGCACAGGTACTGCATGTGGGGAGGATGCAGTCTGTCCACCTCGGTCCCCGAGCTCCATTCCTTGAACAAAAAAGGGAGATGACCCGCGTTCGTGATGGTTTCCTTATGATCGGCTAGACTCGAAAGCTCACGGCAAAGGCTCGTGTTCGCGGACAAGGTTCCAGACTCCTTTGGTTGGTATGCCCTTCTTCGTGGTCGTCTTCCACTTTTGCAATGGAACCCACCAGAAGGCCCCTGAAAAAACAGATTAATGGTACAAGCCATCCCTCAAACGACTTCCAGGTCCCAGGGTGAACCCAACCGGAGATACTGCTCTCCTGCTCTTTGGCCACATGAGGGTTGCAAAGAGCAGGCTGTCCTGAAATAGGATTTGCAGCCCTAAATCTTGTTGTGTGCCTTTCGAGTTTTTTGAGGCTTGCCAAAATGCTCTGGCTGTTCAAATCGGAGGGTTAGCGCATCCTGCTTCATCCATTTGCAGCAGCCACAAACGGGGACGTATCTCTTCATTCGTAACCCATGGGGAGAATCTTGCGGCTTCCTTTTGACAATTTGATCAGCTCTACACGTCTCGCGGTAACAGGGCCATGGATACACAACTCAAGTGAGAAAGCACCCTCCATGCCCACCGCAGCCCGAGCCCTGTGACCCCCCAATCGACCGCCTCAATTGGAAAGGGATCCTCCAAGGCGACTCCGGTGAGAGCCTCGGGTCACCAGGCTTGCGACGCAACCCAAAAACCCCTCAAACCTATGCCACGGGTCTCCACTCCTGTGGGTCGGGCTCCTTTCAGGACCCTTCTCAATTCCTGAAAAGTGCATGAGCTCTGCCCAAGGCGCGGGCGTCTGCGAAATCTTTGGGAGACATACTCTCAATCTCCTGCTGCGGGATGGAAGTCCCAGCCTCAGGCTGCGAAAAGAACGACTCGCACGCCAGACACGTGGATTTCCCCTAACCAAAACCAGCCTTCCTCCAACGACTGCTTTTTCCCATCCAAAACCCCAAGTGCTGTCCAAATGAAGCATCATGACGTGTTGCTGAAAGTTGAAATCAATCCACTGGGCTCCAAGTAGGGCTTCGAGGCCTCTGACAGCGGTCAGGGCTTCTGACGCTCACCAACTCCACAAAGCGTTCGCTGCGGATCATGGCTGCCTGCGCGGCACGATCCGAAGTGTGGCAATTCGGGCAGGGCATACATTGACTCTAGGGTAGCTTCCCCATTCTGTCCAGGGATCCTTCTTTCCTACAAACCAAGAGAGGAACCGTCAGGTTGTCAAAAGAACGATGCTTGAACAATCTAGCCTTGAATAAACTCAGAAATCTTCGAATGATGTTATTCCTTTGCGCCACAGTGATAGAATTCCAAAGCCTTGTCAACTCAATGGTCTTAAACATCACACAGTTCTCTATATATATAATATGATATCTAGATACACTGAACGACAAGGACCACTGAACGATAAGGAACATCACGTCAAAATAAAGACTATATGGACGATCAAACAAACAGCTGCCCAAATGTGACTGGTCACCCACCGCAACCAGCAACCTGTTGCGGAATTGTCCATGGAAGACGACACAAATGACACATCGCTGAAAAATGCCGAGTTGCTTCAATTAATTAGACGCCATTCCTCTGAGGTCGTTGGGCAAAAGGAATCTTAGAGTAGTCCAGCCACCCAAAGTTTAGGGAGTACGAATTCCCATTCTCCGAGGTGCCGAGGTCGAGCCAGACTTGGACACTTTCCGAACGTGGGACATACCCGATTTGGGTGTGCCGCTTTGCACTTGAAAGCCGCACAAAGGGGGGTGCTCTAGAAGAAAGGCACACCCATCTGGATGGAGCTGTGTTCCAGCGAGAACTCAGAACACTGTTGCACCAAGTCGGCCCCGAGTTGGAAAACCCTCTGCACTGCATTGACGCCTTCGATACAATTCAATACAGCAATCAAACTCAGGCTTTCCACTGTATGCTACTGGCACATAGGAAGCCGACGATTCTCAAGGAGTGCACACTCTCAAGCTCAAGGGTTGAGTGTGCAAAAAATCATGTTTTTGTGCAAGTCGATACTTTTCAATCACAAGAAAGGCCCCGGCGTTGAAGCGAATCGGCGATCTTCTCGCGTTGGCGCCTGAATGCCGTCCAGCCAACTGTGCTGGCGCTTCTTGAACCGCTTCCTGGCAAATCTGGAGGTAATCCACCTGAGCGGTCAAAATTGTGCAGGATTCTAAGATAACATGGACACTTGGGGTTTGGTCGCCGGGAGGGCAGTGTATGTGCGTGTGGGCACGTACGCGCGTGGGCTGAGGCGGGGGCGATGGCGCGTGGATGCGTGGGTTCGTGGGCGTGTGTTTGAATGGGCGCGCAGGTGTGTTGGGGCGCGGCTGCGTGTCTGGGTGTGTCTCTGCGTGTATCTGCGTGTTTGTATATATGCGTTCGCCAACGGTGCCCCTTTCGTGTCATGCCTCCTGTTAGATCATCCTTATGCCCAAATGTCAAGCCTATGCGGGGGCTTATGATGGCTTCTACTACCCCCCAAACCACTACCCCAAAAGAGAAAATGTGTGGGGGGGGTATTACGTCTGCACAAAGTAAGGTAGCACTTTTGCCCATGGGCCGGTTGGTGGTTTGGGGCAGTGGAAACCATCTTAGCATGCGAGGCGTCGGGTCATCCACGATTATGTTGCCGAGGCCGTCGCTTTGGGTCCACGCGAATCCGCTCCACCGGCAGCGGCTTCTCCCGGCCTAGCGAGGAATCCGGCCCGGTTAGGCGAAAGCAAGACGCAGACAAAGGGATATCTGAGAGGGTGCCCAGACTACCCCAGACTGCCCCCAGACTACGTGCACGCGAAAATGGGGTTCCCAATCCCGGCATACTTGCCTTTTAGTTGTGTTCTTCCTGACGGAAGTATTGTTGGGGTAGAGGAAACCCTGTCAGAGCATCCTGCCGGTTGACATGAGTACACTTGATTTACACGTGCGTTCACAACAAACATATGTGAATATAGGCAAATAAGCACAAACGCAAATGCAGATAATGCAGAAAATGCGTAAGCAGGCAGGCAGGCAGGCGGGCAGGCAGGCGGGCAGGCAGGCAGGCAAGCAAGCAAGCAAGCAAGCAAACAAACAAGCAAACAAACAGACAAACATACAAAACACACAAAGAAAACAAGCAACGAACCGGCCAGCCAGCCAGCCAGACAGCCGAAGAACCAACCGCCCGAAAGACCGACCAACAACACCACAAAATGCTGCGGCATCCACACCAAGCCATACAACACCAAAGCACAACGACACACCTAAGTAATACGGCAATAAACACACAACGACGCCAATAACTCCACACATCAAATTTCGGCAGAACATAGCAGAACAAACGACGGCAGACCCACAAAACTGAAACAAAACAGAACTTGAAAGCTACAAACACCACCAAGCACACCAGCTGCGAACCATGGACTGTGAACCAAAGACGCCAAACTGTCGAATTCCCGGGGCTCGCACCGCACATGGCTGCAAAAAGAGATGGGAGGACAGCTGAGATGTTCTCGAAACCAAACCTCGACGCGCAACCGGACATACACCCCTGGAAACCATTGGAACCCGGACGGCTCAACCTGTGCCTCAAAATGAGTTGGAAACATTTCTTGCTTTCCATTTCGCTTTGCGGGCATCCTTGAAAGGCTGTTAGCATGGCACTTGAAAAGGGTATCTTCGGGGAGGGGTACAGACATTTCACATAAGTCATTTGGGTTGCCCCATTTCAGGCGACTCAGCCACAGATTGCCATGGGGCAAGTAATAGGATTGAGCTTTGAGCGGGCCTGGCTCAAAAGTATGAAACTTGCCGATGGGAGTCAGGGAAACCAAATGGGAAGAGGTTGGCTAAGGGCAGGCATTGGGGCCATGGTGACCCTTAATGTTCTACCCCGTGAAAAAAGCATGAGCCCGAACCCCCCCTTCATTTCGTCCCAATTGTCAAAGGGAACATGGAGAAGACGGTTCCCCCGTTCGTTACGAAAGGCACGTGCGCGGGGAAGGCGTTCCGTACACCTCTACGTGGGATGGGCCCTCAGAGTGGTTCTAAAGTGTTTGTATTTTGAGGGGTCCCAAGATGATGTTGCCCTTTAAGCCATGGTCATCTTGAGCATGTACTAAAAGCGTACTAGACTGGACCATGTTTGACCCCCCCTTTCAAATCATGGGACCCCCTGCTATTGATGGGTTCTGGAAGTTAATTGAAGTTCTCCGGAAAAAGCGGCAAAGGCCCAGAAAAGAATCCAAATGGGAGTTTCATTCCCATTTCAGGCAACACCCTTGTTTTGGGGACCTGCAAAGGGGGGTTGAAATTGCAGCGGAGCACCTGCAGGTAATCTAAGCAGGCAACCGGCCTCCAATTGGGTTGTCTGTTTTGGAGGGTACCCCAACAACACGTGGGTCTTTTCCAAGGGAAGCCAAAGGGCAACTGCACTTCTTCTTCTCTTTTTTTGAAACTTGGGGGGGGTCCAACCTTAAAAAGCGACACACCCATTTTTTCAGGCCCAAAACGCCCCCCACTCGGGCGCGGGCTCCCGGAGCGGCGCGTGACAATCCAGGCCCTGAAGCAGAGCCTCGCTGACCACGCTGTTCCTGGAACGTGAACCCCGGGATGCACCGCAAACGCCATGGGTTTAGGGGTAACCTCCATTTCCATTCTTAACCCAGGGAAAAACCACCAAAAAGCCACCAAAAACCACCATTGGTCTAGGGGATCCTTCTTTCCAGAAAGCCACCAAAAACTCTGGGGAAATGGCTGATTCTTGAAAAGAACGATGGCTGAAAGGAATGGAAAAGGAATCAACCCCTAGAAAGGGGTGGAAAGGTGCCCCAACCCCAAAAGCCACCAACAGATTGGGGGGGTGCAGCCTCAGTATGGAAATGATGAATCTCATGCGAAGGGGGGTCCATGCGAAAGAAAAGCAGGGAGGCAACCGCACAAGGGTCCCTTGATTTCCCCTAAGGGGTCAAAAGGCAAAACAATGTTGGGAAGTGGGCATCCAGGGTCCGAGCCACAAAACGGGTTTTCATGCCATTGCGTCGAAGCTATATTGTGGCTGTGCTGCCAATCTAAAGCGCAATCCAGATGGCTTGTCCTGTGGTCAATGGTTGTCCTCCTGTATTTTTCTCCAAGCTATTTGAGGAGCTTTTCCCATCCAAGATGGGTTACACTACCCCAGACCACTTGCCTGCTACGCAGAACAATGACGGCAATAAAGAGCCTGAGGTGAAGCAAGTGAGACACAATGTTTCACCCCCTAACATGGACTTCTCTTGTAGCACCTGACAAGCTACATGTCGGATCTTTTGAACCTCTCGTGAATTCGCGTCCTCAGCGAAATCGCGTGGGTGAAGCGCGGAACGCCTCGCGAGATGGCAGCCCTTCAACCCGCCTGCTTTAGACAAGATCAGCCCAGGGCTTCGCCTTTGCACCACTTGCCCTTTTCAGGCTTGGACATTTTTCGACAACGCTTCTACACTATGTCGGGGGGGGGGGGGTGCAGCTTTACTTTCAACAGGGACTAAAGGGCAATCCCTGGATTGTGTTTTTAGAAATCGGCCCATAAGGTTCGACAAAGATCTTGAAATTGACATATTTCTTTTGGGCTCCTTTTCATGCCATCTATGGACACCCCACCTGGCTATATGTTGAGTTGCCGCCTTTTCAAATACTTTGGCCCACCCTCAATCAACCATGACCTGGGTTTTTCCTAAAATGGAAGTGAACCCCCGTTTGGTGGAGCTTCAGTCTGAAACAAAACCAACAAGTGGCTGGCATCTTTGGTCTTCCCTTTTCGAGGGAAGCCTCGAGGAAACCATCCAAGCGGTGAGCCTAAGCGAAAAGGCTCAAAAAAAAACAAAAAAAACTCGTCCACAAGATTTGAGACTAACCCAGATGTGTGTGTGTGTAGGTTCATAATTATAGCAAATAGAAAGCTCATTGTATGGTGATCGTGATTGAGCATGCTACTTTAATTAATTGTCGCGTGTGTGTGTGTGTGTACACACTCCTATGCATTGCACAATATATAATATGCACATATTCTGATATTTGAAATGATGTTAGATTGGGAAGATATGGTTGATTGGATATTATCAACAGACAATGAGGAGCTTGTTGTCGGATGCACACAGCCGTTAGCGAGGGTCGAATTGCATTGACTCCGAGAGCCTGCGGGGCTGAGACGGCCTCTCGCATCCCTCACAGGTCCTAAGTCAACCGGGGTTTTAGCTGGTCTTCCGTTGTGAGCCAGGTGCCCTTGTCAATGGGTTTACAACGTTTGTTGCCAGGTGTTTCTCACCGGTTCCGGTTCAGGTTGAGCAATCTGACCTACTTACAGGCGGGAGTGGAGAAAAAAATAGATCGTCTTTAAAGTAATCAGAAACAAATGCAAAATACAACTCATTCCACTACACGCATCATTCAACCACTGCTTCTTCCCAGGTCAACTGCTTTTGTTTCTGCAGCCCTAGGATGTTGCTTTGTGTATGAGCGATCCGGGGCCCGGAGCCCTCCTCATGGCACTTGAAATCCATCTGATTGGATCAGCGAAGGCGTGTCAACCGATCCCCGACCCGTCGAACTAAGGTATTCGGCCATGTCCCGAACAATGGGCCATGAACAAAACATGTGAACCAGTTCCTTTGATTACTGGCATGGGCAGTGTCAAGGTCTCATCGTATATCCCAAGCAAGCAAACGGCATGCTCAGGCCTCCCTGTAAAACATCACCCCTAGGGCAACTCACCCCAAAGGATCCCTCCCCCCCGCATGATCTGCCCGAGTCTAATCCATCGCCTTCTCCATGCCCGGAGAGGTGCGGCACCAGGCGCGCCTGCTGAGACTTCACCTCAAGCACTTCGCAGCGAGAGTCATCCCAAGAAAAGCGGTGCTTGGAGACGAAGGAGTTGGATCTCTGGACATCGGTGGTGGGGGAGTTTTTAGCCTGCCCTTGTAGTTGAAGCCAATTGGGGATCCTTTTAGAGGTTAGTTAGCCTTGCATTGTTCGAAGATTGCCCTTGTAAAATAGTTTCCCACCCCTGAAAATTGGAAGGAAGGGGGCTTCTTCTAGGTTCCCACTGTTAATGTTGTTTAGCTTCCACTTGCAAAACAGGAGTACCAACCCAGCGGGGTCCTTCTAACTTCCCCGTGTACAATCAGATGTGACTTCCTGAAATATGGAGGGGTCGTTGTAGCTTCCCTTTGCAGACCGGCTCTTTCACTGCCAAACATATGTTTTTGTCATTCTAGCTTGATCCTTATGTTATCGAACTCAAAGTCCTGAATCCGCCTCTAAACATCAACCAAAGCGGGGTAATCATAGCAAACATGTCGCTGAACCCTTATCAATATCTTGTCTTGACTGGGAAAGCTCCCAGCGAAAGGATTGCAAGCACTAAACAGGGGCCTGATCAATGATTGTGGGGTTATTCACGGGTCGCCACTCAGGAACTTTGCGGGTGTGAGGTCAGGAAAGTTCAAGTTCCATCTGCCATGCGAAACTCTCGGTTTTTGCTCGCTCCCAACGCTGGCATTTCTCAAAGAATTCTCCATCGCCCTCTGGCCGCTTCCATCCGTGGCCGCCTTCGAGCTTCACCGACTGCGAGGTCAAGTCGGGGAAGCCCTCCTTACACCGGGAATACACGCTTGCCCTCCCTCCAGAAGCTGACAAGAGGCTTTCGGACATCTTTTAGGAACGTCCCGCTGTCGACACTGCGACGATGAGGAAAGAGGCTGCATCTTTTGAGACAATGAAACACATTCCAAAAAAAAAAGAGACTCCTTCAAACTGAAACATGAAAGGGTCAGGCTTTGTTTGAACAAGAGGCTAGGGCTCCGATTTCCCGCGTCAGGTCCATTGGTCGATGCTCAGACCTCCCCGGACTCGCTGATGGGAAGCCACGAGACCTCCTCCAAATCAGACCTCGGGACGGAACCGACCCAAGGGTGAGCAGATGCAAGAGGCTTTGCGCTTTAGGAACATGTGCAACCGAGATCCGGACTTGCAACAAGTCACAAGCTTGTTGCCGGTCTAAAGAAAAATGGGGCCAACCAAAGGGCAGAAGGGGTATGCATCAACATTCAATGCCAATCCTCCTTTTGGTTTCCCTTCAAACCGACCCGAAAATGGTGCCGCGCCTCCAACAAACACATGCCCAAAAAAGGGCGGAACAACGTGAGTTACACCAGGGTGAATTTAGATGGCACTATCCTACTGTGCCCTTTGTATCCCAAAGACCATGGGAGAAAACGCACCAACTTTCACCCAACTCATCGGTCTGGCCGGGTTGCATCGCGGCCTTCCTGGCCACCACCGCAATGAAGGGATCTTTGGACCAATCGCCTCCTGTCAAAGGAGGGGCAAACCGCCTGCTTTCGGAGGACGAAGTTCTCTTAGCCAATAAATTTCGGGCGAGACGGTTGGGACCAGGAAACTCGATCCTTGCAAAAGCTGGACTGTATAGGCTGGACGAAATATCTTTGACACCGCGTACAAGAAAACAAAACGTGTTGCAACTGTGCAGACTTGGATACAAATGGCGCATCCCGACAAATTTCCGGCCCGGTGATTTGCTCCTTGCGTACCTGGAAGCTTCACACCATTTGCCGCCTTTACTTCTTGGAAGCCTGCTTCCCGCGCATAGCCCAGGACCAGGTTCGCCAGGCCCTTCATGCTGCGCTGCGCACGCCAAATCTCAATGGCCTTTGTGAAGAACATGCGATTGGAGAAGCTCACAATCAGAGCGCCATCGGGTTTCAAAACCCTGAAGGCTTCTCGAAAGACTTGGACCGGCTTCTGCATGTACTGAATGGACACAGCCATTAGAACTGCATCCATCGAGTCCTCCACTTCCCTCAAGCTCGGGTCTTCGTTGAAGTTGCGAGTGAACCGGTCCTTGGCACGTGAGTTTGCCAGTAGCTCCAGCTGATTCATACCATGCACGGTCAGATCGTAGTCGACATCTTGTGGTAGGTGTGAATCATGCTGCGAACAAAGGTCAAGCACCTTGCCTCGAGTTGGCACAACATGGGACTGCCTTCTCAACTGTGCCACTGTGCGAATCTCGACCTTCAAAACCAGTTTGGAATACACCCAAAACGCACCAAGGAACTGTACCATGTCTCCGTCGCAATATTCAGTTGCGAACGACCCCTAACCTCCCCATAACGTTGTGCAGTGTAAGCAACCCGTGCCTCCTGCAGGTATAATCAGGCGATACAGCTGGGTGAGTTGAGCACGGAATCCATCATCCACATGGTAGACCCCGATGCGGGGCAAGAAGTAGAAGAGCTCGTCTGGGGTGCCGTCCTAAAATTGGCTGCGGGGTTCCTAAAAACGGTTGGGCCCCCTTTGGAAGTTGGGTTTTCAAAGAAAAACACAAGGAAAGCAACATTCTGTTGGGGGGCCTGAGTTTAGGACAGACAAACGTGTGTCCTTGTCAACTCACAAACTCTGATGAGGGTGTCTTACCTTGGTGGAGAATGTTTGATCCCCTGCTCTGCCATGTACGGCCTGGGAAACCTCTTCACAAGTTGCTAGGCCAATTACGGTTGCTCCCAGAGGATCGAGACACACGAAGGTGGCATGACCAGCACACAGTATTTGGGATATAATACTGCAAGAAGCTGCTATCCTGACCAAGAGTTCCCTCCAAGGGAAATCTCAAAAACAGCTTTGAATCCTGAAGCAACCAAGCTTTCGTGACATGCTTTGACCTATTTAAGGAAGGTAAATTGTATGTCTTGCTCCGTGTGTGAAGACTCTTGCTAGGCCCCGCAGTCCGAGATCGCCCTTCGAGCGGTCAAGAACAACAAAACTGATCGGGCCGCTGTGTTTTCAGCGCCAGGGATGGCTTTGTCGGCACGTCCTACTTTACGGGAACCAACTCTGCTCAATGTGCCTTCATCTGCAAAAGTCATTGGATGGTTCGACTCGGCTCTTTGGCTTTTGCTTAGACTCCTTTTTCAAACATCACCAAAGATCTTCAAAATTAATGTTGCCCCAAAAGGTCGGCGTTTACGCCACCCAACTGAGGGCAACCCAGTAATTGTAGTGGCATCCAGAAACTTCCTGGTAGCTTTCAGATGGTGCCTTCCCTTAGTCTCCTATGGAGGCGCCTTGCAACTGCCGAGACTCCAACTTGTACGTGTCCCTTTCGGTGAGGGCGCCCAGAGCTCGTCCCCGTCGCCTTTTCACCACGGCGCCCGCCAATCCCGCCAGTGTGCCGATGGCGCCGGCGCCGGCCACCGGACCTGCAGTGCCACAACTTTGCACTCCTCTTGGAAACACGGACCGCCCCCAAACAAAAAGAGTTGCCCCCAAAGGAGTTTCTGGCACAAACGGATGGTTTTTGTTTTTGTTTTGAGGGGGGGGAGGGGGGAGGGGGGGGGGGAGGCGGTTCCAATGTGCATCTGCAGGACCATCCCCACCAACTCCAAGGGATCCTTTGACCACGGCACATGTCAATGCGGACATGACCAGATCTTCGCCAAACAACCAACATGAGCCAAGGTCAGCGTATGTTCCCGCATTCAACATGTCAACAGTAAGTTTGTGAATTTGTTGGCAAATTCTGTGACTTCCCCTGTCCAAATTAACCATGGACGTTTTGAGCAAACCGCACACAACCCGACAATGCTGCCAGAAACCGAAGAAGCATCAGATCCAAAATCGAAACCAAGCAAAATCGACATCAAAACCCCAAATCCGATACCCTGGTCGTATTGTCCCTTGCTCACATGTCAATCTCTGTCAATCTCAACGCACCTTCGAGCCATGAAGCCCTTCAGGCCAGCAATGCTTCGAAGTGAAAAGTTGTTGTTTTGTTTCGTGTCAGGAATTGACCGCCAACTGGGTCGTTCTCCCCTTGGCTTCTCTTTGCCCAAACTTGGTCATCCATTCTTCCAGATTCTCCTCCCAGTGGGATGCGATGTTCCCACGGTCTGCGGGCCAAACGGGACCCATCGAAAGACCAGCTGGGGCCGCGGCCATAGCTGCGGTTCACCCGATGCAAGCGCGGGCGCGCGGTCCTGACCTGCCAGACATGTCAGCGTTTCAGTCAGGGATTCTTATCCAACGGAGGCGACTTCAGAAAGGAAACTCAAACCTCCCTCCTAGAAACCAGGCAGTGCCTGAACAGATCGCCGCAGAGCAGAAAGAGGGTCACCATCACCAGCAAACTTTAGATCCCCCCAATCCCATTGTTTAGGGGGATCAATTGCTCCCTCCCTTTGACGAACCATCCTGGAGGGAACAGCCATTTGGGTTTTCTGCCATCCCCTCTTGTGAGGCAGGCAGGTGATACTTCTGCGGGGAAATTCAGCAGTGCAATCATCAGAGTCACACAAGTGGCAAGGGCTGACCCTTGGGGAAGCCTCGGCTTGCGCCCGTCTTTTGAGCCACATGGGTCTTTGGACCACATGGCAACAAAACGCGACACCAACCGCCTGGATGTCCCCAACTTTGAGACACGACGTCGGTCCCGAGGCGCCTCCCATGGTGTTAAGCACGGCAAGCCGGGGCTCGCGACAGCCATGGCGCGAGCCGCGAGCCGCGAGCCGCTCGCTCCAGGCCCTCCCGTTGGGCTCGGGGATGGGCGAACGTTCGGGGCTCGCCGGCAGTGGAGTTCGGTTTACAGGGAAACCAAAAGGAAAGCCACTCCAAACCTTTGGCACCCAACAAATCTAGTGCGGGGACCTGACAAAATAGCTTTTGACTCCACAGTCATCATGACCACGGTTAATTTCCAAGGGAGCCTCATCGCTGCCATGACCATCCTACAAGTCAAAGGGTGGTTCCAATAAAATGGTCCATACCCATCACCAACCCCAAGTCTTGGCAGATCTTTGGGCCATATGAGACGTCTGACGTCACGCGACTCGGGGGCTCCGGCCATCTCTGTTCGCTTATCTGAGAAGTTCAGGTCGATCATCAGCGGGGTGCGGCCTTTCGACCGGTGCCAGGAAAAGAGCGATGCTTCGGTGGAAACCCCTTTTGGGGATGTACAAGAAAGCCAAAAAGAAAACCCCGAAGATTTTGGAGGTCCACCTAGTTTGATGGTACTCGTGTGAGGCTGGAACTAGAGGGAAAGTGCATACTAGCGGCCCTGAACATGACAGCATGGCGGTTGGCTCCCCTTTCCATTAGGATCCCAAAGAAGACAATTCTCATGTGCGCCACCATCTACACTTTCAAAACACAGTCACGCGACACCATGTTTTGACAAAATTCAAACCTCGCCAGCTCTAAGCCCTCAGAAACCAACGCCACTTGTGAGGGGAAGCCTCCATTTCAATTGCCCCCGGCCTCGCAAAAATGGACCAGCAAATATTGAATGTTACCTTTAAGTGGTTCTTAGATTTTGAGCACGCGCACGAGATGATTTGAAGTTCTGAAGGAGCGGAGGTGGGAAGCGAACGTCGCAGGAAACTTGTCTAAAAACGCCCTGCCGGCAATCTCTTGAATCTTGCGGTGTCTACAGCTTGCTCTTGCCTAAATAATTCCGCTTCTGCTTCACATGGCAAGTCGCCCGCCCGTTCCACATGGCATGGCAAGTCGCCCGCCCGTTTCAATTGTTTGACTACCTCAAGGTGGACCTAAACCCTGGGTTTCCTTTTGAGAAATCAACCGCCCCTGGTTTTAAGCCAACGCGGCCGGCAGGCTACGAGTGTGTGACATGGGGACAAAAAAAACCACGACTTTCAGAGACTGCCTTGAGGCAAATGTTTTTGGGGAAGCCATTAATTGGTCCACGTGCCCACTTCTCTTGTCCGAGACCCTGCAAGGGCAGCAAGTAGTCCTTTGTCTGCACGTGTGGTTCGTTCACTTCTTTGGGGATTGGAGCAACACGGAACTTGAGCCACTTTCCCAACGACCCGGCCAGCCAAGGCCCGGGCTTAAGAGCCGAAGCACGTCGCAAAAGGAGTCCACATCCGCCTCTGCCTGCAAACTCGCCCTGAGCCTCGGCACAAAATCGGATGGTTTCAACTGAGAATTGGAACCTGAAGGTGGGCTAGCGGAGCTTCCGTTCCAACTTTTTGCTGGGGTCCATGTCAATCTGGAGTGCATTGTTAGCGCAACCTCCCTGTGGTTTCTTTGAAAGCGAGCAGCGTCTGCTTGTTCAAACTACTTGCTGCCTGGTTCGAAACTCAAAACTTCTCCCCGGCAAAGGATACATTGTGCAGGCTCTTCAATCTACATCCAGCACCTTCCCCCCAACAGCCGCTCTCTTTTCAAACGCGTAACAACCGACCCCGACTTTTGCAAGGCCTGCCCGACATGTGTTCATGCCGTCTCCACCAACGTTTATCTTTGGACAGCCCTTGGGGTTTGGCCACGCAGGGACACGCAAGTGACACAGAGTGACACGGTCAAAGTACCGTTTTTTGCAGCGGTCTGCCGATACTTAACATACTGGCACGCAGGACACGCAGGTGACACGCGGCAAGACAGGTGACAGGAGATGACACGCACGTGACACGCAGTGACACGTAACCGACACGCAAGTGACACGCAGCGACATGCAAGTGACCCTAACACAAGCTACGTGCGCGCAGCAGCGGATATTCGGACAGCGCGCACACATACCGGTGTATCCCTTGCTGTCTTTGCTGCCAACCCTGTTGTGAATTTCAGCATCATAGTGAGCAATAGGCAACAAACAACGAATAGTAAATAACAAATCATAGTAACAAATAATGATAACTAATACACAAATGATGGTTCCGTGACCTGTATCTCAGCCACTGCCAAAATGACTTGCTTCCCTCCCTCTGGGTTTTGTGTTTTGCCATTTGAGTCCTTCCGAAGACCATCGACCCTTTTGGACATGACCGAGCCGGACCTGTTTGACCAAACCACCAGGGAAACAAACCACCTCTCTGACCTGATCGAAAGACCCGAGGCCAGCGCACTGCCTCGGAGCCGGCGCCATCCGTAAGGTCCGTGGCGACGCCTGAGCTAGGGCGTCTTTGGGGTAGTTCTGCGGGGCGCCGGCTATTCGGAAAAAAAAAATCCTGGTAGAACATATTTGAAAGACTGAACGTGGTGAAAACATGTGATCCTGGGAAACTTGCCAAAGGCAACTCGCGTTGCTTCCGTTCAGAGGGGTCATGGCAATTGGATCTTTCACCTTGTGTTTCCCAACCAAATCTGGACTAGGCGACACGCCAAAGGCAAGGGAATTGCACTGCACAACAATTGGAAACAAAACAGAATGGGCAGTCGTCAGGCACCTTCCCTTGGCTTCCATGTTGGGTGGGAAAGTACCTTGAAATCATGTCTGGCCCCAAGTGGCAATAGTCGCCTAAGCCAAACATGTCCGACCCCCAAAAGTGGATTTGGTTTCCTAACCCAAATCTTGCCTCCGAGAGGGAAAGCCAAGTCGATGCCAAGCATATGCTGGTTCAGAGCCGACTTGGGGAAGCCATGGCAAGTTAGCAGGCTGCCGTGGCTCCCTGTGCTGAATCAGCTGAGTCTTGTTGCATTTAGAGGGTAGAAAGCAACAAACCAGGAGGATTCCTACGACATATCTTAGCTGAGCTCCGGAGAGCCAAGCCCCACGCCCCTACATTGTGTGAGGACCAAACGCCTAGTAAACTCACCGTATTCAGACAATGTGTGTATATCATATGTCATGCTACGCTATGTTGCATTAGATTCCATACATTACACTACGTGGCATTCCGTACATGGAGCTGAGTTCCATTGCATCACAGCACATTAGATTAGATTACATTATCTCACATTGCCATTACATAACATGACGCTACATCACGTGACAGCATCTACGTATGTACCTACATATATGTATGCGTATACATATGTGTGCACTGATCACTACAAAAACTAAAGCAGACTTGTGGCAACTTTAATGGGTAGTAACAGGCCCCAACGCATAGTTGCTGTCCAGCTTTGGATGAGCGTGCCCCAAAGGTTTATTGCAGCGAGTCCCAGACAAACTATCTTGGGGCAGGTCAGGAGGTAGATTGACAGGGGTTTTAGAAGGGTCTCAACGCGCCAAAGAAAACAAAGAAACCGAATGACAACTCACAACTGGTGAGTATAATTAATTCGCCTCGGCCCCGAGGGGGCCAAGGGCGCTCAGATCTCGTTTCCGGAATCTTCGCTTTTCAGAAAAGTCCTGTGCATCGCCTTGCCCTTGCCTCGGGGATTCCTGCGGGCCCATGACATCAATTGGTCCTACGACGCCAGAACCTGTCCATGCCTGAATCGCCACTTGACCAGCTCTGCTGCTTGCAGTCGAACCACAGACGCTGCGCGCTCGGCTTGGCCGAGGTGGGCAACGCGCAGCGTTTACAATTATATGTATATATATATATATATATATCCATACATAATTACATACACACACATATATCATATAATTTGCCAACCTGAATTAAAGAGGCCTCCCCCCGCCCCCGACTCGCCCAGATTGGCTGTAAGCTTGATACAATTTGCCCAATGCAGTGCTGTATGTGAGTCACGGACAAAATACCAGTCGGTTTGCTGTCGGAAACTCATAGTGTGTAGAATCTGGACATGAGTGTCTTGAAATTACGGGATGCACATAGTTTCATGTGGTCTCTTTGGAACCAACCAAAAAGGCGCAGTTTGTCTCAAAAACGAGACCCCGCCCTCCCAATGAGTGGTTTTTGGCTTTCCTTAACACCCCCAAAAAGGCTGCTACGTCCCAAAGACGCCACCACGGCCGCGCCTTCGAGGCACTGCATGAGGAGCAAACATGTGAGCTCCGGCCTGGCCCCAGCAAATGCAACTGGCGGCCCCTTCGATTCCACCTCTTGTGGTACAAATGCCCGAAATATATTGTAAGTAAACCAACCAGGCTCAGCCACAAATGTTCATGGCAATTCAGAATTCGTGGTAAATTGGAGGGTGTCCTAACCAGCGGTGGGCGGTGGATGCCCTACATGTTGCAGGTAGGGAACAAGGGAAACCCCGTACTGTTTACTTTCAACATTTAGGGAATCCGTACCCTTCGGTGGGGTCAATGGGAAAACAGAAGCCCCCTTCTTTTTCGGGCAAGTCCGTGAACACGCTTGTGTTTTGAGTGGGTACCCTTGCTTGGGGAAGAGAAACCAAACAGGAAGCCCCCTGGAGATCCTTGAAATTGGAGACAACCCACCTGCGGGGGGTGTTGAACCTCCGGCCGCTTCTGGCCGCTGGCCAACATGGAACTCACCAGGTGAAACAATTTCCGTGAGGTTTCCTATGTGGGATGATCCCGGGAACCAGGTTGAATGAAGCCCTGAGCATTTGGGGGGGCCGCAACCCATGTTAAAGGGCAGCCTTCACCTAGTCGGGGTGAAGAGGGCCAAGACTGGCAGCTTCCAGGCTACAACGCCCTTGTTCACCGTGGCAGGGATTCTCTCACCTAGTCCACATCCGAGTACCCAGCCAACCCCTGTCCGACTGATATTCTTAAACCAACATGAAACTCAAAAGGCAGCCCCGCCAAAGAAGTTTCGTCCAAACAAGTGATTTTTCTTGGGGGTCCATGTTGACCTTTAGATAGGCGATCTTGCTTTGGAGTGATGTTTATGAGAGAAAGGCAGCTCTGTGGTTGAGGCCGACTGCGCACCGTTTGCCTTTGGAATTGAACATCGAGCTGGCCCTCTTAACTGCACACTTGGACACCCTCCTTCAGGGATTTTTTTACATGTGTCTTTCCAACAGTAGGGAACGCACAATTCATCAGTTTGGTTTGGTCATTCCCTTCACTTTCCCACATTCAGGGAATCTACTTTGAACTAGGTGCACCTCTGCAGCCCTTAGCCAACCCACAGCCGACTTAAACAGGCCCTGCGCGGCGACTCGCGCATGCTGGGACCGCCCAGAGCCAAGTCGTTGAACTGCTCCAATTGTGGCAGGGCCTGGGCCAGTCGGCAATTCGCATGGCCTTTGTTGATGGTTCCCTTTTAACACCAGGGTGAAAAAGTAAGACACTGTAACGTTGTCTTTCACGTTGGTGTAAGGGGTGTTGCTTTCATGGAAACCAAAGCTCCCATTTGGATTTTGGACTTTCTTACAGGGAATCCAAAGGTCAAAGGTCTATGTTGGGGGTTGTGAAGTGAATCCCATGGCCATATCCGTTTTCGGGGGCGAGACCATGTTTGGAGCAAGCCCCAACCTCAAAGCCAGCCGTTCTTGGCACGTTTAAAGATCAACCACTCAAAGTTCTTGCGGTTTTCCCCAATCCCGCATGATTCCAAATCAATAGTTGACCATTCCCCAAAGAACATGGAATCCATCTTCTGAAAATGCAGAACCTCCCAAATGAAAAGTTGATCAGCGTGGTTCGTTCCAATAAGTCGCGTCCACTGTCGCAACAAAAATACCTTGGATATCAGGCACCCCCACGCCAGACCGCACCAAGTGGGAGTTGCTTCATGGGGAAACCCGAAAAACTGTGTTGGCTTCCCGTTCCCCTTCTGGTCGTACCAACTTGCCCCTCCCCCCAAAAGAACACCCACCCCCCCCCCAAAAAAAACAAACAAACAAAGCAAGCAAGCAAGCAAGCAAGCAAGCAAGCAAACAAGCAAGCAAAAGAAAGAAAGAAAGAAAGAAAGAAAGCAAGAAAGAATGGACAAACAACAGAAAGCGAGCGAACAAGCAAGAAAGAAAGAAAAACACAACAAAAACAAAACCAAAACAACGCGCCACACCCATCCGGGGCGGGTTCGAGAGGAACAAAAGACTCGAGACTCAGCACCAGGCCGACACGAGGCCATGGAGTGCCTGCCAGTGCGTCCTCGCTGTCTATGGACTTGCGCCGCTCGAATTATTGAAATTCAAAGCCGGCCTCATGTTTGGGTTGAAAGGAAAGTTGGATACCCCTGAGAGAGGGCGTGCAAGACTTCATCTTGGAGGGCCAACTTCTACGTTCAACTCCAAAAGGAAATGGCGCGCAGTCGGCCTAGACCACAGGGCTGCCCCAAAGAAAACTCGCTGTAAATGGTTGCAAGGTGATGTTCGAAACGGGAGACGTGAGCCCGGCAACCCAACGAATTTGCATCCGCAATTGACATCTGTCCTCTTCCGCTGCAAGCGGTCCTCGAAGAGCCAGCGCGGCCTCTTTGAGGGGAGGCGGGCGGAGGTTGGTGGGTGGTTTCCCCAAAAGGAACGGGTTGGGCTTGTGAAGTTTGCCACATTTGGAAGCACCATCGTCATAAACCGCTTGCGTGGAATGAATCACCAACGTACACATCCTTGAAAATCGGATCACCGAAGCCCGCGAATCGAAATCGGGATTTGTTCCAATTCATGGCCGTATGTGCCATGGCCCGGGTCAAGGCCACCCATTGTAACCTCAAAGACTCCTGGCCAGCTGCAGCGCGCCACTGCTATGCGGGCTTGGGCACCCGGAACACTCTGCGCATCACCAAGGCAGAAAACTGGCCGCCAGACCAGGCAATCACCGACGCAGTGCTTCCCAAAGTCAACACAGAAAAAGCCGCCACAGAATGCGAACAACTAGTCGCGGCCACTTGTGCACTTCCGAAGACTCAGCAACTTCGCAATGGACGCCTCGACAGCGGCTCTTCCGCCTGCAAAAGAAACTCCTGGCTGAGCAATCCTGTGGGCTGCTGGACGTGGACAGCCCACCACGGGCACACACACACACACATACCGCAAAATAACGTGCCTGGTCCTCCATCACACATGGCCACCAAAACAATCTTCCACCACGGTGAGCAGGTGCCTCAACAGGATACGAACTACTTGCTGCGCCCATCTATGCCATCCCACTGGCTCCGCCGCACATCTGTCCTTCACCTGCAAGAGTGAATCCTCCACCCGATCCCATCTGCTGAAGACCACCAGCAAAACCCTAGGACCATGCTGCGAGTCACTCCCGCATCCTTCTGATTCTGATGATTCCATGAACATCCCTACCAACAAAGTAGCGGTGATTTGACCTCGGCACATTCACCTAACCTTTAGAAAGATTCACTTGAAAAGGTTGTGGGGATCACCACCGTACTGTGAGGACTTCCCGCTCCGGGATTGTCCACAGGCATGATCATACCTACAGATTAACTCTTGGGTTCCCCAACCAACCCGTCTTTCTTGGGGGGGGGCTCGTTATGGGGGGATCCCCCTAGGAACCCTTCGCCGGGCCCCCGGCGCGCTGCCCAGGTTGTTCCACTCCGGCGGCAGCTGGGATTCCTTCATGGCCACCTAGAGCATCTGGATGAGTTGTTTCCCCCAACCTTTTTGGCCGCAGAAAGGTGAAATCGTGGTCAGAAAACCGGGGGGGTGTATAAAAACGACCTGGCACTGGAATCCAGGCATTCATCGACCGCATTTAGGCTTGGCTATGAAAAGGCAGAAGAGCTATAACAGGAGGTCTGCCTAGCCATGAAGACAAGACCTCCAAGAGCAGCCCCATGACTGTTTGCTTGAAGGGATTGTTGCCAATGTTCCCGTAATGTTCCCGTTTCCTGGCTGTTCAGCTTCCGAAAGTCCCCGCTCCCGGAAAGGGGCCAGGCTGTTGGCAACCCCGAAAGCACGTGGGTGTGGAAAATCCTCCTGTCGGTCGTTCCCATCCTGATGCCCACTTTGTGCTACACCCTGTCGCTTGGGGAATTCTCTTCGCCATTTTGGATCTCCTTGACCAGTTTGATTTCGGGGACCCGAGTTGCTGGCTGCATTTTTGGACCAGACTTGGATCCAGGGCTTCTGTGTTTGCTTGACTACCAGAGGGGCAATCAAACATGGAACCCCAGCTAAGATCTTACAACTTTAAAATTTCAGGGCCTCGCACCATTCAAGCGCATGACCATCGAGACCGTGCCCCAATCGCTCGCCGGCGAATCAACTAGTCAACTCAGAGGGCTGCATGGACTTGGCCAATTGGAGACAAGCTTGCGGACATGGAAGCTGGAAGGATGGTAGAGGTTTTCTTCCTGAGGGGGCTTTCTGTCAGGCTTCAGCCTTTTGGAACATCACCCGTTTAGAATCCGCCTTCAACTTGTCCAACTAGAAACCTACGCATGTTTCTTGGCCCAAATCTGGGGTACACGGAGGAGCATGTGCTCAAATGCGGCTTCATGTTTAGTTTACCCTAAAACCCAGAATCGAGACCCAGTTTTCGACCCTCTCGGACCGCCCGCAACCGGTGCCCGAGTCGTTTGTTCGGGGGCTCGGCAGAGGCATACCCGAGGATCTTCAGAGCCCTCATCGAGTTGCACACGGTGAGAACCTGAAAGGCAGTCAAACCCAACCCCAACTCTGACTTGGGGTTCCATGTAATTTGCCCTGAGGAAAAAAGCAAAACAGGGGTTCCAAGTAAGAGCCCTACCCCAAAAAAAGGGGCTGTGGCTGCCCCTGGAATCTCCAAACAAAGGGACCCCTTTAATTTCCTTTTGGCTTCATTTCTCACGCTCCCGATCAAAAGGACACACTGCCCCGGAGAGTAGCGAACCCCGAGCCAGAGAGTTTTGAGGGTGCCCCTTTTTTCTGTGGTTTCAAAGGGAAACCAGTTTGGTTTATTTACTCCATCTTTTTTTGGAGGGGAGGGGGGGGGTCGCCTAAAAAAAGACACACGCATTGTACAGGGCCTTGACACCATGCTTGCCGCCAGTTGACCTGTCAGCCAAGCGGAAACCCTTCCAAACCCTGAGCTTCGAGAAGACTCCGTCCGGTGGCTTTCAAGGAATTGGAGATCCAACCGGGTGTGTCATTTTTTGTGGGGACCCACTACAATGGATCTTGGTTTTCCCTTCTGGGGTCCCTTTAAAAACTACAATAAAGGAGTACCCGCGAAGAAGACACACCCAAAAAGAGTTGCTGAGGTTGAGAGACCCAGGTTCTTCCAAGGGCACATAGGTGTTCTGGGGTGATCACGTGACTATGGGAAAGGTATATTCGCTTGGAAATTGTGTCGCACCCCGCCCAGCGCTACTTTTCCCCTTTTCACATTAGCCCAAAGAGAACCCCAAATTACATTGGCCCAACAGGTGATGCCTATATAAATCAGTCTCCAACCTGTATACTGTATACCAATTCTCACCCAACAGGAAACTCACTCTAAACAGTGACAACTCGAGAGATGATGTTGGAAGCCAAAAAGAACCCCCAGTTGCCCAGCGACCCCAGAAAAAGAATAACCTTTGTTGGGGATGATCGCTTTTAGTGGGTCCCGAACAAACCAAACAATAAAAACTAAGAGGGTAACTCTGAATGTTTCCAAACAGGACTTTCCCTTTGGCTGCCCTTAAAGCAAGCCAAAACGCCCTATCCCGAAGAGCAACTGCCGCAACCCCAGCCAGCTCCGAACCACTGAGCCCCTGTGGTCATTCTCTCTGGGCTTTGACCCGCACAAACTTCGCCTGAAATCCAAATGCCCCATATTGGCTCCTTTCACATCGAATGTGTAAACAGGTGTGGGTCAAAAGCAAGTACCCAAAACGGAAACAAGGGCTAAAACCTGCGGTCCCCTGGACCGAACTCTTTGCACCCGTCCCTTGCCGGGGCCCCAAACGCGCATGAGCTCCATGGTGCGCAGGCCATAGCCCACAGGCAAGGCGATGGACACCTCCGTTGGTCTCAGACGCTTGTTGCATTCAGAAGGAAACCAAAAGGGAAACCAACCTGGAGAGGTCCCGAAAGTTTCAGCAAAAAATGAGCTGAGTTTGCCTAGATGGCCAATAAAGGGCAAAGTACATGTGAAAGGGTCTCTCAATCTAAAAGCAATATGCGAAGTAGATAATCATGACTTTGACCTGTTGAGAAAAGAACTAAAGACCACCCTTTCGGGCTGCTCCCAGTCGTTCCTATTCAGATTCCTTTTTTTTAATATATATATATATATTGTGTTGGCATACTTTTGCTTCCCTCTACGTAGTTCCGAGGCCCCAAATGTGTATCCTTGTGCCAATTGGGTCTTTGAAGCTTTTTGGAGCTGTTTTGCGGGCCCCAGGAATTATCACTTTCAAAGTCACCCAAGTGGTGGGTGTCAAAGAGAAACAACCTGAGTGGCTGTGACGAAAACTGCAAAACCTTCTACGGAATGCGACTCAATGTTGTTAAATGGCGGGGGAGTGAACGGAACCGCCCTTTTGCCCACATAGTTTTTCAATGACCTTTTGGGCCACAGGGGAATGAGTCAACAATATGCACCCAAAATGGATCGGTGAATGGAACCAAGGACTACAACCTACAGTCCCCTGCAGGTTGAGTTTGACCCATACCCATAGGGAAAAACCTGGGGCCTGGTGAACCTCCCCTTTGTTTACCCGCTGGTTTCACAAATCGGGTTGTTGGCTCCCAGCCTGCTGGAGACGGTGACCGGCGTCGTGCAGGATGCCCAAGGCGGCGGGGATGAGGTCACCATTGGCCCCTGGACTTCCGGGCTGAGGTTGCTTTAATGCTGGCTTAGGGCTGCAACATGTTGGCTAAATCAGGGGGGGTTGCCCGACCGGAAGAACGGGCATCGCGGTTCGAGGCGCCATGGTAGAGGCATTGAAACTAGTAAAGTTTTCGTTACTGTACATATTATTTTTTAGGATATTATGTAGGCAGCCATGCCCGCTACATCTGCAATCATTGCGTGTTGTTTGGAGTTGCAACATATATACCTTAGATGCTTACATGCAATCTCTTTGCGCACTGGACCTGGACGACCACATTGATCGATTTGTTGCAAGCACTTGCTTGACCGATTTAGTAGATTTGATCTGTCCAGGATTAATGAGCTTGAACGGTTCACCCTATGTGTGTACAAGGACCTGAAGCACATGCTTGCACGCAACAGTATATAGTCCCAGTAGGCGCCCCTGACATGCTGGAGTTGGTGCGCCGTCCGTGAAAACAAGGAGAGGGCAGGTGAAAGTGTGCAAGGCCTTGAAGTGCATTTGACATGTGCTGCGCAGTTGTAACAACACCAACAGAAACACACTCACATGCAAAAAAAAACACACGGAGAGGGAGAGAGAGAGAGAGAGAGAGTCACAGTTTACTTGGTTCCTGTTGGCTTAGTTTTTGGCTCAGTGATGCAGAAGGACAATCTCAGAGCCCACTATGATAGTGGCCGCTTAAAGCCGACATCCCGCACGGTGGCAACGTCCAAGGGTGTCAACAGACGAAGTGTGCCTCCATTCCCACCCCCCACCCCACCCCCCCACCCCACCCCACCCCACCCCACCCCTCATTACGACAGGTGATTGCCAGGGAGGATGTTTGTGAGCACCACCCCCCCCCCCCCACTCGGCAGTGTTGAAAGTCCGGGCAAACCCCCTCGATGTACCCAACATGTTGGTTTTGGGTTGATGTTGGTTTAAAGTCGGCTTGATGGGTGTTTAAGGATGGTTCGTCTAATTACGTTTAGGATTTGTCGAAGGCGAGCTGATCTAACAGGGTTTGACACAACGAAGCCTTGAAAAAGACACCACAGGGTACACTTCCCCAAAGGACGTCTTCCAACCAAGACATCTTCCGAGATCCACAGACATCCCCAACGACATAAGACGAACCACCAAAGACGTGCCCCCAAAACATCTCAATGACAAACCCCTTGGGGAAGACGCCAAAATCCCCAAGAACATTCCTGGTGGGAAGGCCCGAGGCCAAGTCCCCATGGAACCGAGCTTAGGCTTTTGCTAGCATCTTCGGTTTTGTGTGGCCCGAAATAGAAGTTGGATGAACAAAGTGAACCTATTGTTTAAGCACCATGTGGGTTTTTTGGGTTTGTCCAGGGGAGTGCGACAACACTCCCAGGTGCCTGATCTCCTTTTGACTTTTCATCAAGGAGCCATGCAAAACGGGTTCCCCCTATTTGAGCCACATCTTTTTCAGAACCGACCAGGGTTAAGGTCTGTGCGAACAAACCAAAAGGGGGCGCCCAAAAGAAGTTCCTCTTTAAATGACGGTTCTTTGGCTTCCATGTTGATCTGGGGAGTCACTCAGCCATTCTCTTGGGGGAGGTTGAGGATTCCCTGGCACGGAAGGGAACCATCCCCTGCGTCCCAGACTTTGCTTTCCTGTTGACTTCCGCAGCTTCACTGTGCTTTTTGTTTACAGGGGACTCCGAAACACCTCACCATCCGAACCCGAGAATCGCGCCGTGAACATCTCCATGTGTGCCATGGTCAAAACTACTGTGGGCCACGGTGGTCATGGTTGTCTAAAAATCCCTGCAATGAGGTCCATGACCATCTCCACCAACCCCGAGTAAAACGGTATTTTGATCATGGC